TCGTGCGGCGAGCAGGGCTAACCCTAGCCTAGGGTCGGCGCCTAACTGGGCCCCTAGGGGGTGACATAGTCGGCCAAATACCTAGGGTCCATCGTGAGCTGAGAAAGACCTCTTGGGCAGAGTTTGAAATCCGCTGCACCTTCAAACCTGCGCTGTAGATTATTTGGACTGCACAACGGGGACCATTGCGTGCAGTCACCTATGCAGATCGAGCGCCTAAATGCCATATCGAGCGATTATTACCATATACGGTAGGTTGTTCCCATCCCTGGCAAAATTGGAGGGCCCAAAAATAAATAACTCGGTCAGTTTTGAGAATTTTGGAAATCCCTCTGACCGTTTTGTTCCCCTGATGAAAAGGAGTCGATTGGTCAGATGGATAAGGATTTGGGCAAGAATTGAAGTGTCCAATGTCTTGTTCAAAAGTAGCGGTGACTAGACGCCCCGCTCCATAGCACTGTCGCGCGGCCGGCACGATTCGGCCTACGAACGGTCATTCTCCTCCCAGTGGCACTCGACTCCCAAGAGCCGAACGCTCAGAGCTTTAGCACGATGTCACCCGACACTAGGAGTCTACTTATCCGATCCACGGACGGCTCAACACAAGCAGTATCGCGACCCAGCAGAGACACGAACCTGCAACCTTCTCACGCGCCGGGAGCGACGGAAGTACGCACAGAGGGCGAACAGGAACCAGTCGTCCACAATCCGAGCACACACAGAAAAAAATGGCAGCTGGAACAAGGTGACTGGCACCCGTCTATTGGAGCGTACAAACTAGCATATCGTACAAGCGGCACAGCGGCACCCAGTCTTCGTAATGGTCGTTCAAACACAGTCGTCTCCGATGCCCCGCGCTCACGGGAGCGCGTTGATCTGCTGCTGCATCTGACCGTACACGGTCGACACCGCGGGGCAGCCCTGGCCGGGGCCGTGGAGGTTCTGGAGCGTGCTGAGCAGCGTCGCGATGCGCGCCTGCTGCTCGGGCTTCGAGTTGCCTGTCGGGAACGGCGCGGCGATCGGCGGGTTGTTGATCATGTGGCCCGCGTTCACGTTCGCGTTAAGGCTCTGCAAGAGGGGAGGACGTGGTCAGCGACGAGCATACACGGGCCGCAAAAGAAGAGACGTACAGCGATGAACTGGTCGCGCGGTGGCGGGCAGGCGCAAGGGATGAGGACGCCGTTGACACCACGGCAGTTACTGTGGGCATGCGTTCAGTACTGGAGGAGTCGTAGTGCGGGTCAAGCGGGAGTTTCTTACCCAGTGCCGTCCGCGCCGGTTCCGGCGACAACGCCGAAGTCGGGCACAAGTGCGGGGTTGACGTCGCGCGCCTTAATGGCGGACGGGGCGGCGTAAACGGAGGAGACGGCAGCGGCGGCGACGAAGAAGATGGTGGAGAACTTCATGATGATAAGAATGTAGGGTGCGTGGGTGACTGTGGTCGTGAGGGTTTGAGAGAATATGCTAGAGAGCGACGAGTAACAGAAGAGGGAGCGGGCGGAAGAAAAAGGGGAGTACGCGCTGCGTAAGAAGGTTGAAGACGTTCCAGCTGTCGAGTTGGTTGAGGTACCCAGCTCGGGTTTATATACTCCGGCGCTGGCGCGTGCGCCCCGGTGAGCGGACGCAGTGGTCGCAGAGTGTTCGCCGAGCGCTGAATGGCACGGAACAGCCTCGGCCACCCGTGGTTTCGGATCACTGCGCTTTCCCTGATAGAGAGGAAAGCTGTACGACTGACAGCTGAAGCGGCATCAACATCTATTGCGCATTGTTGGTCCACGTCGCACTCACCGCATCGCAGGGGGCCACCGTAGTATCATGCAGAGGGAATTTACATTGTAACGCCTCATGATCAGCATGAGCATTGAGCATGAGCCTTGAGGTGGTTCATCATGTAGCTCAATCGCTTCCATCATCGATTGCGACCTGGAGACGATTGACTGTGAGCGCAAGTTCATCGTGGACCCACGAGCCTTGTGCTTACCGCATCACTTCGAACCTGGGCATCAGCATTACAGCTTTCGCATCTTCGAAGGTGGAGCCCTTCTTGACGTGGATAAAACGATATTCCGTCAGTCGCGTTGCACATCATCACGGCGCAGCTAAAAGACGCACTATGAGCCCTCGAGATCATTACGACTTGATGGCACTCACATACCTGCACAGCTAGGCTATGATTAATGTGCCTCGCCTCGCTCGCGCTGTCAAAGGGGCGCATCGTAAATAGCGTTCGTAGAGCCCTGAACAGTGAACTCACACCGCTAGCGGATGCTATCTGCGGGCGCCGGGTGGTACCTCAACGTTCAAGGATGGTCAGAAAAGCCTTGTTGTGATGTGGACAGCTTTGCTAGATGCGTGCTGTTTAAAATAGTGTTAAGAGACTGCTGTAACCTCTTTAAATGGTAAATATAAATGGAAGGAGATGAGGTGGATTGTATGGGGATTGTGCTGGATTGTGCTGATACCGAAAAGTCGTGATGGGAAGGATAGGGGAAGGAGGGATGTACACAGGCCGTTATTTGCAAATAGTCGATCTCGAACGGAAGAGGAAGGACACAACTAGATAATATGCAGGAGGACGCACAACAACACGACAACCGATCAAGTGATGAAATACTCAGTGGAGAAGGTCAGGTTCCAAAGCGCGCGAGCTCGTGGTCGGGCAACCGTCCCGCGTCGCCCGCGCGCTCAAAAAGCTCCAGCCTTCCCCCACGACACAGGAGGCTCAGCCGCCCACGCTGGCCATGCGCGCGCACTGCGCGCCGCACGGCCCCTAAGACACGCACCAGCTGGCGGAGCGCGCGCTGCATGCGTGCGTCGCGGTCAAAGCGCGTGAACGCGGGCGCCGCGCGATGGTGCTTCGCGACGTCCGTGAATAGCCCGTTTTGGTGCACCGCGAGGAAGAAGTGCGGGGTCTGCGCGAGGAGGAGCTGGGTGTAGGTTTCGTGCCATTTGTGTGCAAGGAGACCCTTTGGAGAGCGTGTGGCGAGTTCGATGAGGGAGGATTGGGGGACTGGGGCGCCTCCGCGGACGACCGTGAGGCTGGTGTCCGAGTGAGGGGAAGGTGAGCGGTGGGTGGGATGGGATGATGATGAGGGTGAACGCAGTGTGGAATGGGATGGTGATGTTGGGGACGAGAGAGACAGGTTGGCGAGCAGGTCTGAGGGGTCTTCGTCGTCAATGAGACACGCGTCCACTTCGTAGCGTACCACCAGCCTCAAGCCTTCGAGGTCCTACACGGAGCCAGCGTCAACGAAGCGATGATATGACGGCGAAGGGAGCCACTCACATACTGCACGATGCGGTTGTGGTATTTACTTGACTGACATCCTGGTCTAGGGGCCGTCGCGGCTTCGTCGAAGTTGTTTCTGCACCCGTACTTCGGTGGGTTCACATACTGACATGTGCGGGTGTCCCACCGCTCCACTAGAGCCGTCTTCTTCCCGCCCAGCTGCAGGTCTAGCCTGAAATCTGGGACCCCGCGCGCGGCTGTAGGCATGCCATCTGGCGCTGCCGGATTACGTGAACCAGCTTTATCGTTCGTTGTACTAGTAGCTTGAGTGTTCCGGTTTGTGTTCCGCGACTGTGCCGTCTCCGCAGCCCACGCCCATCGCAGGAGCTTGCGCAGGCTGCTCCGGTCGAGGACGAAGTCCACCGCGCCCCAGTCCATGGTCGTGTCCGCGTTATCTTCCGCTACGACATCGACGGCGCGGAAGAGCGGGATCAGCGTGGACGCGGAGCCCATGCAATACCCGTTAGGATCGAAGATCTGCAGTCCGGAGTCGAAGGGCACGCGGAAGGGGAGAGGGCGGTCACGCCATCTTGGCGGAGAACCTAGTTCACAATCGTCGGAACGGTGGCGTATCCATGAGTGGAGTGCATACCTGGGACGAGGATGGTGGGCTGCGGGGCATCCTCCCAGCTGTACGCCCCGAGGCACTTGAAGCCCTCGAGCCTCACTGGGGTGCTGCCATCGACGTCCGCATCGATCTCGATCGCCTGAAGTGCGGTCGGGGCCAGCCCTTCCGTCACGTCGGCGTCCGGTACGAGATCTGGCTCGGTGTTGGAGGTCGAAACGGTGTTGGTGTGCAGCCGCGGGACGGGGTAGTGCTGAGCGCGAGGGGGCATTATCGTCGCGGTAGGAGAAAGCTGTGCCGGTGAGCATCCGCAGGAGGGGTGCGGATCGCTGGAGGTGCAGCTTTGGCAGCAGCTTTTATGTACTCCGTCAGAACTTCTGGTTGTCTGCTGCAGTGACAGAGATTGAGCGTTGAAGGTGTTGCAGTGCTGCAGCACGAAAGTAGCTGCGGTACCTAGACCCTATGTACGGGTGTCTGAAATTCGGGCGTTTTCAGTGAGATCGTATGGTTCTTGGAGAGAAGATGAACGCACCTCGCAGACTTCGGGAGCATTGCTGCCACAGCACGGTGTGCTGCGGGAGATGAGCGCGCACGAGAAGTCCAGGGAACACTCACCAACGCATTCAAGGGTGTGCTGCGGTGCGGATAGAGCGACATCGCAAACATAGATCTATGATACCCAAGCGAGCGACCTACAGATACACGATATTACGCATGTTTCTTCTCGTCTTACACCTGTGCTTTCTTTGCCGCCGCCAGGCCAGCATCCCGGAGCTGTTCGAGTGCATTCCACGCCTTTCCAGACGTGATGCTTTCCCGCGCCTTCGCCACCCCATCCTTCAGATCCTCCGCGATACCCGCAACGACCAGCAGCGCCGCTGCGTTCAGCAGCACGAACTCGAGAACGGGCGTCAGGCGTCCCGGGATATCGCTCCCACTCCGCAGGAGCGCCTGGAACGTCGCCGCATTCTCCCCGGGGGTTCCCCCGGCCACGCTCGCGAGCGGGTGTGCCTGCAGCCCGAAGTCGCGCGGGTGCACGAGGCGCTCGGTGACGACGCCGTTGTTAAGTTCCCAGACGTGCGTGTCGCCCGCGCAGGAGATCTCGTCGAGCCCCTCCGCGCCGCAGACCACAAAGGCGCGTTGCACGCCGCCTTCTTGCAGCGAATGCGCGAAGGTCGAGCCGAGCTCCCGCTCTGCGACGCCGAGGACCATGCCGCGTGGACGGGCGGGGTTGATGAGCGGCCCGAGGACGTTGAACATGGTTCGATGGCTGCGCCGTATGGTCAGCCACATGTAAGCTATGTATGTAGATGGGGGACGCACGGGAGCGCTTTCCGGTAGGGCGCGATCATCGCGAGCGTGGGGTGGTATTGCGGCGCCATGATGAAGGTGAATGGCACGCGCGCGATCGGGAGCGGAGTGTCGACGGACGGGGGAGTGAAGTAGCATCCGAGTGACTGTAGGAGATCTGCAGAGCCCGAGGAGGACGTCGAGGCGCGGCTCCCGTGCTAAAATTTGATCAGCATATGGTCTTGTTCGATACGTAGCAAGTATGAGAAATGAATATACGACTGAAAGTGCATGCGGAGTGACGACCAACACAGAGTCACTCTCACTGAGACGGATGCCTCCCACTCGGACCAATGCTCCCGGAGTATTCCGAGCGTACCACCGCCAACCACATATCGCAGACGTTTTTGTGTGGCTCATTCTTTGGTACGTGACCTGTAGTTGGACTCGTCCAGTGGGCTTGATAGAAACCGCTGAAGATACTATCTGGACAGGGTCGCCCGAGGTCCAACAAGCATGCCAAATCGCGTTGTGGTCAACGTACGCAATACGTCGTGCCACACGTGCTGGAAGGCTCGCGCGACGTACGTGGATAGACATGTGCGGAGCTGCCGTTCTGCAGGGTAGAGCACCTATTCCTCGTACTCGACGAGCACAACAGCGGCAAGCTCGCTCGACCTCATCATATGGCTCCTGAGTCCTCGGCACAGTGACTCTCATGAATCTGGTACATACTCGTGCATGCGTCCTCTCTCGCTCAAGCAGATCACATTATGGTCTGCTTAGTGGAGGTACAGAAATAGGCAGCATACGACGCTTCTCATGGTACAGCCCTTGAGGCGGGACAAGAATAGGGCGGACATTTTTGGAGGATATGCGGCAGCACGTACCTTGACCACTCGTGCACCCGCGCCGGCAGCTACGATCGCCGCAGTGGTGCTCACGTTGAATGTGTTATGGCCATCTCCGCCCGTGCCCACGATGTCGACCACAAAGTCCTCTTCGACGCCTTCCACCGCGGCCTTCAGCGCACGCTTGCGCAGCACATTCGCCGCGGCGGCCAGGAACTCCGGCCTGCGCTCGACACGCTCGATGTGGAGCGCGGTGAGGAAGGAGCCGATCTGGACGGGCTGGACGACGTCAGGGGTGAAGATGCACTCGAGCGCGGCGGAGAGGTCCGCGGCGGTGAAGTACTCGGGTGTCTTGACGAGCTTGCCGAGGAGCGCCTTGAAGGACTCCTGGGAGACGGGCGGGGCGGCGGACATGGTGGGTGAGAGAGGAGTGGGAACGGATGACTCGTGCAGCAGCGAGGGTCGCTCGAGTCGTCGTGCTTTTTCTATCCCCCTAGTAGAGTCTCCGCTCGATGGAAGTGAGATCGTTGTGTATGTTCCGAGTACATGGTCGGAACAGCAGGTATTTTCGCGCGGTTGGAATGGGTGGTGGATGGGACAGGAAGACGTTTGGTAGCCGACAGGCGTGCGCCCGAACTGCGCAGACTCCTCCGCCGATCCCTGCGCGCTTCGTCTTCGCAACGTCCAAGGCGCACTCTTCCCGCTCGACGACGCAGGAGGGCTGCCATATAGTGATACATTCCATGCGCGCTGAGACCAGAGCGAGCCAGTACCACCGCTCACGCCGCTGGAGGGGGAGAGCGGAGGCGGGACGGGCGCCGGCGGTGAGCGGTGGGAAACGACGGTTGCGACGTCCGGAAACAGGAACAAACACACGCTCTTTACTCCACTCCACCATCTCCCTCTCTCCCTCTCGTCCTCGCCCTCCCCGCCCACCTCGCCACCCTCGGCGCCCTTCCTTAGCTTCCACTAATCGCACACCTCGCTCCCGCCCTCGAGCTCGCCGGCTTTCGACTCGCCATGTTCGTCTACAGCCTCCTCGCCCTCGCCCTCGCGGCTGCCCCTGCTGCGGCCATCGACTACACTGCCGCGCACAACGTCACCCCCATCACTGGCACCTGGAGTTCAGGCTCGAAGGCAGTCCTTACTGGAGTACGTCGCGCCGTCTTCTGTGTTGTGTAGATGCAGGTCTCACATTGGGCGCTAGAACTTTGCAAACCCTGCCAACCTCTCCTTCAACTACCCCAAGAACACCGGTGTCTCGTATGCATTGTGAGTTCCCTCCGAGTTTCTGCGATCCGGAGTGATCCTGAGACCTATTCAGCTCCGATGCTGGGTTTTACGAGGTCGCTCGCTACCGGTTCAACAGCAATGGTGAGTTTTCATACTTCATTCTCCACCCACTGCGTCCTTGCGACCGATACATGTTTCGAACCTTCACTGCGAATATGTGCCGCAAACACCGTGAAGCGCGTAAGCACTTTGAGTGATTGCGGGCATCTCATCCCGCGTCTCGATTCGTGCGATTCTCGGGGGCGCAGGGGCCGTGGATTTGCGTGAGTCGTCAGGGTGCATGCTGAACCATTTGCGCGAAGGCTCGAACCCAACATGCATCACCGGCGTCCTGAACTGGCACCACGGCACCTTCCAGCTTGTGGATAACGGCTCGATCGTCCTCACGCCGTTCGGCGACGGATACCAGCAGATCCAGGACCCGTGCGCTGCGGAGTCAAACTTCATCGAGGACTACAACAAGACGGAGCTGCTCAGCCAATGGCAGATCTTCAATGACCCCGTCGACGGCCCCAAGCTCCACCTCTTCGAATCGGACGGCACGCCCGTCGCGCCGCTCTACCAGGTGTACTCGACCGCGAACATGCTGCCCACGGAGAAGCTGCGGAACGTGACCGCGGTCGCCGACGTTTCAAGCCTCCTGGCGCTGAACACGAACACGGGCGCGCGGAGCTGGACCCCTGCGAGCGCCGTGGCGATGGTGTCGAGCGTGTTCGCCCTCGGGCTCGCCTCGCTCGTCCTCTAGAGTCCGGACCGTCACGACGATGTTTCCCTCTATCTCTATCCACTTTTGCACACACATTCACGTCTCCTCTTTGCCCGCGCGTCGCTTAGCTCTGCCGTTACACACCACCCCTTCCACGTACGTACGCCCCCGGGCTCCGCGCGCCGTTGCCCGCTTCACAGACACTTGATTGCATTCCATACGATACCCCCAGTACGTGCGTCGTGTCGGCCCGTGCATACATACGTTTCGGCAGCGGGCGTCATGACCAACACGCCTGCGTTGTAATCTACCCTCAGAAACACCGCAGCTGTCGCTCATGCAACGTCCGTGGGAGGTGTGGAGCGGTGACGGTGTCGTGCGGCGAGTCGCTGCTGCGGCTGTGAAAATAGTCTGCCCAGGAAGAGGCCGCTGCGGTGTGGTGGCTGGGCATGTGCCACCACGGCCGGTGCTGCTTCTCCTATGTGTAGGCCATGTGGTACGTGCACGTCTCCGGATTACATCCTCCCCGTCTCTCCGTGAGCTTGACCCGCGTGGTTGCTGTTGGGTCAGTCCGTTGCTGTTGTCAACCCATGATCTTTGACATGCTGATACGTGATGCTAGCTGCCTGCAGATGTCATCCTTGCGCGCCGGGCGTTACTCGGCGAATGGCGCGGATGGACCTGCGCATGCCGGCTCTGTTCAACGGCCCGACACCGTGCTCAGCTCTAGTCTAAGTGCACCGTCAGCCTCACCGGAATCTCAGTGCATACCGCATCCGTCTTTCTTTCAGAAACCGAAGGCGACGGAGTGACGGCCATTTCAGTTCGTCTAACACGCGCGCGACAGGATCATATGCTCCACGCCCGCCGGTGATTCCAACTGCAGCATCGCCGCGCACGAAGCCACCTGTGCGGCCACTCCACCACGGGACGGCAGTTCAGGATGCGCCCCTGATGCGCACGAGCGTCCAAACGTCGTACGTTTCATCTTACCCGCGAACCTCGAACTTGACAATTCGAAAGCGCCGCGCGGCTACGAACATAGCGCACGGGGTGGACGCACTCGGAGTCGACCGAGGAAATCGGACCGCCAGGTCGAGCACGATACGCGCTTCCCGTGTTGGCGACCCTCCCTTCTCGGCCGGCTGCGTGCTGGGAACGTAGAGGGGTGGTAGATCGTCGAGCGTATCTGTGCTGACGTGGCCTCGAATTTCGGACCGTCACGACGCTACTTGTGGTACCTCGGCGGGTTTACTACACATGCGCATATGGCATGCGTAGACAGCGAAGGTGCCAGTCGTGGATGTTACATCTGAGTAAGTGAGTAGAATTGACTACGATGTACCCTGTTTTCTCTGCGCTGACCTTGTGAATATTGATGCTCCTCCGCCGGCGGTCAAGACCTTCGTACGCGTCTATCACCTGGTAGGGAGAATCGATATGTAGCGGAGTATGATGAATATGTGGAAGTCGGTGAAGAGCACGGTGGTGGGGGATAGGTCGAAGATTTGCAGGTGAGCGCTCCCAAATCGTAAGGATCTGGAGCACTTCCACTTACTTTGTTTCTTTCGACATCCCCTTCGTGTCTCGGATGAATGTGTTGGCCGGCTGAACCGGCGCAAAATGCGTATCAATGCGAATTTTGCTAGTGTACGGTCACGATACTTCGCCGCGCCGATCGGATTACTCCCATGAAATTGCAGGTATGTCCGCGAATATCTCGCACACAACGAGCGAGTTGCTGACTATCGTGTTGGGCACTTAGGCCGGCTCGGGGGATAATGCGTCCTTCTTGAGCAACAGCACGCTTGTTTGTCAGCAGCGGCCTCTGCCGGGTAAGCGGGCACGGTGCCGTTGCGTACACATCAGTGAAATCGACAGCTCCGCGGACGCAAGTTGGGTCAGGATCGTCCCCGAGTCCCTTCAAACTTTCAAAATGGGTGTGGGCGTTATACTAGGTACGCGCTAGAGGAGTGCCCGATCTCCTCGCGACTTTATAGTCCGATGTCGGCCTAATAATGGGTTGGCTGCTTTGGCATCGCAGTGAAACCACTTCCTCGCCGTCCTTGCTGCTGTGGGCGACCATTTCAAACCTCACTGCGCAAGCTTTCCGTGTCTTGGGCGTGTATGGCGGAATGTCTTCCAGCCAGTGCGGGCGCCCGCGTTGCATATAAATGTGCGCAGCCGTCGACAAGGATGCACAACAAGGATCACCAACACCTCGCTGCGGCACCCACAACTCGAGATGTCTACTCCCCGTATCTGGTTTAGTGAGTACAACCTGCGCTCCTCACAACGATACGCACTAATGACCTTCCTAGTCACCGGCTCCTCCACCGGTTTCGGCCGTCAGCTCACTGAGCTCGTCCTCGAGAAGGGCGAGAATGTCGTCGCTACCGCCCGCCGTCCGTCTGCGCTCGACGACCTCAAGGCGAAGTACCCGGCCTCGCGCCTTCTCGTCGTCAAGCTCGACGTGAACAACAAGGACGAGATCATCGCGGCCTTCAAGCAGGCGCAGGAGGCGTTCGGGCGGATCGATGTCGTCGTGAACAATGCCGCGTGGGGCGCACTCGGGGAGGTCGAGGCGAGCCGCGACGAGGACGTGCGCGCGATGTTCGAGACGAACGTGTGGGGCGCCGCGAACGTGACGCGCGAGGCCGTGCGCTTCTTCCGGGACGTGAACTCGCCTGTCGGCGGACGTTTGCTGCAGATATCGTCTATGGCTGGGTTTGCGTCCATGCCGTCATGGGGGTTCTACTCAGCATCTAAGCACGGTGTGTAGCTCGGAATTGCTGCACGTATCCACTCACGATGCTGAACGGTACGCAGCGTTCGAGGGTCTCACTGAGGGTCTCGCGTCGGAGATTGATCCCGCTTGGAACATCAAGGTAAATACCCATGTCTTGATATTCTCGGACATTATTAAACCGCTCTCTTGTGCAGATCACTATTATCGAGCCCGGAGGTTTCCGCACGGAGGGCAAGGAGAAGGTCGTGTTTGCGCCCGAGCACCCCGCGTACAGCAACCCGAACCTCCCCGTCACCCAGATGCGCAAGCACTGGGACTCGTTCAGCCCCAAGGGCGACGCGAAGAAGGGCGTCGACGCGTTCTACAAGATCGCCTCTCTGGAGAACCCGCCGCTCCGCGTGCCGCTAGGCAAGGACAGCATCGCGATGCTGCGGAAGAAGATCGCGTCGCTCACGGCCGACGTGGACAACTACGAGTACCTCTCCGAGGACTTGGAAGTCGATGAGTAAATCATTAGACACTCTCGATGTTACTAGTACGTCATATGCACGATTCGATGTTCGTGGAGATCAGGCGCTACAGCTTTGCGGTACCTTGAACAGTCATGCTGAAATTTATTACGCGACTAAAGAGATAGGGCAACTCCTTTGAATCATCGTACCTGATCATGATGTCACAGTCGAGACCTGCAGCGGACAGGTTTACGTTTGACCTTCAAGCTCTCGAAGTCAAACTCCCTTTGGGGTATCTAATGTAGTCTTGTGAGTACTGTATCCTGCCATTTAGCTTGATTGGGAATCTTATGCAGCTCTTTTGTTCGGACATGAGGTCACGCAGCTGTATAAATCGCGCAGTCGTTTCTCATCCGACTGGGGTGTGCAGCTATATGGTTTCTTAGTATCCACTACCAAGGCTCTCCCATTCCGAACTCGTAGGTCAAAACCCTTATCGACCATGTGCGCCCGTTCGAGAACTCTGAAGAACGCCATCGTGGCATGTCTATAAGACGGAGCTGTTGGCCAGGTCGAGTGTTCAGCCACCGATCCCCTACCGCGACGATGCCGTCTACTCGAGTCTGGCTGGGTAAATACACCCAACCCCATTCACGCTCTCATCTAAACGACGTCTAGTTACCGGTGCATCATCTGGCTTCGGCCGCATCATGTGCGATACCGTGCTCAAGAACGGCGACATAGTCGTCGCAGCAGCCCGCCGTACCCACATGCTCGACGACCTCGTAGCCCAGTACTCAACCGCCCGCGTCCTTGTTGTTAAAACAGACGTCGTCCAGCCTCAAAGCGTCTCCCAGACGTTCGCCCGAGCGAAGGACGCGTTCGGCCGCATCGACGTCGTCTTCAACAACGCCGGGTACACGCACCTGGGAGAGGTTGAGAGCGTTCAAGACGTCGATGCGCGCGCGTTGTTCGATACGAATTTCTGGGGCGCGGTCAGTGTCACCCGCGAAGCTGTCAAGTTCTTTCGCGAGTCCGACCCCCCTGGCGCTGGCGGCCGTCTCCTACAGATGACGTCCATGTATGGGATTGCGGGCGTGCCCTGCTCGGCTTTCTATTCCGCTTCGAAGCACGGTAAGCAGCATAATATCAGTATCGCGGGAGGCACGTCTGATGCTGAATGGACGACACTATCAAAGCTCTGGAAGGATTTACGAAGAGTATCGTCCAAGAGCTCGACCCGGCTTGGAACATCAAGGCGAGGTCGTCTCTCATCTGACGTGACGCACGGCGCTCAAAGTGGGCTCGCTCAGATCACGCTGCTGGAGCCGGGCGTCTTTCAGACCGAGCTTACGTCCAATTCGTTGAAGTGGACGCCACCGCACCCCGCATATCTCACATCTCCGCTAACGAGCGCCACGCGGGAGGGCTGGGACGGGCGAGTCTACCCGGGGAACACGACAAAGGCCGTGGATGCATTCTATCGAGTAACGGCGCTCCCGGAACCGCCGCTGCATTTCATCCTGGGGACGGACGCCATCCCATTGATCAAGAATGAGTTGGCTGAGCTTGGGAACGACCTGGCGCGCTACGAGTCATGGTCGGACGATGTTGTGCTCACGCCTGGAGAGGGCTCTGCGCCTGAAACTATCTGAGGCAACATGGGGATGAAACGGTGAGACTTCACTGAGTACCCATGGCGTGCATGCCCTCCGGGAGTCGTATGCCGTACTGATCAAAATTCGCCAGAGTGATGTCAGCTTTACAATATGTCGCTCTGTACGTTTCAATCGAAGGGCACCAGCCCTACTGCGCTGTGACCAAGTACACCTGGCCCAGAATGTTTGATCACAGTTTGGCGCCGCTCCTTCGCTCACTCCTTTCAGTAGCCCCGAGTCAATCAACTTTATACCGCCCAAGTATCCCAGGAAAAAAACAGATAAAGAACGGACATATCCAATCAATGTAGCTGACTTTGCAGATAGAACAACGGCTCTACATAATACAAGTCGTCATACTCGCAGTGCTCCTGACGCTGGAGTTCCCGCAAATCGGATAGTTCGCCGTTTGACTTGCAAACCCTCATGGTGTGTGCTCGTTATAGTTCTGTCGGTTCGGAATACGACTTCCGTACTCACTGCGCATGGCCCGCCATTTCCAGGCTTTCCTGGTCTGACACAACTTTGGGCGACTTTTCGTGCCGTGGTGGCACAGACCCTTACATTCGACTTAGCGGGGCCCTTCTGGGTGAGCTCTACCCATCGTGCATGGAATGTGCTGCTGCATGGTGCCTCGAAGATCCATGCCTCGACCACAGGCTGCCGGAGCGCAGTTGTGGGACACCTTATGATAAAACATCGCAGGCGGAGTTACTCCCACCACGAATCCCCCACTACAACTCCAAACTACGATGTCTTCGAACCCTCGAGTCTGGCTTAGTATGTCGACACCATCCCGCGATGTCAGGAGCTGATACCGTTTTAGTTACCGGCGCATCGTCCGGTTTTGGCCGCGCTCTGTGCGACACTGTTCTCAAGAACGGCGAGATAGTCGTCGCCATAGCCCGTCGCGTACACCTGCTCGACGACCTCGTGGACCAGTACTCCGCCGACCGCATCCTTGCTGTCAGAACGGACGTCACCCATCCCCAAGATGTCGCCGAGGCCTTCGCTCAAGCTAAGAATGCGTTCGGTCACGTCGACGTCGTCTTCAACAACGCCGGATACGCGGACCTGGGCGAAGTAGAGAGCGTCCAGGACACCGATGCGCGCGCTCTCTTTGAGACCAACTTCTGGGGTGCGGTTAGCGTCACTCGGGAAGCTGTCAGGTTCTTTCGCGAGTCCAACCCCCCTGGCGATGGTGGTCGTCTCCTCCAGATGACATCCATGTATGGCATCGTGGGCGCTAACTGCCTGGCTTTCTACTCCGCGTCGAAGCACGGTGAGCATCCACCAGCTTGAATCGAGCGACAAGTACTCACCTAACAACATTGCATAGCTCTGGAAGGATTTACGAAAAGCATCGCCCAAGAGCTTGACCCCACTTGGAACATCAAGGTGAGATCCTCCACATTCGACAGTATTTCACGCCACTCATCTTCCGCACCAGGTTACCCTACTTGAACCGGGCTTCTTCCAGACCGAGCTCATCTCTCATATCATGAAGTGGACACCCCCGCACCCCGCATACCTCACGTCCCCGCTGCCGAGCACCATGCGGGCGGGCTGGGACGCGTTCGTGCCGGCCGGCGATACCGCAAAGGTGGCAGATGCGTTCTACGGGGCGGCGGCGATCCCGGACCCCCCTCTGCATCTCCCACTTGGGAAGGATGCCGTCGCGAACACCAGGAAGATGGTGGCTGAGCTGGGGGACGCTCTTGCACGCTATGAGTCCTGGTCGGACGACGTTGAGTTCACGTCTGGACAGGTGCTGGCGTGCGAGAGCGTTTGAGGGGTCTTTCGGAATTAGCTGCGGGATTTCCGCTATAACATGCGATGGCTTGTAAGTCGTTCGTTAGACCTCTTATGCTTTCTTGTCGATAACGAATTTCCTGCATCATTGTTTGTAACAACACCGACCGTGTCGTACTAGGTTCTGACCGCCATGTACAAGTCCTCCGTTACTTGACAGGCGAGGCTGGAATAGGCGGATATGATTCGATGAAAGAGAAGTATTGTATACTCAAACCAGCTCAATATAATCTATGAATCGATATGTGCCTCCTTTCAAAGCTCGTGCCAACTCGTGCCCCCTTCCAGTCCTCCCAGTTACTGTCCTCATTCGATCGAACATAGCTTGCAGTCAATCGGAAGTGGCAGAATGCTATCCTCCGATAATGTACCTTCTTCAGATGCTCCATGTATGACTGCCAGTCGCGTTGGATCAGAGAATTGAAACAAGGACCTGAAGACGTTGCGTCCAAAAAAATTCCGACACGGGGAATCGAACCCCGGGCTATCGCGTGAGAGGCGATAATGTTAGCCACTACACCATATCGGATGTACTGTAACAATACAACACAAATATATCATAGTGCAGCAGAGCAATCACTCATACTGAACTTACGGTATCCGAGGAGCAACCGAGGAGAGCTGGACGTTGGCCGGACCGTCCTTGTGCTGCTGCCACCACGACTACATCATTTTTTTTCTGCCTGGGTTTGCTTGGACAACATCTGCCCTTTGCTCTACTGGACTACCTGCTGAACGGGACGGGTATACGTGTACTCTGAGTTCTCATGAACAGTCGTTTTAGTTGTCACCCTCTAACAATATTTGCGCGCAGTCAATCATACCCTTTATCCAGGTCCACAAAATAGGCCACATCTTTCCTCGTGCCATCACGCCGAGTGAAAGTGGCATGGCATGCCCAAGATACCACGCAGGACCAGCACGACTGGCGCATGACTGCCTGGAGGACGGTGAACGGCTGTATCAGACGTTCGCGACCAAGACTGAGCCCTTGTCCTTCGTCCTTATCGATTCTCACCCACACCTATCCCACATTTTCGATGGGCTGCAACCTGTCCAGACTTCTCTGCTTTCCTAAATGTAAGGACGGCATCCAACATGACGAGCACGTCCTGGCGCCTATGGAGTCCGGACTCTCGCAGTTACCCTTCTTCTCTGAGAACAGCATCGATGGGCGCAGCCTGCCGCCTAGGTATCCGACAGTTTGCAAGGGTTGCTGGGAAGGACATTTTGCAATACACTTTGGGCTTCCCTGTGTGTCGACGACGGACGGACGACTGTACCGGAACTGGCCCAGGTCGTATTCGTATTCGATCTCGCCGACGGAGTTGAAGTCCCGTGCCGATATGGGCTGCGTGTGGTGTCGGCTCCTAGTAGCTGCTCATGGGGGAGAAATCAGTTTCGCGGACCCGAGTCGCCCGTTGGAGATCAGGGTGCAGGGCGCTGTGCGCAACAGAGACCATTGGAGGCCAAGGAGCGGCCAAAGGATCACTGTCACGATTGACGACAGGGATGTTTATGAAGGAATTGCGCACACATTAACAGGTGCGTCGGAGAATATCTATGCACGCTCGAGCCGAATGTAACAATTGAGCTGCCTGATGTCTTTAGATGATCCCGCCGCTCCCTATAGTGTCATGCGAAGCCGCATTCTAAATGTAGGATCCCATCGCGTCCTGAAACTCGCAAGGGATTGCATCGAAAACTGCATTCATGGGCACAAGCGGTGCTGTGAAAGCTCGGGCGGCGCCAGCCCTCGCCTCCCCACACGCCTTATAGACTGCAGCGCGGATCTAGCCCGACCACGGCTGGTTTCAACGGCTGGCGAATACGGTGAATACCTGGCGCTCAGCTACGTGTGGGGCGGGGACCAAACTCACAAAACCACAACGTCGAACATATCCACGTACGAGCAAGGTATCGCCCCTGCTCTCCTGCCGGCCACAATCCGCGACGCGATATACGTGACGCACATGCTCGGCTTCCGGTGGCTCTGGGTCGACAGTCTGTGTATCATCCAAGACTCGGACGACGACAAGCGGCATGAGATCGGGCGCATGCACCACATCTACCGCTATGCGCATCTGACGATTATCGCCGCCAGCGCGGAACACGTCAGTGAGGGCTTTCTTCAAGAGCGACCTCCCCCGCCGGGAATGGACTTCGGCAATTACAAGACGGGTGGCGAGATCACTGTCCCCTTCATCTGTCCTCCGACTTCGGAGAGGAACCCGGACTGCCGTCCGTTGCAGGTCGGTACAGTACGCCTCACCCCAGCATACTCGTCACAATCGAGGTGGCCGTCCACTGCAGATCTCGGCCGCATGGGCACGCGCGCCTGGTGCATGCAAGAGTACCTCATGTCTCCGCGCTCCCTCATATTCCACCCCCAATCGCTCTACTTCAGGTGTCTCACCGCTACACAGAGCGTTGGCGACTCGTTCTGCTCCACGTACGAGGAACGGCGGATACCCATTACGCTCTTCCTAGACCCGCTCGTAGCGGCGCCGGGTTCCATGGAGTGGATAGAGGTGTACAGAGCCTGGATGGCGATCGTGGAGGACTACAGCGGCCGCGCGGCCAGCGTCGAGTCGGACAAGCTTATCGCGTGTGCTGCGGTCGCGGAGCAATTCTACGCTGTCCTGGGCTCCGAGTACCTTGCAGGTCTGTGGCGATCAGACAAGCTTCTCGCCGACCTACTCTGGGATGCTCGGATGGGAGCGCAGGGGCGTCGGCATACTCGCCCCACAGGGTATCGCGCGCCGTCGTGGTCTTGGGCGGCCATCGAAGGACCAGTCCGGTGGAACTTCCCGACCTGGGAAGACGATTGGGTCGTCGCGCTCGCGGAGATTGTCGAGTGCCGCGTCACACTCGAAGACGCTGCGCTTCCATTCGGGCAGGTTACGGGCGGGGCTCTCGTCTTGCGCGGAACGCTGATTCCTTGTCGAGGCATGCGCGATCCGAGTTATCCCGAAGACCCAGCAGAGTACCGGATCGCGTTACCGTCTCTCGAGCAAGCCCGGCGCCTGAAGTGGGGACTTGGTGGCTTAGGTGGCGATGAAGACGATGTGGGCTCGATAGAACTAGAGCACTTCGCGAACGCGACCATCGACTGCGAGGCCGATGAGGGCATGGGGAGAATGTGGGCTGTCCCGCTTTTGCGGGAGCAGGATTGGATACGCGGGATGGTCCTCGCTCTGGCGTCTCCGCCAGATGACTCGGGACATGCACACGAGAAGATTCGGTTTCGGAGGATCGGGACATTCGTCAGTACCTCCCTCAGGTTACTTCATGACAGGGGATTGGAGCACCCACTGTGGGATCCACTGATTCGGGACATAGGACTGAAGGACGGAGAGTTGCCAGTGGCGGACATCGAGATCATATGAGCGACCGATACTTGCACATATTTCCCTACTTCGATAGTCAACAAGGTTGTTGACGTGGTATAGCGTGCTGAGATGCAACGGAGATGCATTAACAGATTTTGTATGCATGGCTCTGCTTCGATTTTATGAGATATTCAGCCTTCGCTCTCTCATCTCAAGCAGCATGCACACGGGCGGTCCAGACAGGATTGTTCTGAGCGATGGGACCTACGCCACCCTCCAGAGCGCCCTCAAGAACGAGATCCAGAGTCGGCGATACCGGCGTGTCTTCCATGACCCACAGCGCAACACCAATGGTGCTAGAGTTGTGCATTCATTAGCGCACGCGTGAGAGCGAAGCTAAGCATACGCACTTGGACCCATGGTGGTCGAGTATCCCAGGCGGAACGGGGAAACGTGCTTGTGGCCCGATATTTCCGACGCGCTGCAATGCGTACAATCAGCCCTCATATCGACACTGCACGAGACTGCTCTACGCACCTTGCCGAACTTCCATCCATTAACGAACAGGAGTGCGCGGTACGGCGCCCCGGTGTGCTGTGCGCCGCCGTCGAACTCAAAGCTGAACGCAGCGTCGAGGCCTTGCGGGACGTCCAATGTGACCGTGGTCGTGAAGAACCCGACACCGGCACCCCCAGATGGCAGGCCCGCCGACAGGTCGCGTGAGGTGAAGTTCGCCGTGGATGAATTCGTCGGGAAGCCTGGTAGGTGCCATCCGTCGCGTTCGGCGAAGAGACCGCCTTCATTGAGTACGCCACGGACTTTGTCGGGGAAGCTATCGAGAGAAGACATGATCAGTAACGCCACATGAGTGAGCGAGCAGGGCACATACTTGGTGTAGCCGCCGAGTTTGCCCTGCACTTTCCAGGTCGAGAATTTCCCGACGCCGCCCACGAGTTCGAACCCGCGTATTCCGCGGTCCGACTTCTGGTTCTGGCCCTCGTCGTTGCCCATGTGGTCTTGCAATACCGTCAGCACGTTGTCTTGACCAGCCTTGAGTGCGGACTGCGGGAAAGCGAAGAACGCGTTCGCCTCGCCGACGGCGGAGATGTCCGAGACGGTTTGTAGGAAGACGCCGTTGAGCCAAACTGAGGCAGCGAATGCTGTAGGGATGGTAGTGCGAGGTTAGCGTGTGCGTCAGGTGCGAACAGGCGAATGTACGTACCCGTGCCGCCGTTGATGGTGAGGTTCGCGCCCGTCTCAGATCCGGTCGCGTTGAAGTGTCCGCGCCAGAAGATGCTGTTTTCGCAGCTAGTGTGCGATTAGCTTCGCCATTTCATGCGAGTATAGACGGTGCTTACAAGCCATAGTCGCATCCTGTACAACAAGTCAGCGTCTCAAGTATTCCACGAAGATGGGGAAGGCACGTACCATATAGAACCCTGCCATCTCCGAACGCTGGTGGAATGGTGATATTCGTCGACGTATGGTCCGCGACGATCCAGCTGCTATCGTCAAATCCGTCCTTCACCTCTGGCAGGCTGTCCGCGAACTTCCACCCCTGCAGCTTGGGCACCTCGACCTCCCTGATCTTCGAGCTCACTTCCAACTTGCCTTCGAGCACACCGCTGCTCGCGCCCTGAACCCGAACCTGCTTCCCGTTCCACGACACCGCACGCACGCCCTCGGGCGCGATCACCGTGAGCGGTACGCTCGCATTCAGATCCCCATGCAGCGCGAGCGTGCGTCCGCCGTTCGCGAGACTCGCGTTGCGCACGAGGTATGGCCCGCCGACGAGCACCGTCGTGTTCGTGCCGAACTGCCAGAATGTCTCCAATCCAGCAATCGTCTCATGGGTCGGTGCGCGGACCGCGGGCGCCCAGAACGTCGCGACCGTGACGGGGTCGGCGAACAGGACGAGCTGCGTGGGCGAGTCCCAGAGCGTCAGTAACTCCTTGGAGCCAGGCTGGGCGTGGATAGAGACGGCGATGAAGGCGCCGGAGGCGGAGGTGTATTGCACGCGTGAAGACTGAATGCGTGTGCCGTGCCCGGTGAAGGCGAGTGCGAGTTCGTGTGCTTGGTCGGCGTCGCCGTAGATGAAGAGCACGTCGCGCGAGCCGATCGTGCCTGCGAAGAAGACGGAGGCGGTGGAGTACAGGACGGAGCCGAATGCGCCGAAGGTGTAGTCGGTGAGGATGACTCTGCTCTGGCGGCCTTTGAGGGTGATGGAGTCCGCATGTTGCGGGACGGTGAGCGATCCCTGGGACGCGGGGACAGTCAATTTGAAAGATATCGTATCACTGTGAGGCAACTTGTCAGCGTGAGGGAAAGCTAACGAGAAGCATGAGAACGCACGTGGACGCCCCGTCTAGCTGGCGCACGATAGTGAAGCCTGTCCCGGTGTCTGGGTTCCGCAGGTGGGTCGCAAACGCTTTGGCTGCATCATGCCCGGAGATGGACACTTCGGGAATACCGCTGTTGGTGTCTCCTATCCAGTTGGTCTTCCGGAACGAAGGCGAGGAGCGGAGGAAGAGGCCCTGGCGCTTCATCTCGTCGTGCTTCTCCCAGAGCAGTCGCGTCTCTTTGATGGCGCCGGAATAGTCGTAGCTACACTGTCATGTCATTATATGGGCATATCTAGAATGACGGGGACAACGAACCTCGTATATGCACCGGGATATGCAATGCCTCCCCAGTTAGTTCCTCTGCCAGCGTATATGGGTGAGTGAGACGACGAGGACCACGAGAGACTTCCGCTCGTACCCATAAAACATGTAGACAGAATGCATCTTCACGTTGCTTGCCCAGTTGTTCTTGTAGAACACGTCCTCGAAGTCGGGACCGATCCGCGCGCGGCAGCGCTCATATCCCGGACCACCCCAGTAGTCGTGTGACCCGCCTGCACACAAGGAGATCAGCCAGATACGGCCATCCACCACTGCAGAAATACGCACCCTGGAACTCGGGCATGTAGAACGGTCTGTCCGGACCCGTGTCGAGGTGATACTGGTGGAACTCCGTCGGGACGGCGTTCCACATGGATCCGTTAGTGCAATTGAAGTGGTTCGGGTAGTAGTCGAGCCCGTAGAGGTCGGGCGCCCCAGTACCGTTGACGAACTGTTGCTTTTCGCCGGGGTCGTTGTACGTCCTGCGTGTATGCGATCAGACTGGGGCGAATAAGCGTGTAGTACGGATGAACTTACAAGGGAACGACGATACCGTTGGAACGATATTGCTCCTCGAGGTCAGCGAAGTACTCTGCATTACCGATCGGTGTCTGCGAATACTCGTTGTCTGTTACGAGGACGATTAAGCCAACTGCCTGAAGTCGTCGCCATGCAAAGTGATGCTAGACGTACCAATCTGTAGGACTGACTCATCGGTATGTAAGTGCACTACGCAGCGTTGGAAGTTCAAAAAGCTCACGTAGCATAGGCCCGCCTTCAGTCACTTGGTTTGGCTTGGCGAGTTGGATGATCTGAGAGGCGTAGGGTTGGTAGGCGGCATTCCAGGTCGTGCTGTTCGAGCGCACGTCCCCTTCGACCAGGCTTGTTGACCAGAGGGCAAGACCTCCCGCAGTCGTCTCTGCGTTGATCTATACGCATCATCAGCATTGTCAAAAACATCTCACTTTGCCGAACCCTCACGTAAGGACCTAGCACGAAGGTCAGTGATCCCTACATACATGTCGAGGGGACACGATACGCACCAGGTCGTAGGACGACAAAGATGCCGGCAAGCTTAGCGGCATCGAAAATAGGTTGCAGGGCACGCCAGTCGTCGAAGTTGAATTCTCCCGGTGCCGGGTTTGTCAGTCCCCCTGCGAGTTTGGTGAGTAATATCATACACCCGATAGTGGGAAATGAGCGCACAGTGAATGTAGATGCTGCGTGCATACGACTTCTGTGAGTATCCTGTGGCGTGCCACCGTACGCAAATGTAAAAAATACCTAACAGCGTTCAAACCAGCGGCGACCATCTTTTGAAAGATGTCGAGCCAGAGATCGGGAACGGGCAGGCGGAATGTATGGAACTCTCCGGAACTGAAGAGACGCGTCAACCTTCTGAACGGAGGTCGCGTAGAAGTGAACTCACTAGAGAAACATCCGCTGGTCATGCAGAAAAAGCGTATAGTTGTCCCATTGCACAACTTCTGTGAGTCCGTTCGACTTGCGGGGTGGGTCCGCAGCGTTCGCGGAGGTCAAGAAGACGAGTGCGAACGCGAATAGGGCGTGCAATGCGCACAGAGTACGCCGATTGAGTTGCATCGTGCAACGCGCCTCAACAGGCTTATACGACGCCGTCGAAGATCGCTCTTATACTCACCGGATAGCCTTTAGACCTGCAGATCCGCGCACGTCATGCGCCTGCATCGGTCCGCTGAAGATCATGGGCCGGTCGGTTATGAGAGGTTCTTGGTGCAGGTGCGCAGGCCGATCCCCGGACTCGTAAAGATCTGGTCACATTTTACAGCACCTGACGTTTCCCCTCAATGTCCAGGGGTAGCTAGACTTTTCTCACTGATGCGTCTTCTGTTGGACATCCAAGTGAAAAGGCGGGAAAGTGGCGAGGCTGCCAGAGCAACCCGTGGCGCGCGGTATAAGTACACGCCGAAATCATGTTATGCGCATCCGATGCAGAGACATAGAGTTGTCATTTTGGTCGAGCCTAGTTGATACTTCGAAGCCCGAGATGGAGGACGGGCATGGAGGTGGAGGTGAAGGTGGAGGTCAATGGCCATGAGAGGGACTTGAGAGTAAGGCTCCAACCCATTAGTGTAATTACTGATTATAATCGATTAGAACCGTATACTGTTTATGATTACTTTACCCCCACGGTCTATTGGGGTGTAATCGATTAGTAGTCAGTATGTATGCAGTGGGCGCTTACCCGCGCCTTGGAAGAGATATAGGGCGGGATGTGGAGGTTTGACCTAGTCTTGTCCCATCTACCAACCATTCACTATGCACTTTGAGGATTTGAGGACTGAAATTAGACTCATATGATCCTTGAATGCAATGCTGGCGGTCTCCTTCCAGGTACCCTCTTCATTAGCGCCCGTGGGGGCGGCGCCGACGGACCATTCCATCATGATTTAAGTCGCGCAAGCCGCCATTAACCTCTGCAGTGCCTCATAGGGCGCTGTTAGAGACCGATGAAAGCTTGTACAAGGGTTCAAACGAAAATTTGGCACCGGTGGGTGTATAACACACTAACTACTGAGTATAATCTGTTTAGTAATCGATTACTACTGATTACTGTTTACATACTCATTTTGAGTAATCGTAATCTAATCGGTTGGAGCCTTACTTGAGAGGCCCGTCGCCTCCACACGCGCCGTAACTGGCGCCTTAGTTTACCGCCGGGCGGCGTCGGGCCGGCCGGACTTTGCCTTCCGATTGGAGCCGATTGGCTGGAAGTTTGGACGAGCGACTCCGAGCGAGGTTTTGCGTCCCTCCGATAGGCTCCCACTGCACACTGCACTCATAGTTTCCTGTGGGATACCGATGAAAAATTCCAGCTTCGACTCACATTCTCGTGAAGATTACTACTCACACAAACACCGGCCATAAAAGCCCTCAAGCGCGTGTCGCCTAACCCTCTCAAACTGACCTTGGCAATCCCAGGCATTTTCGCTTTGTCGTCGAGATATATCGCACCTACTTACCAGGTCCTCTTGACGCCTTTCTCAGGAGAGACTACTGCTGTCTTTTATAGAGCTTCTGGAGGCGCTGAAGCGCACAAAGAAAGCCCTCGGACTGAGTGCGGTGACACATGTATGTAAGTCGTCACTGAGTGAATCCCGGATCGCGGTATTGACTTCCAGTATACATCGAACGACGCAGTACCGGTGCGCTTGTACTAGACGCACGCATGTATGCCTTCGCAAGGCCGTCCATTGCGAGGCCTTCTATAGCCTCTGCGGCCACGCTGCGTGACGCCACAACCGAGATTGTGGGCGCAGATGCGGCGTATCAATCAGGATGGGCCACTCTCGCATAACCTCGATGTCTTCTTGCCCATCAGAAAGGATTCAGAATAGGATATCATTTTTAAGACTACAATATCTGGAACACGTCATCTTACCAATATTCCGTCTCCTATTCGTGGTGAGTTTCTTTATTATACCAAGTGTCTCGCCCTATGCTCCGGCGCACTTATTCCGATATCGAAGCCCGTCCCTAAGTATAATCATCTCGTCCGATTGTGCTGTCTGAATATTCTAGGGACTCCGGCGCGTTTGTCCAAAGGAGGCACTCTTGTGGAGGCGTTTCTGCCAAGATGGCGTCGCCACCTGGTCCTGGGTATAAATCTGACTCGGTGACCTCTACCTCGCCACCTATCCACGCCTCATCATGCATCCGACGCTCTTCAGCCCAGCCTACCCCAGATCTGCTACAGTCTCGCCAGAGCACTCGCGCACAGAGTGGGATTTACGCGACGTCCCCATCAATAACGTCTCCCCAGAAGACTGGTTGCAACTACGCTTCATCGACTGTCGATGCTTCCTCGATCGGCTGAACCCGGGAAGACTCCACCTCAAAGCCCTCGTATTCCCAAGCCGGATGAATGATTACACGGCAGCCGACATCGAAAGAGCACAGAAACAGGGCATGCGGTGGTGTGCGGTATCTTATCCACGTATACTTTCGGAAAGTGGGGCTCTGGCATTGGATCCCGCCACGCATAGCGACATGGTGTACAGCAAACATGCGTTCTACGAATCCTTACGAGCCGGCGCGCACGTCAGCCATCAGCTACTCCGCGAAGTCTGCAAAGCTGCCATGGAGAGGAAGATCGATTACGTGTGGATCGACAAGTTATGCGCCTTTACGTCGGGACCGGAACACGCCTGGCTTCTCGGCGGGCCTCTTCCGTCCATTTATCGGAACGCGTCGCTATGTCTGGTGTTACCTGCCGGGCTCGGTACGCTTGCATCGCTGTTCGAGGAAACATCATACCTCCACTGTATGTGGTCCCTCCTCGAAGTGGTCCTGCCGAGGAACCCCGTGCGTGTCAACGTACTTCATCGGATACCGCACGGTTGGGGATCGGATCGGATTTTCAGTAAACCAAGCCATATTCCTGACACCCCAGAGGAGGCCACATTCAACTCTCACGTACGTGGCACCGCAGAGGACGCCAATGACGTTCCGATCTCGTCTCTGTCACGGTTTCACCTGTTGCTCTCGTGGGCAGTGGGAGACGCTTTCCTCGACTCTGTCGTCAAAAACATCGGACCTATCTCAACATCGGATGAACGTTTCAAGCCTCCTTGCATATTCGGAAGGGTTCCAACTGTATGCGCCGAGACCTCGGCACACTACCTGGTCGTTGAATCTCTTCAGAGGATTTTCCAAAGAGCTCCGGAAGAGTGGTCTCCCTACCAACCGGACTCGCCGGAGAGCGTCACGAAGTGGCGGCAAGAAGTCACTGCAAGCATGACAAGAAACCTGAAGTCCATTTGGACCGCAGCGTTCGTACGGACTGCCAAGGACGGCTTCGCACTTGTTGTGGTGCTCACTTGGCTGATGTACTATCACTACTACACCGTGTATGCGAGAATCTGCAAAGAGGAAAGACCCCAGATCGACTGGATTCAACGAGCAATCTATTCGCTGGCGGACTCCATTCAACAGGCCCGGACCAGCCATGATCAATTCGTTCGGATTGGCGGAAGAAACGACACTGTTCAAGGACTATACCTCCTTCTATCTACGTTGACCGACACTCATGGCGATCCAATCCCTGAAGACTTCCGGAACTTACTGAAGGAGGGTTTTGCGCATGCGCTACCGCGCTGGAAGACGATGTTTCTATTTCCTTGCCCGCCGCCTCTTCTTGAATCGACGTCAGATGATTTTCCAGACCCGGCGCGGTGTCAGCCATGGACGCCATGGAGTGCTCAGGGGAGCTATGTTTCGGTCCGGAGATGGGTCCCTCCTTCGACCGGTCGCCGACTAAACGGGTCTGCATGGGATCTAGTCCAGTCACCGGCGTACGTCGAGAAAACTGTTGAATCCCTTCGGCTGGAACCTCTCGAGCAACATGCCATGTCTAATGGGCTCAGATTTCAGCTGGCTGGATTCGCACTACCTCTTCTACCTCTTGAAGAGGCCGTCAGCAGAGTAGATGCTCCTCTGTCGCACGCGGACTGGAATGACAAAGCTGTGACGGATGTGGATGGTAGACGTTGGCACATAACGGACCGGGGTCGGGAGGGATGCGCATATGCTCTCGCAGTCTCTGAGTTGGTTTGGAAGAGAGAGCCTCACCGCGCTCGTGGTACGCGTGCTATGATTTTGACTCCTCGCCCGCCGGAGAACCGGAATCGGTTCGACTCACTGGACACGACATATGATGTACACACTTGGATCGAGAAGCGGAGTCAGGGGGGGAGTCACGTATCGAGATGGGAAGAGTGGTGGGCCCGAAAGTCCCGCGAAGGCACGCTGAACAAATTTGTTGTAGTGATTAAACGTCCTTGGTGACCGCTTCGTGATTTCCGACTTGATGCATAATTTGTCGTAGACATGCTGTAGTTTGCACTTGGGCATTCTTCGAAGTAGTCACACCGCCGGATTGCCAACGGGTTTTGGGTGTTGCATGAGCCTCCTCTGCCCGTATAACAGGATTAACGACTTGTCTTTGCGAAAAAGGAAGAATATTCGTATGAAACGGGCAGGGCGGGCACGACGAGCACTTATCTTAGACAGCTGAATGCAGACGCATTCGCCGTGAAGTGATCATGCCGTTCATTCTCCTAATATTTAGCAAATCACAGTGGAGTGCCACGCGGAGAATACACGTCCATTTGGTATGTATGCTCACCATAATTGTGCAAAAAATATGTCTTCTATTGCGATAAGACGCGCCACGACGTCCTTGGGTTCATCGTGAGGCGGTATACTGTTGACAATTGTGTCAAGATGTATACGACGATAGTGAATTTGAAGATCACTATGCGCGCCCGAGGTGTGGAGCATATCAATTGTTCACGGGCGGCGTTTCGCGAAGAATGGGCCATTTGAGGATGGGGTAGGTGAGATGGCGGCGCCCGTGCCATACGTGGAGCACGTCTGGTCCCAGGAGAACGAGCATTGCGTACAAATGAATGAATCTGATTTTTGAGGCGTTTTTGATCTTGTGGCAACATAGCATCCATGTTATAGTATTTCGGAAGAAGTTATATCAACGGACTCACCCCGAATCCGAGACCTTCCTCGAAGAGTGGTAGACGCGACGAGTACCATAGAGCTCAATACCTTGAGTGCCCCGGTTGTCGCTAGTCTCGCGCAACGCACACTAAACGGCGGGGACAGATCATGTTCGACTCGAAGTGGTGGTAACGTTGACCGATGGTACGATTAGACGCCCGTGCTGTGGTTCCGCCACGATGACTCCGCTTGAATGTTTCAACGTTTGACCGCTCACCTCATTGTAAGTACTCTCTTTATGATGCATGCCATCACCGTCCATGCCTCGTCGTAAGCATACATTCACTTTTCGGAAAGCAGAAAATCACGGTGAGTTGGATGCATCGCTTGTAGAATGAGGCATGTCGCTAACCCGTTCATACGGAAAGCCCAGGTGGCACTAGCGGCGTCGGCGCTGGCGTTCATCGTGGCGTATCTACTCGATGATCCTGTTATCCCGCACAGGCAACCAGCATGTATTATGTGCTTATAGTCACAGCCGCGTTCCAGTTTCTCGAGCGAGATATCACTCAGAAGGAAGCTCGGCTACACGGGACGCGGCGAGACGTCCGTATTCTCTACTTGGGAACCGCCCGTTTTCTCCTTCCAATACGGTGACCATTCTCCCCGTTTCCATCACTAGGTCGCTTCGCGCGCCACAACGCGGGCGCCCCCGATCATAGCAGCTTCATAGTTGCCGATGACGTGGTCTTGTGGCGAGGCCTGGTACGCATATATAAACCAACCATACCCAATCTGCTACATATACATCTCTCCCAGCTCTTACGATTCTTGCCACATTCAGCCTCACTAACCGCCATCTATGTCTGGAACGACCAAAAGCGGCGCTGCAACGAGTGCTCCCAGGTTCTGGGTCACAGTCAAGGCAGATACCAAGGATACATACATCCTTCTCCACGAGCATATGCGCAAATCTATTGCTAGCCCCTGTGGAATACGTCTCATAGACATCGGGGAGTGCGAATACAAGGATGAAAGGTTCCGTAGCTTGTGCTTCCTCGAGGCGCGCAGAAAGGGTGAAGGCGCGATCGGGTCCTTCTGCAAGGACGGCTTTGTCCGGTACATTGCCGGGAAGACAGCCTACACCTCCTTCATCTCTAACTTCGACGCACTGGCACGACTAGGCTCGGATTTTCCATCAAGTCAACAACACCACGATAATTCTGCGGAGAACGCTCAAGCCGAGGGGGTGATTGTGCGCAAAGAGGTTCTACATTACTTTCGCAAGAACTGGGAGAATGGGCGAGGGTACCGGGGCGCCCGATACATTTGGATCGACAGGCTCTGTATTTTACAGAACGAAGAAGACCTCCGCTGGCACGACGTAGATCTCCAGGTGGATATACATAACCAGGCCGTTCAATGCGTCGTCTCCCAGGATGGCCTACCGAACGCCCTACTGAACGCCCGACGAGAAGCCCAGCATCTCCCGCCGATCATCCGTTCGTACTCCTCATCCTCATCGCAGCAACGCGCGGACAGGCACTTCCCTTTGCCTCTATGCTCGCACTCAGGCCGACGTGCCGTGACCTTGCGTGATGTTTTGCATCCGTTCCTGTCGAATGCTTCGGGACACAAACACCATGCGACCCCGGCTCTTGATTCCATCCAGGAGATTATAAACTCTATTGATCGTGTCACGAACAAGCCAAAGAAGTTCGAGTATCTCGCGAAGGCTCAAGCAGCCTGGGAGTCTCTGTTTACCAAAACGTATACCTCCCACAACGAGTTCATCAAAGCTTGCAGAAAGGAGTTTACGCTCGAGACGCCTAATGAAGAAAGAGCGACCGACTGGGACCTCGTCATGCTGTCTTCGCAACTTTCCAAAATGGTGGATATTCCGGTGTTTTGGCTCGGAGTGGTGATCGACGTACCCCCAGACCCCATAATTCCGCTGTTTCCTTCAATCCGACATGCTTCGAGTCGTTCAACGGATTCGGCAATGGCAAACTCCCTGTTTGTCAGGGACCCCGACCTTCAGACAGAGTTCTACGCGCAAACACCCAGCTGCACGTTGATACTTCGGAACGCAGCGGTACGCGGACTCATTCCCAACCCGCGCAGGAGCGATGCACTGGCATGTGGTCCCACGTCGCTTCAGCTCCCATGGGACCCCTTGCACGACTGGGCTATCGAGGACGTGCACAGTGGGTGCACGAAGACATGGCTGGTCTACCTCGGCAGTATGAATCGTTGTCTAGGCGGGATATCGCACAAAGACCCAATCATCGATGTTTTGCCGTTCAGCCCTGGCACTGAGGCATCAAAAACGGCGCATTCTTCTTCGAGTCGCGTCGTGTCCTCTGCGCAGGCCGCCACCAAGTTCCTAGCGCCACCTAACGCGTTGAGGTACCATTTCCTGGTCCTTGAAGAGGACGTCACGGAGATGGAGCTCCCAGAGTATGAGGACGAGGGACGTCCTACAAGGGAGCCAAAGAAGGTTTGCCAGTTGAAAGGCTGGCTCGGAAAGGATGTCGCAGAGTGGTTGAAGCCTACCGGATGGAGTCGTCGGCACACCTTCAGTATTGTCGTACGGCCCGAGGTCACTGGGTCGAGTCGTCAGCACACCTCCAATGATGTCCCACAGCCTGAAGTCGATGATCTGTTCACATACCACCCGGAGCCTGGAGTCAGCCCTCCTCCCACATACGAAGAGACACAGGCCCTCGACAGAGCGCTTCAGACGCCGGAGGACTCGTCGGCGCGGCAGGGGTCCGTGCTGGGAGGAGTAGCCCCGCTTCCACTTGCCCAACCTCGTCCTGTAATAGCCACCCGTCCGGCTTGGGTCTTCAGTGACCGGACAACATCTGCCTCGGCGGGTAGAACGCCCCCGGGCACGCAGCGGGGTCCCTCTACCGAGCCTGACGAAGATGACGAAGAAACTGTGGCCGGAACCACACCTTCGAGTCGTGCACCGTCTCCCGCGGAGACGGACATCACCTTGGTTGGCGACGTCGACGACCACCTACGTCCACCAGTCTCACCATGCATGTCTCAGTCAAGCATTTCCAGGGAGCCCGCGAGTTCACTTGAGCCGCTGTCAAGGCTGGAAACGAGGGCTCCCACGAGTGGCACGCGCGAACCAGGACGCGGACCTCTTTCTCGGGCATCGGATTTTCACAGACAACTTCGTCACGGCTAACGAGGCGCATTAGATAAGGACACATCGAAGAGTGGTAGAAGACAACATCGGAGACGGACTGACCTCAATACCAAGCCATAGATGGAATCGACATACGTGTACGAATGAATGAATGTATTGTAGTCCGCCTGTATCACTACAACACACTTCTCGTCTACGGCTATGCGCTCGGAGGCGCGACCTCGGGCAGGTTCGCGCCCAAGTTATCCGGGAGGGCAAGCGTCTGGTCCGTCTGGCTCTTCAGGCGGCCGCCGAACAGCACAGGCCCGTTCGCCGCGCGGAATGCCGCGATGCGTTGCTCGACCTCGGGACGGAAGTGGCGCATGAGGCCCTGGATCGGCCACGCCGCGGCGTCGCCGAGCGCGCAGATCGTGCGGCCCTCGATCTGCTTCGTGAGCTCGAGCAGCATGTCAATCTCGCGCTGGTGCCCGCGGCCCTCCGCGAAGCGGTCCATCATGTTCATCATCCACGTCGTGCCCTCGCGGCAGGGCGTGCACTGACCGCATGACTCGTGCTTGTAGAACTGCGTAGAAGGTTAGGTGAGGACGCGCGTGAGTGAACGGGTCGAAACGTACGTGAGCGAAGCGAGCAATCGCCTTAACGATGTCAGTGCTCTTGTCCATGACGATGACGGCACCAGTACCAAGACCGGATTGGGCATCCTTCAGAGAGTCGTAGTCCATACTGCGATGTATCATGAGCACAATGGAGACTGAGCCAGGAAAGATAAACCTACAGGACTTCTCCGCACTTGTCGATGGGAAGAACGGGAACGGAGCTACCCCCAGGGATGATACCGAGTAGGTTGTCCCAGCCACCGCGGACGCCACCGCAGTGCTTCTCGATGAGCTCCTTGAGCGGGATACTCATCTCCTCCTCGACCACACACGGGTTGTTGACGTGACCGGAGATGCAGAATAGCTTCGTGCCCTGGTTCCGCGCACGGCCGAAGCCAGCAAACCAGGCAGCACCGCGCCGCACGATTGTCGGCGCGACAGCAACAGTCTCCACGTTCGCCACAGTAGTCGGGCAGCCGAACAGGCCGACATCGGCAGGGAATGGAGGCTTCAGACGGGGCTTGCCCTGCTTGCCCTCGAGAGACTCGATCAACGCGGTCTCCTCTCCGCAGATATAGGCGCCCGCTCCACGGTGAAGATAGACGTCGAAGGAGTATCCGGACCCGCACGCGTCCTTCCCGAGGAAACCGTTCTTGTATGCCTCGTTTATAGCTTGCTGGACGTGCGAAGCCTCCTGGTAGAACTCGCCACGGATGTAGATGTACGCGGCGCTGGCGTTCATGGCGCGTCCGGCGACAAGACAACCCTCGACGAGTTTGTGGGGGTCACCGCGCATGATCTCCCGGTCCTTGCAGGTACCGGGCTCACCCTCATCGGCGTTGACAACAAGATACCGAGGGCTATGTTCATGAGCACATGAGGCTGACGCGGAACGAAGTACACGTACCGAGGATCCTTCTCCCAACCCGGTTTGTTCATGAAACTCCACTTAAGACCGCTGGGGAAACCAGCACCTCCACGTCCACGGAGTCCGGAGTCCTTGATGGTCTGAATGATCCAGGAGTCGCCCTTCAGGAGGATATCCTTGGTTTTGTGCCAGTCGCCTCGGGACTGAACAGGCGCTCTCAGGCACGTCATTCCCGCAGATGATTGAAGAAACGCACCATGGCACCCTTAACACCATGATCATGCCTGCAGTACGCGTTTGTGAAGATGCGGTCCTGGTCCTTTAGGCCGCCGTAACGACGAACAGGGGTGTCCTGCACCGTCGCAAAACCACGACGAAGTTTGGCCCTAAACGGCCGGGATATCTCTGTAAGAAGCATCGTGTGTCGTCAGTACAGCGGCCTCCACCGAGAGCTAGACGAGGGACGCACGAGCAGCCGCTGAGGGATGTCTGAGCATCGTGGCGGACGACGAGGAGAGGTGTTTGCTCGACGATGACCGTTGCTCGAATCCCCAGTGGTTCGGACAACGCCGGGTTGTTTGCTTGTACCTGCTTGGATTGTGGCGGCATGCTCGCGTGGCATCGTCAAATTGGGCGCCACTCGTTGGTCCTCCACAGCAACGACGCTTGTCCACCTGCCACCATGAAGGACCCTCTCAGTCTTGCCTTGCGTTGCTCGTACCCTTCGCACTGGATGTGGTCGACACTGGCTCGTAAATAACTCGGCCCATGTTGAAGGTGAGGCGCTTCCGGACTTCTACGGCATGGCTTCTGTCTGGGTCTCGTCATCTTGCAATCCTTCTCGCTCGGCCAACAATATCAGAAAACAATAGGCAACATGCGAATATCTTCCTCGGGTCTAAGACATGCCGCTACGGCCATGCGACATCGACTCTCTTGCTTTACGGTAGCGCGGAAGGCCGTTGATGCCATTGCAGCCGTGCTCTGGCCCTTCTGCCGTTTCCGCAGACTGTACTTCGCACTAAGGGCCGCTACGCGTGTCTGCTTCGGACCGGTCGAGTATGCTTTGATGCTTTTCAACCATGCCCCTCCACGGCCGGCACGCAGGTCTGTCGTCCTGTATGGCACACAACACATCCGAGCGCGTGGGCGAGCCCTCACGCTGTGCCCTCCGAACGAACAGTTTGTGTCAGGGATAGCACTGCCGTCCTTCTGCCGTCTGCGCCGCGCTGACCATGGGATCTCACTTCGCAGAATCCACCACAGGGTTCAGTCTCCTTCGAGCGCCCCGCTGGACGTATGGGCTTTAACTTTGCATCTGCTCATTCCGCACTCGGCATACTCTTCCAGGCTCAGCGAGAGCAGATCCAGGACTGTCCGGATATCACTCTCGGGCTTCCTAGTCTCGCCCGCTTCGCACCTTTGTTCTCCATCCGCACCGTGTATCTCAGGCGTAAGGCTCCGCTACCCACGGTATTCACGGCTTGCTCGCTCATCAGATTGACCTTGCCTCATTCCAGATGGCCGACCCGTATCTGAAGTCCCGAAGATACTAGCGCGCTTTCCCCAATCGTACCGCTCAGCCCTGTAGATCCTCCGCTCTCATTGGTCCTCCCGCTCTGGTACGCGCGCTTCCCACCAATCCAGCGAAGTATCCCAGCACCTCATGACCAGTGACTTGCTTCACGCCCACACTCGCTCTCTCCATCGATCAGCCGGGTCAAGACATGTGCTGGGGACGCCGAGATCCCCATTTGCCTCGACGTGCAATGGTCAGATCCGGCGTCGAACGAATGGGCAGCCCACGCACGCTATCTCCGTGTCTCACAGGCTTCCTGTGCCCGATTCTCGGATGCCGAGGCACTCTAGGCTTCGGTACCGCACCCGTTCGTGCACTTCCACTTCTGGACCCACGCGGTATGTACCTGCCTTGTCTATTGCGCGACTCTCAAGGCGACGCGGTCCAGAACTGACGCCGATCTCCCTGTGCTTGCGTCGATAACTTACGTTCCTATATTCGAATCGACAGGATCGTCAGCAGCGACTCTTCACAGTCTTTGAGTTCATGCCCGACCTGGACCGCGCCAGCGTGATACGTACGGTACGCAGTCGCGCCTCTTCTGGTCTTCTGTGCGGTCTTACGACGCTTCGGCATGCCCTGGACTCTGGATGTGGCATTCAACCTTGCTGGGAACATCTGCGATCTGTCATGTACACCTCCGGAACTCATGAAACGCGTTGGAACCTCCTGGAGGACCTGACAATGTGCTGCGGTTTGGACCAGTCTGGAAGTGCCATCACCTTTAGCGCTCGTTACGTCCAATATCGGTGCCACTACCGCCGACCACTCGTTCGCGGTCCGCTGGGTTTACGTCCTCTCCGAAACCGACCAGCGGCGTTCACGTCCATATGCCACACTTGCTCTCCGTGTCCCTCGCTCATCGTTCAAACGGCCCCCGGTGGCCCAGGCTCTCCATTCTCAGCATCCCGGTATCGCTTTCGATAGGCTTCCACTCGCATGCGCAGCGACGTCGCCGGGAAGTCGCGCTCTGGACGAGATCTGCATCTTCCTTGCTTCGTCTGCCCCAGTCCACCGATCGTGAGCCTATCCATCACCGGTCACTCAGCTCTACCTGACACTCCCTACAGCACCCATCCGTCGTCTTCGCGATCGAGCTCCGGGTTTACAGTGAAGGTATCCGCCAAACCTACTTGGACCAGACGAAGAGCTTCCAGGATCGTCTTCATCTTCGCGGCACACTGCTCGATCACGATCGGAGGTCGTACTGCTGCTCTGGCTGTGCGGTACCAATCTACAGGGAGAGTTTGACAGCCACCCGTCCCTATTACACTCGATCGTCCTCTCGCTGCGTACGCCTGACAGTTTCTTGGCCGCGCTCGGATTGACGCATACCGCATACCGCACGTCCCTCGTGTCTCCGCGTGGCTGCGACGCCGGTCGAACTGTCTGTCGGTTAAACCCTCGACGGGCCCATGTACGCCACCATCCCGCCTCCCGAGCATGCCTCCATCGTCGAAAATGCCAGCCACCCATCTATCTCTGCCCCTGATCCGAGACGTTTCCGCGAATCGTTTCGAAATTCGAACGGCCGGGGAGAACCACCCCGCGCACCTAACCCCATGCCAAGGGCACGTCAGCTCCCGGCGCCCGCCCTCTCCCCGTGCCAGTGCCACCCATCCACCGCCGTCATGCATCACGGTCCCCGACTCCGTTCGCCGTGATGTCTTCGCGTCCCTGTCCCTGGCGCGCACAGGCACGGGTGACGGTGCGTATCGTCCATCCGACGCTTTCCCGGCGTGCCGTGCAGCGATGGATTGTTCACGGACATGCATCGTGCCAGCCTGACACATACTGCAGGGTCGCGGGACGCCGTGTGATCGAGGGAACACCTTGGAGGGCGTCGGCGCACACAAACAATGACGTCCCCGTCTCCCCGATCGTGCAGCGTTGTGTGTCCTGAGCGGCGGCGGGCGTATGTACATGCTAGGGTGCGCTCCTCACGTAAGTCTCCACTGATGCCGACGTCTCTTTCTCCCGCCGGCTCACGCCCGAACCTTCAGTTCTGTGCCTCGACGCTTCGCGTTCTCGCGCGTTCTATGTGCGGACGGCCTCCCATGCGAGGCCCTCCGCGCACCTCCCACCGCGCACCGATTTGGCCCGCCGAGTCCTTGTTCCGCATGGGCACATAGCCACACCCCGAGCACGCACGCGCGTGTGTGCGCCCGCCAGGCACGCCCGTCCCCGCTCCTTCGCTGGCCTTCGATCGCGCGCACCCCGGGGCCTGTGACCTCGGAACGCGCTCGACACGCTCAAACCCCACATCGGGCGCGCACGGTTCACGCTGCTGTGCCTGTGGGCACGCGTGCGGAGAAGCTTCGTACGTGGCCAGGCACAGGTCGGACACACAACGCACGACTCGGACGCTTCTCCTGTTCATGCTGCTTTTAGCGCTGGGTCGCTCGGGATTGGTTCGCGGGTATGCGGGTGTTTGCGAGGCTGCTGTCCCGGGCGGCAGGAGCATACAGCGGGACGAGAGCGGACGAGGGGACCTCGGATAGGCAGAGATATCGCCATCGGAGACTCGCGATTACGAATGAGCGGTGATTTGTCGTATAGCTGCATCTCGACTGAGTGGCGGCACTGTTGACTTGAGATCGAGCTGCACATCGAACGACTGTGGATTTATCGTGCACACCCCATGATCCAGCCACGCCAGAAGGGGAACGACGCTCACACTTTCTAAGTTCCAACAGGTTCCAACAGATACTCGCCGGCCACCTGCAGATGCACGCGTCGTTCAACTGGTTCACGCCTGCTCATTTCGGCGAACTGTGGCCCGCAACAATGCTCGCGTACCCACTTCGCAGCCACTCCGCGCTAGGCCCCCGCATTCCAATCCCGGCTCCTGACTCACCATCAATATAGTACCGTGCGAGCGCGTCGACGAGCACATTATGATTCACCACCCACTGGAGGAGGTGCGCACGCCCGATCCGGGAGCGCCGTGCAGCAGGCCCAAAGCTCACCCGGAGAAATACAAATTCCGGGCCGATGCGCCTCCCCCCGGCCTTCTTCCCTCTTCTTTCTTTCTCGCCGGCCCTCCCGCTTCGAAGAACAGACACGTTTCCGACTTTTCGACTCCATCCCCAGACCCCTCGTGCCCAGCCGTCCGCGGGCGTACCCCCGATCTGCGCGTAATTCGTTCCAGAGCCGCGGTCGCATCGCATCGCGCGCCACGACTCGCGCGCCACGACGCCGACTCGCGAGCTCGCGTCCGAGGTGCGGTTCACCCGAGCGCGCGGATCGTACGTGGAGTGGCGGTGGGCGTGTCTGGGCTTTGGTCGCCGGACACCCGAATTGTTCGCGGGATAGGCGGGACGCGTATGGGTGCTCGGAGGACCGACGCACACAATTTTACAGATGCATTATGTATGACGATCTGCGGCGCCTCTGCGCGCGATGACACTGTCGGTGTCACCCTCGCGGTCAATTGATTCCCCTCTTTGCTTTGAACATCCCTGCCACACTCGCATATTCACACGACGCACTACGTACCTACGCACGAGCACCGTGGGCGCGAGTGTGGAAAAGCGTCGAGTCGTACGGCGGCGGCCGTGGGACACCTCCCGACCGCCCGGCGCGCGGTTTTTAAAGAAGAGAACTAGCGCGATCGGATTCGATTCAAATTCCCCGCCACGTTCCGCTGGCTCGCTCACTCGCACCCCATATCGGTGATGCCATGTACGCTGTCGGTGTATGTATTATTCACGCACGCTTCGATGCACGGCCTGGCCCGCTTCGCGTTCTGCAGTCAGAACCTTGCCCGGAGCACCGGAGCACGCGCCGATCGAAGAAAGTTCCCATGGGCGATGGCAGACGCGCGTGTGCGTGTACGCGTCCGGACGCGTTTTAAGGTTAGCGTTTGGGGCGCGCCGCCGCGCAGGGGAACGCGTCTGCAGAATGCGGACGCGCTCGACATGGGCCAGGTTAATGTTACCGCCGTGGGCGTGGGCGCGCACCAACGCCGCGCGGGCTCGCATGCGGAGCGGGGTGTGGGCTGCAACGAAGCGCGAATGGCCAGGGATCTCCCGGCATTCGTCCAGGGCAGGCATAGGAACGCGAACTTGGGGCTGGTATTGGGGTGGTGATACATCGTGCGTGCGGGGACGCGCGGGACAATGGACGACTACTACTGCTAACTAAGCGTGCGGATACATACGGGAGAGCGGGAGAGCAGCGGCAACGGATGGGGTGTACACATACACGACGGCGAGTGAGTGCGGAAGGTGTACAGGTGCGGGAGAAGCGATGCGCGGTGGAGCGAGAACGAGTCCCAGTCGAGCCGGGGGCCGACTACCCAGGTGGAAGCGAGCGCGAGGGATCCGGGGGACCGAGGACGACGAATACCCGAACAGACTGTAGAGTAGGTGTATGTGCCGGGGAACGGGACGCGGGGAGGCGTGCGACAGCGGGGACAGTGACGGGGGAGACTGCGATTGTATATACATACTACAGATGTAGATTGAGCGATGTGCCAGTGTCCGGGAGCGTCCGTCGGAGTCGCGGGGAATCGAGGCGCAGGATGAGTATCGATTGTCGCAGCCGCTGCTGCGTCGGAGTGGTATATGCTTCCTGGGGAGTTTTGTCTTGGGTTTTGGGGCCTGGCGCGGGGCCGAAGACGCATATACTGGTACAAGGGGCCAACGCCGTGATCGGGAGCGCGCAGAGGTGGCGAGGGCAATTGAGAAGTGGAGGGGCTAGCTTGGCGCGCGCGGGGGTCTCGGAGGCACGGACGATGGATGGATGAGCCAAAGAGGACAATGGAGGATGTTTGCAGCAATCTTGGTGGGGCCCCGGAAGCGCGATCCGCCGGCGCTCCACAGGGACGCGTCTCGACCGCGACTCACCGCCCCCGCCCGACGTGGCCGCGCCCGACGTCGTACGCGCAGGCGAGGAAGCAGAAGTGGCAGGAGCGAGGAAGAGTGGCACGCGCGATGGGGGGAGCTCAGATCGGGGTGGTTTGGACGCGGCGCGCGTTGGGCCGCTGGGACGCGAGGCGCCATTGTTTCTCCCAGTCCTGGAGACAACGGACGAAGCCCGAGTTGGGCTTGATGCAGGCGCGTTTGCGCTTGACGAGGTCGAATGCGGAGTCGTAGGTCATGTTATGTGTGTAGATCAGATAGGCAATGACTACAGCGGCGGAGCGCGACACGCCCTGGAGAAGAGCCACACGACGTTAGTCAGACGGGATGAGAGCGAACGCGTAGGAACGCACCTGTTGGCAGTGGACGAGGACGTTGATGCCCCGCCGTAAACGGTCGTCTATCCAACGCACGGTAGACTCGAGGTGGGGGCGGAGGTCGGCGGAGGAGCTGTCGAGGATATCGAGACGATAGCACTCGAGCTTGTTGCCTTGCGCGGCGTGCGCCTCGACGGATGGGAGCCATGGCGCATCAAGCACCTGGACGAGGGCCTGTATGTGGTTGGCCGAGAGGAGGGTAGGGTCGAGGATGGCGGAGAAGGACCCGAGGTAGAGTGCGCCGGTCTTGTGCTGGGGAGACGCGGGGAGGATCTGGTGCATGGGGGTGCACATGGCCTGCATGACCTCTGGGGGAAGGTTGTCGAAGCGAATCATGGCTGGGGGAGGTGGCGAGGGTATGCGGGGGCTATGTACAGTGCAGGAATGCGCGACGGATTTGGGGATTGGTGGGGGAGGGAGGAAAGAGCGCAGAGATTTATAGAGGAGGTGCGCGCATCCGGATCGGGCAGGGACCTCAATGAAGGGCCACGTGCGGGTGCCTAGCCGGCTCCGCCAAGGATTTCTATACTTGGACGAGCTGGACTGGGCCGGTGCCTGTCCCCGTCCCGCTCAGATCGGATCGTCCTTCCTCTTTCCCAATCCCTCGGTTCCCCTCTCCCTCCACTCCGTCTTCCGTCTCCGCCATCTCCCTCCTCGTCCTCCTCGTCCTCCTCGTCCTCCTCGTTACCTATCCGACGTCCCCGCTCTCTTCAACCTCCGCATCGCATCTCATCGCTGTCCCGACGCTGTACACCCGACGTCTCCGCCACCCCTCGCCCCACTAGAGGAGGCGGGGCATCGCGGCGGCGTCCTGGACAGGCCACGTCGCGCTCACGCTCTGCCGGCGGTACAACACAGCTCTCGATCGTCGTTCTGCCTGTGCTTGACATGCTCGAGGCCGTGCTGCGCGCCCCCCGTCATCGTCTCTGGCGATCGCGGATCCAAGTCGTCCCGCCTCATGCATATATGCGGTATGCCCCCGCTTCGAGCCTGCGATTCAGATTGTCCAGGTGCGCACAGGTCTCTCGATGTTCGTATGCAGATCCAGGTGGGCCTCGCGAGAGCACGATATCTATGCGAGGTATGTCTACTTGGACATCGTGCTCGAGCTCTCTCGTTCCTATTGATCTCGAGAAATCCACCTCAGTGCTCAGTATCTATGTCATCGCGTTCAGTAGCGACCTAGGTGCCCGGCCTGGATCGTTTTGTGGCGCCCGCGTGCGAGCCCTCCAGGCCCGATCGCGTGTTGCTCATCTGCATCCGCGCCGCTTCATTCTCCTTCCGAGAGTACAACGAGCGTATACGGGGCAAGGAAAGTCTATCGCTATCGTATGTCGACTGTACGACTACGTCAGCCACCCCGCCCCAGTTGCCCGCGGGGTTGCTGGTTCCAGAAGCTGTCGCGACGGCAGGGTGTTTGCTTACGTCGCACGCCCTTCGCTCTTGCAGACGTACCTGCAACATAGCAAACATATGGCAAACTAGTGTTGTATGTGTTCTCGCTACCCTGCCCTACACGATTGCGTTCTCAGTAGTTATCTCTATATAGATTCATCAGCGCGGCACCGCGGCTGAGCTCAGAGTCATCCTCCGTCGTGTTATGCGCTCGCAGTGCTACATAAATCTTCTTTCTGCGATTCACTTCTGGAAAACTTTCTTGGACGTCGTCCCAGGGTTTTTCCTGCCATCCGGTGTGTGCAAAAATGGGCTGGCGTTCCCCATCCTGGTGGGCCTTCTTCAGCGTCATGATCAACACGGACTTCGGGGCTTTGGCATCGCTAGAGGCCAACCACTCGCCGACATAGAGGAATAGTGTGTTGGCTTTGGCCACCACACATCCCGAAGTAGGTCGTCCGTAAAGTCTGTCATTGACGCGCGCTTCGAACTCTACCCGAGGGTTGGTTGGGTAGATTGTCCTGGAGACTTTGCATCTAGTTCTGAAAAAGAGATGCGGCGATGGGCGCGGGGGCGCTGGCAAAGTTCCGTCCCGGGATGCATTCCGCAGCTCCGTCTCACTCCACGCGGAGGGGGTCAGGACGCCCGCAAAAAGTGGGATATCCGGGTTCAGGCTTTTACCATAGAGTGGGGCGAGGACCCGGATCCAATATGCGTCGACGTGAGTGCTGCATGCATCTGGCGGCGGCATGAGCCGCCAAAGAATTTGCGTCATCGAGTTTTCAACATCATGGGGCGTTATCTTTGCGGCCATTATGGTAGTCTGTAGTGTCTGGTTGTGTCGGGGTCGCAACAGATAACGCAAAATATGCACGATGTCCTCTTGGTTGCTGTAGTAGCGGGTAAATGCGCAGAGCAGGAGCGCCTCCACGAATTTCTCCCTGGCGGTAGCAGCCCCTTTCGGAAGAACGACCGTTGAGTCTTTCGGACAGTCGGTCGTTTGTTGCGAATTGGCGGCGGCGCGTTCCAAATCCTCGGCGGTATGATACTCGAATCGTGTTTTCATAATGTCGAGGAGAAGGCCAATGCAATCATCGCACTTATGGTCTGATGCGGGCCTGACGCCGTATGGGGCTGTGGAGGGTGACGTCCTTCGTGTGGTAGCGCCTAACAGCTGAGGGTCGAACATCTGTACCGGAGATTCTTCGGCCTTTGGCTCAAATTGCAGACCGTTGAGTGCTCCATCTAGAAGGTAGGGCAACGGAGAGAGGGCATAACGTGATGCTCCGTCGATTGTGAGGACCGTCAAGGTTTCTGCTGGGCCGCTGATACCTTTCCTTTGGTATTCCCCCAGGACCCTTTCGTGGCAAGACCAGATATCATGAGCACATACTCACAGAAACGGATGACAAGGAGATACGCACCCATCCTGCGCAATTTCCCATCTCCCGGGGCCGTGATCCCATCTATGAAGAACGACGGCCTTCTCACAGAGGTCCGTCGGCTCCTCCGCACAGCACATCTCGAGAAGAGACCACCCACTGTGGACGTGTGGCGGTACCGAAGCGGTATTGATGTCTAGAAGGTCTGGTCCGGCAGTCAGAGGGTGCGTGGGGACGACGATGCAAAGCTTGGCGAGACTGTATATGTCGCCCATGTGCGTTGCGTGCCACTTCCAGTCGTCGCCGCCTTCGTCCATGGCTGCGGGGCGCACGCACGCCTTGTCGAACCAGAGGTATTGGACGTTCCTGGCTTTGGCGGCATGGCATACGAGCTTGAGGAGCCATATAGGCAGTTTGTACGGCTCCGGTTCTTTGAAACCCATGAACGAAGTCGAGAGCACGGCATATCTAGCGCTGCCGATGGCGGAATCCGCCGGATGTAGATTGCTTTTCGGTGCGGGCCCCTCGAGGATCTGGACGTCCGGCGACCTGGAGGAGTCAAGAAAGTCGTCGCAACTCAGAAGGCGGAACCGCTGCGGGGAAGCTAGCTTCAGCAGCGACTGGTACTTGCTGTGCGCCACATGACCTAGTGAGCGGAACCCGTCCGGGACTGTCGTCGTTGTATTTCGCAATGATATGTTATGTGGCGGAGGGGCCGGGGTGCCTTTGATCGGCGACATAGTGCTAGTGCTAGCGGGAAGAGATGTGGAAATCCAGCGTGTTTAAAGCGGCTTCATATAACTCCCCGCTTCTCCAGGTGGCAAATACGCCTCCGGCCACATTCATTATACACTGGGGCGCGAACGTATTTTGAGAGCCGCGTACGCCTCCGATCATGACGCGTCGCGCATGTCTTGGAACGGCAGCAGTCCGAGTGGGGCGCCGTGCAGGCTGTCATTGGGCGCGTTAATAATGCGATAGGAAATGGAAGGACCCACTCACCGCCACCATGGTCGTCCATTACGGGAGGCCACCTGGTGATGGGACACATCTGAAGGGGGCCGCGGCGTGCCAGATCAATCAGTACACTCGTGGCACGACCTACCGCAGAGCGCTCAGCCCTCAGGCCGGGCGGTGATCCAAGAAAGCCGCCTGAAGGGGGTGGGTGTTGTGCGTCATTTTCCTTCGGCGTGTTTCAGCTCGCGCGAGGGATTGAACCTGAGATCATGATTTAGAGAGATCTCGTAACGCTGCAGGTTAATTCTTGATTGAATGCGTAGACGGTGCCCGGCCGGCGTTGTGGATCTTGCTAGATGGTAGGATATGCGCTCGGGAAAGGGACGAGAGTAACATCCTCTTCAAGCTCGTGGGGGATATAGATATTGTGAGGGAATACGGCCGATGTATCATCAGCTGCACGTACTTACCTGCAGGATTCAACTAGGCATGATTCACGAGGATATGGACGTGGGCGGCCCATGCCAGACGCGGGTTTCATAATATTAATAACGTCGTCCTTATCTAAGAGGTCATAATGAGAGCGTATGAGACTTTGATCTGGCAGAGGGGATTACATCCGGCACGCCTGCTTTCTTTCTAGACGGGAGACGTGACGGTTGTTATACTTCCCTCGCGAAGTGCGTTTAGCCCGTTTTCCTCATATGAAAGAAATAACCTACATTTACGCAAAACGACATCGACCCACCTAAAAGCCAGTATGCCACCAGATATCCGAGCAGAGTGCGTTTTCGTGATCCTGGGCTACGTGTTCAACTTACTGGTGAGTGACCCGGGCTTGGCGTACGGGGCGACGACTCTTTAGCATAGCTGATACAACTTGAAGCGGGTAAGTAGTATCTGGGCGACAAGCTTGGGCGAATTGACCTTTAGAGGCGACACTGTGACACAGTACGTAGATGACGGCGAAGCGTACGGCTCAGAAGATGCATTCGATGAAGCTTGAACTTGAAGCGGAGCGAACATATTTGGCAGCCCAGAGTATATCGGAATAGATAAGATAACCGCAGTGCTACTAGGCGCTCCCGGTGCGCTCCCGGTGCACGCGCGTCCCTAAGCCAGTCCCATAGCTTCGACTTGAACTCGACAACAACTATCGACTGTCCACGTCTCAAGGGTATGTGTCTGAAATAAATCGTACTATTTAAAGAAGTCGAAATGTACAGGTTATGTGCTTGTACTACGCTCATCCCTTCCTACTAATCGAGAGGCGCCTTACGCAGCAAAAACGCCGGAGCCTAGTGCACTCGTCAAGTCATTATCAACTTCGCGCAAATACTTGCGGACGCTGCCGCCCGCTCAGGCCTTTAGCCAAAATATGTCTACAGCTCGGGAAGCAGAAGTCATGTAGCCAGTGTGCGTATGCCGCACGAGCATTACTACGGGGGTCCGTTTCTCTGACGCCGCCAGAACGTGGCTCTTCAAGCTCATGGACCTCAAGAAAAGCCTCTTAATACGCCCAAGAAATCAAGTAGGAAGGTAATCTCCGGAAGAGCATGTGCACTATTATGAATTGTCGGAGCCAATCGTCCAATATTTGCGACAGCTTCGGTGTCACGGTGGTGAGTGAACTTGCGTAATGTGTTGAATATAGCATCACTTATATAATTTGCAGGAACAACGCTTCTACGTAGAGTACGGCACTTTTAACGTGTACGATACGGGATTCAGCACGTTCGGCGACGGTCCGCAATGCTGCTACGTACGAGCTAGGTAAGGTCATCGGTGCTAGCCTCTGTGCGTGTTCAACTATCAGTAGGAAAGCCGGAGGTCGAAGGAACGTTTCTGCACTACCCGATTATTGCTGAACAACTGCCTATCAATATGAAAGAATGACATGTCCCTGTCATGAAGCCTACACCACCTCTCCGGGAAGAAGCGATTCTGTACACCCTTGTCCTTCCGGATAATCATAGCCCTTTGACGGCCGTGTTTGCCAACAGGCATGCGAGCCAGTTCCTTTTCATTCTGATCCAGTATTTCTCTGCTCACTGCCCGGTTATCAGATTCAGAACCGACGAATCCTTCCAATTGTCCGATGTACACCATGTAGTACTGGCTGGCTGGCTTCGGCCGCAGTGGCCCTACTGCTTGCCAAATGTCCCCATCGGTGCTTGAGAATGCTCTCTCGCCAGCCGATTTCGGCAGTTCCTTGGATTTCAACGAGACCTCTACGGCGTGCGCATTGGCCAAATGGAGGATCACGGTACTGTCATCTTCGATCCTGAGCTCCGATATCGATTCCGGGTTCCTGATTAGGTGCACGTCCAGGGGGGCATAGTAAAAGGGCAAGTCAGAGCCGATCCCATCGAGCAAGGACCTGTAGGCATTGATGAACTGCAAGTCAGGGTGTTTCCATGCTTCGACGAGGGCAAACACCATAATCCAGAATATGGTATTTCTGTTGCTAGTAGGCGAATATGTGCGTGTAAGGGTTTTGAGGAATGTAATGTGTCCGGGAACGTCGCCAATCGACGAACGTGTTGCCCCGCAGACGTTTACCGCAGTCTTGTGTGCCGTCAGGGCGCCGCACAGCCAGTAAGTGAAATTGTGGGTGTCTGTCGGAACATTGCTCGTAGAACTCAGTGCTCGCTGGAAGGCATTGAGAAGTATAGCATATTCCTTCACCCCGTTCACGATGGACTGGGCTGGCTTGAGATCAAGTGGCTGATAGGGCTGTGCGAGCATTGCTAGGAGGAGCGTCCCATATACTCCGCTGTATGGGTTCAGTGGAGCAGGATCTGAAACCTGGCCAACTTGTGAGGGGATGCTGTAGACTTCTCCAAACATGTTTAATAAGCCTGAGTCTGACGTGGTCTTTTCGGAGGGTTTCTCCGCTTTTAAGGCTTCCGGATCCCTTTGTGTCGGTGCCTCCTTGAAAGTGCCCCCTTCTACGATTACGCGCAACAATGTTGCGAGGAACGAGATCGCCACACCTGGAGAATTGGTGTGTTCCGCACGAAGTTTAGTTACGGTCTCACAGTTGCGTACTCGCGCAAGCCTCGTCGGGTGGTTCTCTTCTTGATTCTGAGGTCTAAATATGAGTGTCAGTCAATAATCCATGCTAGTATGTTCATAAGTCAGAACCCGCCAAAATACACTTACATATCCGAGTCATAGACCCTGCTAGCCGTCACGTCAGGCCGCTGCGGGAAGCACCACTGTCCACTTCCGTATTCGTTGGGCCAGGAGTGCAGCACCACGACATCCTCTGGTTTGGGACAAACAACGTCCAATAGTGTTTGGTACGCGCTGAAATAATCGGTCCTTTTTTCTATGGAGGCGTGTTTTCCAAGTCCTGCCAAAAGCACGAGGCAAAAATCTGCGTTGCTGAAGATTTGTGACCGGTTTTCCAGGTGCCAACGCACGTCGCCTTCATCGTCCAACATGATGCACAATGCATCTACCCATAGCCACCATGTCTTGGTGTGCTCATAGGCGGCCCGCGCGGCGTCTTCCAAGACCTGCATGTTGATAGAGATGGATTGTGCGGGCCCCGCAAGCGTGATCCATCTCCCGAATTTCGTGTGCTCGTTGTCGTTTGGGGAAGCAGGAGTAGATGGTTTATTGTCGGCGTAGGATAAAGCACAGTAGCGAGGAAGACTCTGAACAACATCGGTTGTTTTGGAGTCGTTTTTTTCGGACACTTGAGGGGAGTGATTGTGAAAGACGCTATCGTTAGCACGCCCCACTGGGGCCGGAAATGCATAGATGGCCAGCGTAGGTGTCGTTTGAAAGAAAGCCAGACCGTTGATGAGCCGAAAGGTGCCTGGCCGTGTGGCGCCACTCGCAGCTAGCCAATCAGATGGTATGGTATGCGGTTGTTGGAACTCGTCACATCTAGGGAGTTGCACACTGAGTTGAGGGTCGGGATTCATGGTGAGGACACTGAGGGCTTTTTGAGATGCAAAACACAATATATATATAGCTTTTCGACGAGGCGTAGTGGCAGCGATCCGCAGCTCTGATAGATATGGCGGCGCCATCCTGTAACGAGAAAGTCAGACGTGGCGTGTTTTAATGGGCGCATCATCGAGGCACTCGCCTTAAGTAGCAGGAGGCGATAGCATCTGTAAATTATCGAGACTTTATGGGGAGCCGTACCGCCTCGGCGGGGATGCTGTGGCTCTGCGATACCTACGTAGCATAAGCCGAAAGAGATATACAAAATAGCTTCAGTGGTAAGAAGCACTGCCTGCTTGTGTGTATTCTATGGCGCTGGACTCCGTAGAGATCAGTAATCACGTTTGATGAAGTATGTTGAATATATGCGGCACCAACCAAAAGCGGTCCGTATATACGGCGCTGCACGCCCTACAGGGGGCGCAGAGGCAGAGCTAGTGTTTCGAGTGTCTGATCTGGGTTGCCACCATACAATACACATGGCAAGGTAGTATACTGCGCATGTCTGCCATGCAGTAGGAGGAGGAGGAGGAGGAGGAACGATTTGGTTCATTCAATGCGCGCCACTCAACTTGCAACACAAAAGCACCCGGAGTGGGCGCCAGTATCCAAACTGAGAATATAATCGGAGTTCTGAATTTGCCTTGCTTGCTGCCGTCACCTAGGTTTGAATCGATGCCACGCTCGTACTCACTCTTCTGCAAAGTGCGCGATACCCACAATCCTAGCGCATCCAAGGCGCGCTGGATATTGAAGATATATGCATACAAAGCCCACACTATTATGCCCTCCACGACCGCGATGCAGTCTATGTCTCACGCACTCTGTGCCTCCGGTATCTCTCAGTCGGCAGCCTCTGCATAATCAAAGACTCGCACGAAGACAAGATGCACGAAATCGTGAGCTGGTATCATACCTATTGCTGTGAGCATCTAGCAATCATCGACACCAGCGCGGATAGAGTCAGCGAGGGCTTTGTCAACAATTGGCCTTCCCCGCCACAGTTACACGTCGACGACCTGGATGCACCAGGTGTGAAGATCATCGATCCCTTCATCTGTATTCCGTGTCTTCCTACCTCCGCTGACAGGCCAGTAGACCACCCGGTTACGGCGGCATACACTTCGGTACACACCCGGCGGGTAAACGGGAGTCATAATCGCTCACTCGCGAGCTTGAACACATCTGCACACATGCCAGGTAAGTGCAGTGATACCCCATGTCCCCGAGCTCCCTCAAGTTCAATTCCAGGGCCCTCTTCTTCAGATGCCAGACCGCTACACAGAGCGCCCGCCGCTCCCGCTGTGACGTGATTGATGAGTAGTGGATCCCCCACTCACGCTCTCTTCCTCCTCCACCGGGTGGCCCTATGGGCCACAGATGCGCACGGTGCGTAAGCGTACTTTTTGAGGGAGTATGGGTTTTCACCAGTGAGTGTCCTGTCCGACATGGTCGCGCGCGTTGCCGGTGTAGAACAATTTTTTCGCGCCCTCTTCTCGGCCTCTCTCACAAGCATTGCGGGGTGATGCCCTCATTCACGGCCTTCTCTCTTTTCAAAGTACCGTGCCCTGATTTTGCCGTGGACGTCCGTCGAAGGTGACGTCTCACAGCTGTTGAAGACATCTCTGAACGACAACGCACTCACAAAGGTGCTGAGGTGCGAGGTGATTCTCGGAGACGCCGCACTTCCATTTTGGTGAACATCCTGGTCCGGGATTACGCCCGCGTCGAGCTGGTGACTGCAGCGTGTATTGTTGGCAGCTTACGATCGTGCCCTCCAGGTGTGTCACGCTGTCGACCGTACTCCTCAAAGATTCCCATTCATATTCCTCAACGTTTGCTAGCTCGCTCGACGCGCTCGGACGCGCAGTTGCTGACAGGGTAACATACAAGTTTCTGCTCGTGTTGGGAAAACCGAAGCTCAGATGATAGCGATGGCGGAGCTGAGGTAGGTGTATGGACAGGACTTAGATATGTGTAGTGTCTGACAGAATGTTTGACATAAATGTCCGCAGAAACCCGTTCGTCTCCGTCAGGATAACCACACGCATACACATCACGTCCCCTCAAGGCACGAGTATTGCAGGTGTCACGCAGGTGCTGTCTCCTTTCATACGGGACAACCTTCACTGCATGCGCACTCCGACCACTGCCACCCCCGTGTTGTTATCGCCTCTGAATGACGTGTTGCCCGCAAGGTGTCGTTTGGAGGGTGTTGGACGACACCGTCGGGCCAGTGCTAAGCGCACGAGATCATATATGGCTCTACTCATTGTGGCCATCCTGTACGCTCCACTTGCCATGTTCAAACGGTGCGTCGCTCGCGGCGTAGGCACGAGTCTGATATGTACGTGTATCGCATACACATTAATTCGTGGCTAATGATCTAGCTAGATAATCCGAGGACTATCGGGCGATTACAGACTAGCTTCCTGCTCTACACCATCTCTCCTGATCCGCACTCGCAATCTCCGTGCTTAGTTTTGGGCCTTTGCGGAACGTCGATTGGTCATTGGCCTACCTGTAAAGGCCTAATTCATCGTGCGATGCATGTCTCTTCATCCTATTGCTATACACCTGCTGTCCCGCAATGAAGAACCTTAGAGCACTTGAACAATGTTCCTGCTTCTTCGTGCTGTCTTACACCAGGCTCTGCGTACATAAAATTTGCCCGCATCGCACAAATATCGAGCTCCATCGCCATCCAACACCCGATTTCAAACCCCCACGAGTAGCTGTGCGGTGAGCCATGTTCTGTGCCCAGGTCCCACGCAGCCTTCGTTTCCTCGGGCCGCATCGCTCGGCTCCAATAGAATGGCACAGACCACGTATGGCTACCCGCAGGGCCCTGATAAGCGCGTTCATGAACTATCTGGAGACTGAACCTCATCCGTGTTCTGCGCCATCGACAAGTATACCGTCTACTCGCGTCACAAAACGTCCTCTCTACTGAACAATTTTTTCTTGTCAATGTCCATGGACACCACACTCTCTGGTCTCACAGCAGGTCCCGATGAATTAACCCTCTCCCAACTACCCTTCTTCTCCGAGGACTGTGTCTACAACACTCTTCCCATGCCACAGATATCCCCCTCTGTCTGTAAGGCATGCTGGAAAGGTCCCTTTGCCAGGAACCTAGGGTTGTTCTGCACGTCTTCCCGAGATCGTCAATGGTACCCACCCTGGCCCGAGAAAACTTCGTACTCCACCTCGTTCGCAAAATTGCAATCCCGTGCCGATGCAGGCTGCGTATGGTGTCGTTTCCTCCTCCAAAGAGTGCGAAAAGCCAACAGGAGATTCGGCAAAGGGTTGGTCATCAAATTCTGGAGTACTGTGACACCGTGGTACAATTACTGGGGCCGGCTCGACTGGGAACACCAGTATCAAGAGTTGACAGTGGTCATCAACGGCGTGTACGGCTTCTATAAACCTCATATCGTATCCACGGCTCCAGGTGCGTCAGAAAATACTTAGGTGTCGTTAAGCTGACTGCCAAGGTACTGAGCTAATGAAAATTATTAGATGATCCTGCAGCTTCCTACATTTCGACGCGAAATCACATTCGGGATGTAGGATCTCCTCGTGCTATGGCCCTCGCAAGACAGCGTATCGACGAATGCGTGCACGGACACATATGCTGCAAAGATTTGGGGTCCCCTAACGGGAGCCCGGGAGGCCGTCTCCCCACACGCCTCTTGGACTGCAATGACCTCGCCCACCCACGGCTGGTCTCACCAAATGAAAGAAACGTCGAATATCTTGCGCTCAGCTATGTGTGGGGCGAGGACCAGATACACAAGACCACGAGATCCAACCTTTCCACGTACAAACGTGGTATCGAACCTTCCCTTCTCCCTGCTACAATCCGCGACGCAATCCGAGTCACGCATATGCTGGGTTTCCGATGGCTCTGGGTCGATAGCTTATGCATCCTGCAAGACTCGGACGAGGACAAGTTGCACGAAGTCGGCCGCATGCATAATATCTACCGTTATGCGCATCTGACGATCATCGCCGCAAGTGCAGATAAAGCCAGCGAGGGCTTCCTCCACACGCGGTCTCCCCCAGAAGACGAGATAGTTCTCCCCTTCATCTGTCCACCCAATACTTTGGACTCTACGGGGTGTCGGGATGACCATTTTGAGGCACAGCCGCAGAGTGGTACGGTGTGCTTCGGTCCAGAATCTTTGGCGTGCAACTCGTACAGTGATGACTTTGGGCTCATGTGCAAGCGCGCCTGGTGCATGCAAGAGTACCTGGTGTCCCCGCGCTCCCTCATCTTCACCCCGAGGACACTCCATTTCAGGTGCCTTACGGGAATGCGAGGGGTTGGGGAAGGCTCGCTCGGCCCCGCGTACGACAAACCCCAGATACCCCAAACACTCTTCCTCCAGGACCCTCCCGTGGCAAAACCTGGTTCCCCGGAGTGGATTGACATGCACGAGGCCTGGCTGGAGGTCGTAGGCGACTACAGCAGTCGTACGGCTAGCGTCGAGTCGGACAAGCTGGTCGCTTGCGCCGCGGTTGCGGAGCAATTCCACCGTGTCCTGCGCTCTGACTATCTCGCAGGTTTGTGGCGCTCGGATGCGCTCCTCATCGACCTGGTATGGACAACTGTCGAGCTTGAAGATCCAATACCTGAACGTCCATTGCACATTCGACCGACAGCATACCGTGCGCCTTCATGGTCATGGGCGGCGATCGAAGGAGACGTCTGTCAGTCTTTTCCGATCACATCGTACTACGACGGCGGTGGCATCGCGCTCGCAAAGATCATAGACTGCCGAGTCACCCTCCAAGATGCTGCCCTTCCGTTCGGTAGAGTCACCGGCGGGATGCTCGTTCTGAGCGGGACCCTCTTGCCCTACCACGGTGCAGATCTGATGAAAACCTTCGCACCGTTCCCCGACTGGACTCACTATTACCCCTGGCAGGCCCCCCTACCGTCTCTCGAACAGACACGGCGGCGCCAGCAGAGGGGTTATGGTGAATTTAAGGACGATGAAGACGGAGACGACTGGATAGAGCCAGAGGGACTACACTTTTGCCTCGACTGCGAGGATGATACGGGAGTCGGGAGACTATGGGCTGTCCCCGTCGTGCGATATCAATTCGGACCGCTTAATTGGGCCCAACACTGGGTGCACGGTCTTGTCCTTGCAAAGGCTCCCCCATCAAGCAGCTCAGGATCTGAACACGAGAAGATTCGCTTTCGAAGGATGGGAGTGTTCAAGGCGGCTGCCGCCGTCTCGGGAGGGCCGGCGCATCCATTGTGGGATCCGCTCACTCAAGCTACGCAGGATGGAGAATGGCCACTGGTGGACATCGAGATTGTATGACCGCATGATGCTTACGGTATGTGGCAGCCTAGCTAGGATCATCGTGGACAATGGCCTCCTTTTCATGACAGACGCGTACGCCGTTGGTTTGGGTCTTGCAATGTTTACTTCTCGAAACTCCACAATGCTCCGCTCCTCTTTCATATCCCTTGATCCACGTAGACCGACAGAAGCACTATCGAATTTGATTACTTATTCGTACATGCTTTAACATGAAGAGAGTTATTAGTGTCTCCGAGGAATCGTTATGGCGTAGTAGTATGAAACGACCTCCCTAGCGCTTCCTCGACATCTTTCAGCAAAGCGCGAGGCCCAGATGGTGCGCGAGCATGTACAGAAACCTCGCAGCGATGGCCCTGGACAGGTAGCCCGACAAACCCGCTAGTTAAGGAAATATGAGCGAGCCCGCCGCCGTTGAGGCGCGCGAGAAACGTGCAATGTCCATATGTCTGCCTCGAGCGTGACCACGAGCTCATAGAACGCTCCCAGCGCCGCGTTTTCCGCCGCCACGTCGACACAGCCAGACACGGCCCAAGTCGAGGAGCAGTGCGACAGGCGAGGGCGACGACGATCCCAACCTTGTAGAAACGAGCTCGGCGAGAGCCCGCCTCAGGCTGGTGACCATCGAGCCAGCGGATGACCCTGTAGTGTGCGCGTGTATCGCAGGGGTGCAATGTAATTGCGATGCCGGTGCGATGCACCGAATAGACCTTCAGGAGCAACTTGGTCTCGGAAAACGTGAAACTGCATGAGAGGACCCCTTCAACATAGAACCTCGGGTAAGGTGGGTCACTCACTTTTTCCCCAATGCTCTCCCGGAGCTATGTAGCTCCACTCTGCCGCTCACTCTAGGCCGAGCGAACAATCTCAAAGCGTTCGCGATCGTCACGGCCTCCTGCAGACACACCGCGCAGGACCAGAAGGTCGAGCGAGTGGAGCCAGGAAGGGTAGTGTAACCAAGGCGCCGACTCATACGAGGAGGATGTGCAGCCTGTCTGTTGTGATAGAAAATCTTTCATCTACTTGCACGTATGCAAGACTCGTAGCTGACATACCTCTGGCGGGATGCTTCCGAGCGCCTTCAGGACGATAAGCCAAATCCCCAACTTCAAACTTTTGAGTCGAGTTGCAAGTCTCGCCATCGAGCCTCAGTCGTCGCGGGAAACCCGTCCTTGTCATAGAACAGTTACCTGTGATGTAGGATCAAATGGAAGTATCCGGCTCCGCTGCTTTCAAGTGTTAGTGTTCTAAAGCGAGGAAGTACCGCTCTCAACATACCTTTGCAGATATAATACAGATTACGAGGTGAGGGTCAACATAGGCGTATGTAGCATCTCCTACTACCAGTCTCAGCGCACAGAGATTCTGGAGGAGCGACGAGGCGCGAGCGGCCGCCTCGCACAACATTGCCTGGGTCATGTGTAGACTCACAAGAGTCTCTGTTGTTTTTAGAGCGTCCCTGTATATGATATCAAGTTCAACGGGGACTTCGAGGCGAATATGGAAGAAGACAGACGTCGTGGTAGCTGCAGGAAGAGCGTCCGAGTCGACCGAGATGTCCGAGGCGCCCCCGCTGATAGTCGAGCGCCAAATGTCCGGATAATCCCGAAGCTGACGCGCCACATGTCCGAGCCGGCACCGACGGAACACACACTCTTCACTCGACCCCCATGTACGAACCTCGATGCCCACGATAACCATAGCCAGAGCTATGGATGCCACGTCGAATGGACACAAAATGGGAGCCTCATGTCTCTCTGACACGATAAAGGGCGCTGGGTGACCTCTATGAGTATTTACTGTGCCATGTTCACCGCGCTCGCGGTAGCCTTCACTGGTGCGTGGCAGTATGCTTGTGTTGCTATCTGCTCAAAGCCTGCGCTAGGATCTCCCAGGCCGACGGATGGGCCTCGTTGTACACCCGATCGGGGTCATAACTCTTCTCGACATGTCCCAAGTCCCACATCTACGACGTCCATCCCCCGCCGGCTTCTCTCGGCGCACTCGGATCTCCCCCGTGCGGGCGGGTTTGCACTTTGCATGATATCGAGACGAAGTAGATGTATGGTCAGGACGCGGACGCGGACGTGCGAATTCAGCTCGTACACGCGACACGTGGGGACGACAACGACATGGAGCTACGTGCGGTCCATCGCTCCAGATCGCGCATGCGTAACGGCGACCATCCACCAAATCTCTCACTGCAACAGACACGCGTTCTACGTGCGCGGCATTGCGCTGAACCTGAGCGAACATGTGCACGGTGCACGCGGCAACAGGTGAGTTCATAGACGCGTACAAAAGTATGTGCATCGGCTTCCGTGTTTTTGTCTCTCCGTCCCCCTCCTCCGCACCGATCCGCTCGCGCTCATGAGCCTTGAACTGTTTTGCGTACACCGAGGGTATGTGGGAGCAAGCTTCTGGAATCAGTCACTGCTTCGGAGGAGAAGCAGATCGCGCTCTTCGTCGTGTTCCTTGCGGAGGCCTCGCTCACGGGCATTGGGGCGGTGGACGGGCCGCAGGTTATGGGATAGAGGATACCCTCATAGGTGCGTATCGTATCTTCGTGCAGTTTGTAGCTAACTAAAACATAGATAGACATTGAAACCCTCTCCGTATGTAGATTAAACCGCCGCTTCCAAATATATGTGGCATCTGCTGCGCCGGCGCAAGGAATAGCATCGGGCGACCGTGGACAGCCCTCCCAAGTTCCAGCTGGTCTTCGCAGGCCTCTCTCTGTTCAAGTCCACCATGCGCGTGGCATCTCCTTTGTGCCCATGTCCCTCTGAAGACATAGTATGTGTCCATGCAGGACGCACGCAGTTGGCTCGAGGATCTCAATCGGTTTTAAGAGGTGCGTGAAGATTGGAGCAGACCCACGTTGCGCGCGTTCATCATCCTCTCCAATTCCACGCGCGTTCATCATCCTCTCCAATTCCACGATCTCCATAGGCTACACTCGCTCTCAACCGCTCTGTCGCACTCAAGATCGTGTCCGAGCTGATGGACGTACCAGGCCGCCGAGGTCTCCGGACTCCACCCTGTCCCAACTACACTCTTCCTCAGAGGGCGCGTTGATAGGTCCCGTCACCGCCTACCCCTCCGGCTGTCTGCGACGAATGCTGGAAAGGGCCCTTCGCTATGCAGCTTGGGCTTTACGTCGTGTCAGCGCAGGACGGACGATGTGGGCGCCGGCGCATGAAGGTCTCGTCCTCGCCATTATCCGCGGAATTGGAGTCTCGTATCGATGTGCGCGCCGCCTGGTGTCAGTTCGTCCACAGGGCGCGCGCCGGATCTTGCCATCTAGGTGCGTCTGAGTACACACCAGAGATCTTTAGCTGAGCGTCGGGACAGGACTGATAAATATCATCAGACGAACCTGCGGAACCCACCAGAGCGGGGTAGACCCGCGAAGTCATGAAACAGATTGCGACATCATCAGCACGGTGCGTGTGTAGTGCTACACTCGAGCACCGCCGGACAGCGCGCAAGTGACACATCATTCTCGGAATCTAGCGTTTCGTTACGACTCAGGTTCGATCTGCGCGCGCAACCGTTTACAGGCGGCGGCGGATACTATATGCGCTATGTCCGCGTCTACTTGGTCGTTGGAAACGCGAATGCTTCTCGAACACAAGTAGACACTCTTGGCTTTTCGGCCCAAGACAACTCGTCGCTCATCCCCATCGAGGCCGTCATGGTCGGCGCGACACTCGTGCCGTACGCCGAGTGAACGTCCCTGAGAAGCAGCTTCATCCTGAACAACGCAAAGCTACGCGCGGCCACGATCAGAGCGACGTCTATGCCTGAAGACTGCCACTCGCTTTTGCTCGATGCACCCCCACCCACCCGCGACGAACGCGAAGAACTGCCCGCTGAGAACAGCCCATTGCGCTACGTCGGGCCCCGAGCCACCTCCCCGGGACAAACACCTCCGCACCCGGGACGCGCCCACATCGAGCCGATGCAGCGAGCACGGCTGACCGCTCACGATCGTATCCTCCGGGGAGCGCAACGCTGTCGACTGCGCTGCTCCCCGCGGGCACCAGTCAGGGCAACACTATCGGGACGGGAACAAACACGCACAAGCCCTCCTTCACGAGCGCTTCGAGGTACGGGAGGTTGTCGAGTGCTTGGAGAGCAGTTCGGCGCGAAGGCAGTCGTGCAGGTGTTGGGAGGCGATGAGGAAGATATGGTGCATGACTAAGCAGAAGGCGTCGCCGGTCGTGTCGAGCAGGGCGACGAGACGGTGGTGCGTAGACTTCGCCGACGCTGCCGTGACGATGTATGTCAACTCGCTCTTACTCGCTCGAATGATACTGATGCTCTCACTCATTGGTTATCCTGACCGGATATGGGTAACCACAGGGGTATAACTCGACTATCCTGCTCCGGTGGTCGCATTGCAGCTTTCGGTTGTAAGCTTCACGCCAAGGAAGACACCGGAACAGCTTCTTCGAAGCAATGGGCGGCCGCCCCCACCGTGTCCAGTACCACGATGTGCATATCCACATCCAGTGAGGTTATTATGACCCCTCTTATGCACTGAACCTTCGTCTTACTTGAGAAGACGTCTCTTTTCAGCGTCCGTCACACCCGGTTATCGTCTCCGGCCGCAGCGAATGGCCTCATGATCAGACGTGCAGAAATAGCATGACATGCCTGATGACTAGTTGACTCCCCGAGGACGCTCGTCACCGCCTCGACCTCCGCAACTCGATCGTATATGAAAGCTGGAGCTCATTCAAGGGCGGTATTGACGCGTCTCCACCGTAGGACCTCCTCCTCTGATCACCATGGGCGTCGGCGGTACTCTCTCTCAGCTACCGTTCTTCTCCGAGGATCGTGTCGACGGGTTCACCCTACCACCAAAACCACCTCTCATCTGCAAAGCCTGTTGGGAGGGCCCCTTTGCGATTCAACTTGGGTTCCCTTGCGGGCCGTCACAGGAGGGTCAACTGTTCAGGCGGTTGGGCAGGTCCTTCTCTTACTCGACCTCAACAGCAGATTTGAGGTCTCGCGCTATCTCTGGCTGTATTGCGTGTGAATTCTTACTCGCGGTATGGTCTGAGCATATCAGCGCGCGCAGTTCTGCAGAGTGCAGAAATTCGTTGTCAATCACGGTGCGGGGCTCTGCGCAGGAATTCGAATATTGGAGACCGAAGATCGTTCAAAGAATAGACGTGATAATTAACGATGAGGATGTCTTCACAGGGCTTGTGCATACCACTCCAGGTGCGTCAGGGAACGGAGAGTCGATACCACGCTAATATATATGGTTAGATGACCACGCAGCCCCCTACATCGTCATGAGAAGCCCCATCCGAGATGTTGGATCTCCTCGTGCGCTGACCCTCGCAAGAAAGTGCATCGACGAATGTGTCGAGACGCACGAAACCTGCATCGCTCTCGCAGCGTCGTCCGATCCTCACCTTCCTACTCGCGTCATCGACTGCACCAATCCTGATCTACCCCGGCTGGTCTCAACAGAAAGCCAACGCGGCCAGTACCTCACGCTCAGCTACGTTTGGGGCGGCGATCAGGTTCACAAAACCACCACAGGCAACGTATCCGCATACGAACGCAGTATAGACATTTCCCTTCTCCCTGCCACCATCCGCGACGCGATCCATGTCACACACGCGCTCGGCTTCTCGTCCCTGTGGGTCGACAGCCTTTGCATTATTCAGGACTCGGACGAGGACAAGCGACGCGAGATCGGGCGTATGCACCACATCTACCGCTACGCGCATTTGACCATCATCGCGGCGAGCGCAAACAAGGTCACAGAGAGCTTCCTCAACGATCGGCCACCCCCACCATGCTTCAGTGCGAGCGCTTTCAATGCGAGCGCTCCTCTTCCAAGCGGCGACTTAACCCTCCCTTTCATATGTCCTCCTCGTGTCCCCGCCGCATCAGAGCCACAGGCGGGCACCGTGTACATCACCGCGATGCCGAGCCGCACCTTGACGCCGGAAGAATGGCCATATAGCGCCCACCTGGGGCACATCGGCACGCGCGCATGGTGCATGCAAGAGTACCTCATGGCCCCGCGTGCCCTCATCTTCACTGCCAGGACGCTCCAGTACCGGTGCCTCACCGCGACGCACCATGTCGGCGACTCGCTCTGCGATACGTACGACAAGCGGCGGCTGCCTGATACCCTCTTCATGCGCGACCCGCCCCCAGCGCAACCAGGCTCCGAGGAATGGGCGAGCGTATATACGGCATGGTTAGGTGTCGTCTGGGACTACAGCCATCGGGCGGCGAGCGTCGCGGCGGACAAACTGGTCGCGTGTGCCGCGATTGCGGAGCATTTCCATCGGTGCTTGGACTCTGACTACCTTGCGGGACTCTGGCGCGCCACGCTCCTCGCTGACCTGCTGTGGAGCAGACGGTGGGACGAATACGGACACTACCCAGCGGCGTATCGCGCGCCATCGTGGTCGTGGGCGGCCCTCGAGGGGGAGGTATTCTGGAGTGGGCAGTGGTCGCAGGCGTTCTGGGCAGACAACGCTCTCGCGAAGGTCGTGCGGTGCGCAGTCACTCTGGAAGACGATGGGCTTCCGTTCGGACGGGTGACTGGCGGGAGCCTTGTCCTGTCCGGGACGTTTCTACCATGCGTCTTGCGCGCCTCGGCTAGCACCGCCGAGAATCGTCGACATACAATCCTCTTACGGTCTCTCGAATGCGCACGGCGCCAGGAGTGGGCAGAGACAGTAACCAGCACGTTGGGCGGTGGCGAGTTCGAGGGCTGCGACGTCGGAGTGGATCCAAAGCTGTCAGGAACCGCCGTGATTGACTGCGAAGCTAATGTTCAGTTGGGGAGGATGTGGGCAATCCCGCTTCTACTGGCTGAATTCTCGATGAACGGAATAGTCGTCGCTATGGCCAATAACGGGGCGGGCTCTCAGTCTACGCACGAGAAGGCTCGCTTCCGACGGATCGGGTACTTTTACTATCAGGTCGAACCAATCAGGGAGGAGCATAGGGACTCGGCGAAGGCGGCGCGCAGCCTAGCAGAAGCACTGAAGGATGGGGTATATCCGTCAAGAGAGATAGAAGTTGTGTAGCACTAGAGTAAGTCGTGCATAATAATGGTGTCACTGCTTTCTGTAACTGACGAGGAAAGCAGCGGTTTTGCCAACTGCCACCGTTGCTCAGGCTGCGACGAGACCACCTGATGTCCCTATAAAACATCATAAAACGTTCAATACGCGACATTCTATAGCATGTTGCTTTCGATCGAAGTAGGTCGGCGCCCTCTCGAGTGCATCCAAACCCATCCACACCCATTCTTCCACTCTGCAAGTTCCTCTCGCGCCAGGCGTGAGGGCGGCGTATTGATAATGATATGGAGAAATTCGTATCAGACGCATGTGCTCGTGGTCTGCTGAATGCTATAGGAGTGTGGCTGACAGTACTCGTGGCAAATGGACACTAAGACTCTTTCCTGTATTGCGCTTGTGAGTTGGATTGGACGAAATGCCGTGTATAAAAAAGCAGACTCACAGTCGATGACCGGAGGCACGACTCTAGACCGCTTTCCAGGCTGGACAACTTGTTGCGCAACGCATGGGTATTGATCTAGATGCCATTCAGCCAGCGGCTATACTTCCCATATGTTATCCAAGTGCGCCGTACAACTGCTTGATCAAATCAGCTGCCGAGGCTCCCAGGGGAAGTAGGTAGATAAAGGCGTACATGCTTACCTCGGGCACAACTGCAATATCCCTTGGATGGGTTGCACTCAAAGAACCGCCGGGCATATAAGAACAACTGGTGTATTGCACCAGCGCGTCTTCAAGTTGTTTACATTTCATATCAGGACTTGACCAAAAGCGCTGTGAATACCATGTCATTACCGAGCGCGACCAAACAGATTGCATTCAGACTTTCTCGAACACGAGCAGACACTTTTGGCCTTTCGGCCGAGCCGAGACAACCTGGTCGTCCATCTCCATAGAGGCCGTCATATCCGGTGCGACGCGCGTGCGGTACGCCGAGTAAACGTCCCTCAGGAGCAGCTTCATCTCAAACAGCGCAAAGCTACGCGCGGCCATGATCAGCACCACGTCTGCGAGCAACGACTGCCACTCACTTTTTCCCGATACAACCCCGCCCGCCCGCGGCGAACGCGAAGAACAGCCCGTTGCGCTCCGCCGCGCCCTCCGGCTCGAGCCACCGCTCCGGGACGAACGCGTCCGCGTCCGGGAACACGCGCGCGTCGAGCCTGTGCAGCGTGTACGGCTGGCAGCTCACGATCGTGCCCCCAGGGAGCGCGACGCCGTCGATCGTGCTGCCCCCCGCGGGCACCAGGCGCGGAAGCGCCATCGGCACGGGGCAGAACACGCGTAGGCCCTCCTTGACGAGCGCGTCGAGGTAGAGGAGGTCGTCGAGTGCGGCGGCGGGGTTGGAGTGCAGTTCGGCGCGCAGGCGGTCTTGGAGCGGTTGGGAGGCGGGGAGGGAGAGGTGGTGCATGAGGAAGCAGAGGGCGTCGCCGGTCGTGTCGAGCCCGGCGACGAGGTGGTCCATGCACTCGGACGCGGCGAGCGTGAGGTCTGCGTCTTTCGATTCGTAAAGACGGAGCTTGTCGAGGAGGGTGTGCGGGGAGACGGGTGCGGAGCGCACGGTGTCGAGCACGTAGCGCACGGAGGAGAGGCCGTCGGTGCGTAGGTTGCCGAAGCCGATCGTTTTGCCTAGGAAGCGCGCGAGGCTGGGGAAGTAGTACCGGAAGTATTGCTCTGACGTGCTGTGTCTCAGGACGCAGGATCACCGGATATGTAGCGGCATACCTTTGATGAGCGTTGGGTATGTCAGCTCCTCCATCATCGCGAAATCGCGCGGATTGGTGAGCGAGTGAAGGCCGTTTGGGTGGAACATGTGTCCGGTGATGCCGTCGAGGGCGAAACAATGGAGCAAGAGCTGTACGGCCACGAACCATCAATAACGGACCTGTGGAAGCAGATAACGCACGTACATAGACGTCTACACTGCGTCCTGCACTTTCGGCGCATTTTTCTACAAATGCGTCAACGTGCTCTTGCACGACAGCGCTCACTTCCGGGCGCATGATGTGCGTTTTGTTGTAGCGCTCAGCGAAGCGCTTTTTGACGTCAGCGTGCTGGAGACTGTGTGAATGCGAGAGATTGTGCGCGAGCCTTGCCGCGTACCGTGCCTCTGTCTAAAGTCGAGAAAATATTCCTGATGTGTAGCATGATGAGTATGAGATCAGGGAGGTACTGTACTAATCGGACCATAGCGGGCCCGGTTGTGACCTGTGACAGGTGAGATACGATGCGGGGCTCCGGGGCCGCGCGCTGTGACCGTGGACCGCCGCAGCGGAGCGGCGGCGGGAGCGAAAAATTTGGGCGTCTACACCCATTTGGGCCAAAGATCCGTATGTCACAGCCGGCGGCGGCCTCTGTGACTGAGGACAGCCGGGGAAATAGCGGGGCGGGGAGCCTCTGTGACTTGTGACGCCCCGCTATGGTCCGATTAGTACAGTACACGATAAGAGGCTTACGGAGTGTCGAAGTGTTCAAACAACCGGTAGAACGATGTCTTGTCGTATCCGCTGCCGCCCGACGTGTAAATCTCCTTCGCGGCCTCGCGTGTGGCGAACGAGACCTCGTCGGGGGCGACGCGCACGACGGGGCCATACTTGACGTGGAGGGCGTGGATCCATGCGCTCCTGCGTCCGGTGAACTCAACGAGTATGAGCGGGAGGCGGGTCAAGGCAGATAGTGCAGGACCAGGAAGGCGAGCGAGGGGAGCAAAGAAGAGCCGGTAGAGAGAAATCGATAGCAGCGCAACGGCGGAAGCTTGCGCGGCGACTCGGAGTAGGGGTGTGTCGTCCGTCATGGCGAGTGTACAATCCTCGAGCTGCTTGCAAAGCCACCACGACACCAAGACTCGTAGGCAGGCCTCTCGCAAGATGCTGCGAGACGACCACAGCGCGATAAGCCTGCCACTGCAATCTCCGACTAAGGTTTACCTTCTTGTCCCACGGCTCGAGCTTCTGACTTCGCAATTGAAACATCGGCCTTGGTGCGGGCACATGTCTTGTAGATATGGAAGAGTGACCTGCATTATGGATGACGTCCCCAGCACGAAGCAGAGCCGGTTCAGGTACCGAACGAGTATTCCCATGACGTTGATGCCCTCAATATTTTCTGTGGCCTCCGCGGTCACAGGATAAGATTCTTTAGAACGACGAATTTTAGAGCTTGACATACCTCCCCGCAGGATACGCAGATACAGATGCGAATCAACAACACATGAGGTGCACGAGGATGTTTAGCGGAGCGATGAGTACTTGTGGTTGGCCCGCGCGAGATGCCCATCGCACGTGGCACGTAGTGCGCGCGTAATCGAGAGAGATATTCCAGTTTCCCAATGATTCCTGAGTTATTCCGAGCAAATGAGGAAGACCTAGCGGTGGTTGTGGTGCACAGAGGTCAGGACGGGTACTGGTCAGAAATAGGAAGAGCACGTTGATCAACGTTGCCGCCAACCTTCGGGCGCCTATGTCAACGAATCCCCGAGTTGCCCGGATTGGCGCTTGCCTCCCGCCGCCACCGACGAAACGCCTGTTCCCCAGACTCGACTGCCACCGAGGTCCCTGCGACGAAGGCATTCTCTCCCTCATCCATTGGCCATCCCAATGTCTGTCTGCTGCAGCACATGTTACGCAAACTGGCGACAAACACACGCTTAAAGGGGTTACAAGCAATCAAGGTCGTTCACTGCGCTCGCGGTGACCCAAGAAGTAGTACTGGTGACCCTCCATGTTTGCTATGCTCTTCGTACTACCTGCTGAACCAACGGCTGTTATTTTCAGACTGACTCATGCTTTTCAAAGCTATCAAGGGCCTTCGCTATTCACATCCATCTCGCCTTCACCCGCAGAGACGCGTCCGGGCGCGCAGCTGCCGACCCGCCAGACTACGACTATTTACTCATCACGGGCACGCTTGACTTGGGGAGGCAATTACGGCCTATAGCCAGTAGACATATGGCAGGATGCAGATGTGTGCTGCCTCAGCTCATACTCATCACATGCGGAAACGACGTCAACGCAGGATCGACTGGTCCCGTACTAGCCCTCGTGGACTACAGAGGCTATCATCAAAGCTCTCTCTGGAAGGCCAGATGCAATATATGTCTCTACGGGAATAGAGCGTTGATTTGGCACATATGCCTACACGGCCGCAGGTGAGTTCGTATATGTATACGTCCCATCCGCCCCCACCCCCGTCTCTTCATCGCGTCCGCCCTCGACCGCTCCTGCCCTCTCGCGTCTGCAAGGCCTGAAGCTTGAAGGCCCGCACTGGTCTCGAAGTATTGTCCGTACGGCTGCCCCATTTCGTAGTTGGCGCTCCTCGGCGCACACACCTCGCGGGACCGCGCACTGGCGGTGGGCTACGGCCATACGGGGCATAGTCACAGGTGCGTGTCCTGCTTTCGTGACGCTTGCCGCTGGCTGAAACGTTGGCAGCCCTCGATGACCTGACGCCTAACGATCTCTCCTTGCTCTGCTTGTTCTTCGCACGCTTCACCTCGTACTCCTCGACGAGGGCGACTTCGATCTGAGGAATCTTCTTTGGATTTGCCGCCCTCCATTGTACTTGTACATCTGCTATCCTCCCCATCGGCAATGCATATCGTCCACGTCTCCCTTGTTCTAACCCAAAGTTGCTGTGCTGCCGGGTTGGTCGACTCTGGTATGCGGAGGAGATTATAGCCTATGCTAAGCAAGCAGGGTGTAACCAAACGGCGATTGTCAACACCAAGCCTGCCTAGTCCGGTAAATCCTGTTTGTCTTTCCCCCGTATCAACCTACCTCTGATGCATCTCACCGACTTGATACCCCGTAGATGTTCACCGTACACTCTGTCGTACAACGTCGCTCGCATGGTATCGTTGCGAATGTCAGTCGATCCATCTGGCGCTTTGCCCTGGGGTTGAATAGTACGCCTTTCGTGCGCTCGACTCGCGTGCGGGTCATCAGTGCGTATAATCTCACTGCGGAGACTCGCTGTACAACAGTCACTTTTCAGATGCGCCGCATTGTACGCAATCAAATCTGTCCGAGGTTCGATCTGTCATATTCCTCGTGCGTTCCTCGTTTTATTTCACACCTTCATCACGAAACATAAGTTCAAAGGCACTTTCAGCCCCTGTCGCTTCCAGAGGTATCGGCGACATCAAAGTCAACAACGCGTAAAAATCTAGATTCTGGCCAGGACGCCTGTACTCCTCGGCCGCCCATGGCTGAGGCGATCATTGTATAGCTTGACATCGTTATCTTCTATCTCTAGCGTGTTTCGCACTGTGTAACGCTGCAAAAAATTGCATGACACTCAAGTTCTGCAGCTGCATCTTTCGCGCGCTCAATCACACACTTTCCTGGCAGATGACATACACCGGCATCGCACGACCGAATTCCGACCGAGGTCTTCTATGTCTATTCCACGACCCAGCCTTCGCTCCTTCGGGCCGTGTCACTCGGCCAATGTAGCACGACATGCACAGGACGCGCACCACTGCCTGGCGAGCGGTGAGCGCTTCTTCGGAATGTGGAAACCGTGCTGCACCCGTCCTCATCCCCGCGCTCTTCGTCGTCTTTTACTTCCATCACAGTGCATCGTCCCCGCTAGTTCTCCCCTTTCTTTGATCGGCATGGATTCCGCACTCTCTGAGGCCCCCTTCTTCCCCGAGGATTTCACCCTGCCTCAACTACCCTTCTTCTCTGAGGATCGCGTCGATGATCTTCCTCTGCCAGCCACGCCTTCCTCTATCTGTGAACACTGCTGGCAGGGTCCCTTTTCCAGGCCTAGGCCCTTAGGCCTTCTCTGGTTATGGTCGCGGGACGGGCACAGGCGCCGGTGCAACGAGTTCAAGTATTGGACCTCGCCGGCCAGATTGATATCTGGTGCCGAGGCAGGCTGCGTATGGTGTCGGTTCATCCTCCAGCTTCCAGACGAGCACTGGCAATTCTATATCAACGAAGGGCTGATGATCACATTGCGGGGTAATCCGGCGAAGACCTGGGACGAAGAACCAGAATTCAACCAACGTTATCAAAGGATAGATGTGGATATCAACGAACACACCATGTTTAGAGGATTTATGTATACATATCTAGGTGCGTCGGGTACTATGACAAAGGCAATCTTGTTCAAGCCTATCAGCGTAAGGATAGAGCTGACACTAATTTTAGGTGATCCCACAGCGGCATACATCGAAGTGCGGGACCCCGCCCCAGATCCAACATCTCCTCGTGTCATGGCCCTTGCAAGAGAGAAAATCGAGGCATGTGTTCGGGGACATCGGCGCTGCCAAAGCTTGAGCTTAGCTTTCCCTGGTCCTCGTCTCCCTACACGACTTGTAGACTGCACCGACCTCGCTCAACCACGGCTAGTTACGATACCCAGCACAGAACACGGCGAATATCTCGCGCTGAGCTACGTGTGGGGCGAGGACCAAGTCCACAAGACCACGACATTGAACGAATCCACGTACAAACGTGGTATCGCCCTTTCCATTCTCCCTGCAACCATCCTGGACGCGATCCGCGTCACGCATATGCTGGGATTCCAGTGGCTTTGGGTCGACAGCTTATGCATCATCCAGGACTCGGATGAGGACAAGATGCACGAACTCAGCCACATGCATCGAATCTACCGTGGTGCGCATGTAACGATTGTCGCCGCGAGTGCGGAGAGAGTCAGCGAGGGCTTTCTGCAAAATCGACCACCCCCAGAAGACGGCGTCGCTCTCCCCTTCATTTGCCGTCCACACCCTCTGATCTCTCAGGCCAAGTATCGGGATGACCATTCCGAAGGCCAGTGGCAGGTTGGTCAAGTATACCTCTCTCCGCGCCAAGCGTTGGAGCCTAGGACGTACAGGTCTCTGTTCGGATGCATGGCCACGCGTGCTTGGTGCATGCAGGAGTACCTGTTGTCGCCTCGATGCCTCATCTTTTCCCCTCAAGGACTCCGGTTGAGGTGCTGTCAAGTCATGCGGTCTATTGGAGGTTCGTCCTGGGACCGAGCTTTCATATGCGACGATATCCAGCTACCCGACACTCTCCTCCTCCCCATCCCGCCTGCAGCAGACCATAATTCCGGGAAGTGGGAAACGTTGAACGGAGTCTGGGGGGTTATTGTAGGGAACTACAGCAACCGCACGGCGAAGGAGGAGTCGGACAAGCTGGTCGCGTGCGCTGCGGTTGCAGCGCATTTCCACCGCGTCCTGCGGTGTGACTACCTTGCGGGCTTGTGGCGCTCGGACACGCTCCTCGTAGACCTTCTATGGTCGGCACGAGGCTGTACTCGCCCAACAACGTACCGTGCGCCGTCATGGTCATGGGCGGCTCTCGAAGGATCCATAGAATGGGGTTTCCCAGATTCCCAGGATTTTGCGATGCTCGCGAAGGTCGTTCAGTGCTGGGTCACGCTTGAAGATCCCGGACTTTCCTTCGGTCGAGTGACGGGCGGGGCCCTCGTCCTATATGGGGTGCTGATACCCTGCTGCGGTGAACTCGCTGAAAGAGACGGCCATTTCTCCCGGTGGTTCGTCCCCCTTCCCCGGTACGAGAAGCGCTACCAAGGGAGCCGCGACAGCCCAACCTCCGAGCTGGAGGGAGAGGGTGAAAAGCACACAACAAACCCAGTCAGCATCGCACGTGTCACGGTCACCATGGATTGCGATGCCGATGAGCTTCCAAGGAGTATTTGGATTGTCCCGTTTGTGGGGTACAAACAGTTTCGTAGCGAAGATCAGGTAAACGGAATGGTCCTGGAACTCACTCGTCCTGAGGTCATCTCAGATTTCAGTGACGATAAAGCACTGTATCGGAGGATTGGGAAATTCTGTGCCGAGTTGCCCTCGAAACCAGAGCCCATTCGCATCGAGGGCTCGTCGACAGAGATTCTATGGGATCCGCTCACTTGGGCCAGGGAGGTTAGAGAAGGCTTTTTTGAAGACTCTTCCTATAAATGTATTGAGATCGTATGAATGATGTGGAATTTGGACTTGATTCGTCGTAGGGGTGCCGGTGAAGGCTACCGAAGTGATGAAGGTGTGTTCAAGAAGGCGCCTGGTAAACTTAATGAATTAAACTCTGAGGGATGTCATCGCGCCTACTAGTAAGCCTAAACTGGCCCGGGACTAACTTGCCGAAGTATGGAGTAGACGCACTGTGTTCTATGTGCTCACCAGTAGTCCCAGAGTCCAATCTATCATGGATGTATTCAGGGCCCGGAGTGTTCTTTATCCTCTCCCGATTTGGATTCCATCTTGGTCCCATTGGTGCACATTCGAACGCAGATGCAGTGTTTGAGGTATATAGAGTAGAGAGCGAGACGAGGGCGAGTCAGCCTGGCAGTGAGTTGTTGAATCAACGCGAATAGTTCCAAGTCATCGGAGCTCAATCCTGCTTAGCTGAGCATGAAATCTATGGTGGTGCTCATCGGCGCGGACTGCGCCGCGCGCGGAGTGCGCAGATTGGAGGAAGCGCTGGGCGACGCGGTCACTGCTCTACCACGACTACGAACGACGACGCACTCGTGCGAATGCCCACCGGCTCTCTATCAACGTGCTACCTACTCTGTGCTTCTATTTTACGTGCTCTCATGTTGTTCCGTACGTGCTGCTGTTGAGCGGATGCAGGCGGTGTTCGTTCCAAGGACGCTAGCTGCAGCGCTCGTTTTCTGCCTCTTCTCGTATGCAAAGACTTTTGCAATGCCCCGAGGCCTGCGCATAGCCCCGCCCAGGGAAAGAGCACTGGCCGAGCTTGTTGGGAAAGATTAAAACTTGTGTTCCTGCTCTGTGGTACGAGAGTGCGATTCGCATTCCTCATTACGATCTTCGTACGCTGCTTTCGTGTTATCACGTCTTATTTGCGGCGCATGGGTCACTCGTGAAGGTATGTGTACATGTTGTGCAAACCGCTCAGTAAGATGCAGAACGCAGACGAAGTACAAGCACGTACCCGATTTGGAAGCGCTGTGGTAGCCCAGCCCGGGCAACCCGATAAACCCGCCGATCGACGAGATCTGGATGAGCCGCCCGCCATCCCCTTGCGCGTTCACCTCCCGAAAGAACGCGACTGCCGCACGCGGGACATTCGCGGGGCCCCAAAAGTTCGTGTCGAACATCGCGCGCGCATCCGCCTCGCGCGCGCATCCGCCTCGCGCGCGGACTCAACTTCGCCGAATGTGCCCCACGCCGCGTTGTTTACCACGACGTCGAGCCGGCCGAACGCGGCCTTGACCTGTGAGAACGCCTCGGTGATCTCGTCGGAGTTGGTGACGTCGAGCTTGAGTACGAGGAGGCGGTCCGCGGGGTACTTCGCCTTCAGATCGTGGAGTGGGCCGGTGCGGCGGGCGGTGGCGACGACGATTTGGCCCTTTGCGAGGACGAGCTCGGTGAGCGCGCGTCCTAGGCCGGTGGAAGTGCCGGTAACTGAGGAGCGCTGAGCGCTGAGCGGGCGTGTTAGATGCTTGAGCTATGTACTCACTGAGCCAAATTGTAGGGGATGGCATAATGTCTACGCGGGTATTCAGAGTCAATGTACTGCAGTGTGGACGGGGCAGATATACTTCGCCCTTTATACACACGCGGTTCTCCGGGCGTCCGGTCTGCCACGGATAGTGAGTAGCTCGTCAAGTCGGCGTGATCTAGGGCCCACCAGTGTAGACTCGGGCAGAATCCCATGTTGCCCGATGTGTAATTTCGGCAGGCCTTTCAGTGAGCTATGGAAGCACGAGTTAGGGAGTACTGTATGTGGGCTGGGCTGTTCTGTCATCTCCCGGTTCCGGGATGAAGTGTCAGCGAAGTCGCCATTCTACTCGCATGCGTAGGTTGGGCGTCGCCAGCGTGATGGATCGCAATAGTTTGCAGATACGGGAGGAGACGCCGCGTGATGTGTCAGCCAACTGTGTTCGTGAAGAGCAGGGTTTGAACATACCACTCTGATTTAGTGGGTGCATGATAGGTGCTTCTGATACTTGTCCAGCCAAGGCTCGGGGTTGCGAAGCGAGATTCGTTGATTATATGGCACAGAAGCCTCAAGATAGTGCGCACGATGTGTGTCGTGTTGCAACGCCTGGCGATGCTTTGCTTGGTGTGGACGCATCAGGGAAGAAAGATGAAAGGCACCTCGCCGCATACTATGCTACTGGCCGGTCAAATGTGAATGGGATCGACGTAGATTCTGGGAAAGTGTTACCATTACGTGCGTTGGTAACCTGTTGAGCGGCCCTGTCGTTTTCAAAGTACAGACCGCACTATATCAAAACATTCTACATTTCAGCTAATCTAGTATCCGGAGTAAATCCAGATACGTACGCAAGTCAGCAGGCCGGAATCATGCTGGAGGAGCGATGACTCGGAGGCGACAGCGAGACCGTCTCACACAACTTTTGCCCAGGTGCGTTTATGGTCTCTTGCGTATCTTGTGGTATTTTTTCGAGTTCAACCCCGCGCGAAAGGTCAAGAAAAGAGCCGTATGTTGGCGGTAGAAGGAAGAGCGTTGAAACGTTGACAGGCGGCAGGCCAGCGACCAGCGCCTCCACACAAGAGCTTGACGTGCCTTGCTTTTACTCTCTCGTTCCCCACCGTCTAGAAGAGTATGGCAAATCTACCTCTGGAGAACCTTCCATTAATGATGAGATGCTCTCTCCCTCTCCTAGCTCGACTGCCAACTGTTGCGAGGGGTTCCCCCATGCGTAATACGACACGCTCCGACCACCAGTTTTTCAGCGCGCTCCACGGAGTTGTTGGCGACAAAGACGAGATTCCCAGTGTTTCAGGTGATCAAAAGCACAGGGTACACACCGTGGATGTACTGCAGATCGCATAGTGCACAACGATTCCGAGTTGAGCGAACGCAGTTTTGATCTGTGGTAGTGCGTCGGTGTTTTCCGCTAGCTACGTAACGTCGAGCTTGAGCATGAGGGCGCAGTTAGAGGGGTATTTCGCATACAAGTCGTCAAGCGAGTCGCTAGGTCGCTACTCAGACCGGTTGTGACGGCGCCGACTTTGCTCTTTGCTCTTGCGAGAGCTCGCCTCGATGAGGGCGCGGCACGGATTGACAAGCATGCCTATGACCAAAAAAGCGGTGAGTGCACCTTCACATATGTGCTTCGTAGACTCACCGCCCCATATTCAAGCTCTAGAAGATGTCATGATGTCGACCACTGATTCTGGCCGCTGACTCGTCTGGTTTCACCTTTCGATATGCTACGGGTATACCGAGAACTTTAAGCGAGGCAATTGTGTGTTCTCTGTAGTGTACGAGGACGAAATGTAGTAGTAGGACCTGACAACAGTGGATGAAGCTGAGAGAAGGAACGAGTTGAGTGACGTTGAACAGTGAACACCGCGATCGTACTGGCGCAAGCGCCCAGACCTTGATTACGTAAGTGACAAATCGTTCCCCCTGTCTTCCTCGGACTCTGACTCCAGGTTCTCACTCCGCGCCTGTAGTACACAAATCACCACAAGCAGGTCTTCCGCGTTGTATCACTGCTCTCGTCGGTTCTGACACACCTGTTCAGTGGAGGATCACCCTCAGGACGAGTCTAAAGCATCCGGCGCCTTCGATCACGACACATCCTCAGGCCACGATGTGCCCGAGTACGAAGCCTACAAGTACTATGGTGGTCTCTCTGGCTTCGGCGGCCGCGGTCCCAAACTCGTATACAGGACATCCACTGACAGATTCATCCGTCCCACGGGGCCCGAAGCCTACAGCCGGGTCATGAAGCTTGTGCAAGTTTCCGAGCATCACAAACTCGGCCAGGATGGTTTGTGGGACCGCATTCGTGTTGAGGTTCAAAGTGTCCTCCGACTCGATGTCAGCCATCTGCATGCTCACATGCTCACTCTAGGTGGTCACACTCCTCGACCGGAGAGGCATTTCGTTCTCGTCCGTCGACCTCGCTCGTTTCGCCTGGGTCAAAACGAATGTCCCAGTCTCAAAGGATGAGGGCGACAAGAACGAAGACAAAGAGGATCCGGCGAGCGAGGAGCAGCCGGACCACAACGAACTCCCACACTTCAAAAAGCGGGCCAGGGTCTACACTACACCCGCAACGATCTGGATTGGCGTCATGCCCAACACCACCACTGCCGAACAAGCCTACCATTCTTCCCGAGACATTCTCGACTTGCTCGCACAGCACAAGATTACGCACGTCGAGGTCGCATACCGCGAGTCGAAGGTCACGTTTTCGGGCGGGCCAGCGCTCTTCGCGCCCCGCCGCAGCTACTCCGATCCGCTCAAGGACGTCATCGACGGCCTGTCCTCTGCCCTTAGTGTTCCAATCGCCCGCCTGAGGATGGACACGCAGGGAACTCTTGGGCTCTACTTCAAGGCCGGGAATCACCTTTATGGGGTCACCGCGCGCCACGTTCTCTTCAAGAGCAACGAGCCCAACGTTGAATACAACTATGTCCGAGGTACGTCCTTGCCCCAGGGACGCAGTAGTTCCCCTCTGACTATGACCACAGGGGGAGCAAAGAAGGAGGTAGTTGTGATGGGACCGAGCGCATTCACTGCCCACTTGGAATTCCTCCAGAAGGCCGTCCGCGGCCATGAAATCAACGTCGAGTACTTGGAAAGGTGCATTCTATCGCTGACGGCTCAGGCGGAAGATATCGGCTCCGAGTCCGATGCAGAAGAGTTGAAGATGGCATTATCGAAGACACATAAACAGCTGACCGACACCCGAACAAAGATGGACGCGGTCGCAGCCCATCTGGAGATCGTGAGGGAGAAGTGGGGGAAGCTGGAGGACCGTGTGATCGGACGCGTCGTCTGGGCGCCTCCCATCGCCGCCGTACCTCCCCACCAGTACATGCAGGACGTCTGTGTGATCAAGCTCAACAAGGAGAAGTTCCACCGTTTCAAAGGGAACGTGCTCAGCCTAGGTGCGTGCTCGTCCGTCTTTCTAGACACGTCCAATCTGACGGTCCGTGTCCTAGGCCCGGAGATCGATCCTGGCAAATTCGAGGGCTTGATGTGCAACAACCAGTACGATGCACCGCGTGAATTTGAATATCCTCCCAGTGGTCTTCTCGAGATGCACGGCGTCCTCACCGAAGAAGAGATGCACACAACCCCGCCAAGCGAATCCATCCGCCGCGTCATCAAACGCGGCCCGAGCACGCTCACCACCATCGGCCGTCTCTCCGCATACGCATCGCACGTCCGCCGGTACTACCCCACCGGACCTCTCGACTCAGTCGAGACCGCGATTCACACCGACCACCCGGACTCGCTTCCGTTCTCCATGCGCGGTGACAGCGGCTCTGCCATTGTGGACGCCCGTGGTAGGTTCGTCGCGCTGCTTACGGGCGGCGCGGGCATAGACGAGATCACGTATGGCACACCCTCATGCGAAATCGCGTACGGCACGCCAATGCACTGGCTGTGGCCCCTCATCCAAGCCAAGTTCGAGGGTGCCTCACTCGAGTTCGGCAGCGACACCTTGAAGGTGAACTACTAGGGTTCGTCTCTTCTTCCTGCCTCGACCTTCCGCGTTTTCAGCTGATGGCCCTAACGTCAAGGCTTTGGCACAACGTCACGCCTCGTTTGTCTTTATGTTTTCATCCTCTCCGCTATCTTCAAGCAACGTACCGTGCACCATCATGGTCATGGGCAGCGATAGTCACTCGTAACATGCTCGATATATTGTTGATATATTGTGATATGTTCGATATATCTGCGATATATTGGCTATGTCAGAGGGAGGTTTTCCCTGATGTAGAAGGAGTCGTCAACCACTGGTCTACTTCAACCCGGCTTTCGAGGACCCGCAAAGCGTCGCGCTCGCGAAGGTCGTCGAGTGCCGAGTCACGCTCGAAAATCCTGCGCTTCCCTTCGGTAAAGTGACCTATGGGACTCTCGTCTTGAGCGCGACGCTGATACCCTGCCGTGGGGGACCCGCCGCAAGATCATCCGGTGGCTGGTGGTATGTGCACCTACCGTCTTTCAACCGCGTACGGAACCAGCAGCAGGGATGTGCGCTCGGTGGCTTGGACTCGCCGGAGGGAGAAGACGAAGCCGACTCGAGCAAAGTAGGGGACGGTGCAACGTTTATTATGGACTGCGACGCCGACGAGCTTCCGGAGATGTTGTGGGCCCTCCCGATTGTGCGTATCAAGGGGAATAGTTACGAGGACAAACTGGATGGGATCGTGCTCGAGCTCGCTCCTCCATCCGACCGCCCATGGCCTGAGCGCAAGACGACTCGCTTCCGCAGGATTGGGCAATTCTGGGAGATCATCCAAGTAGTGGGCAACACGGACTTCACGGAGCACCCGCTGTGGGGTCCGTTAACTCGGGCGATGCAGGACGGAACTTGGCCGTTGGTGGACATCGAGATCGTATGAGTGAGTGTTATGATGTAGTACGCTATGGCTGACTTGGTCCCCTGTCGTCACCCGTTCTGCACATCCATTCCGCAACGCCCCTCGAGTCATCCTTGCTGCTGTACCCCCGCGGCGCTGCGCCGCAGAAAAATACACAGTGCTCCAACGATGCGGTCGCACCCAGTGCGCCTGTTCCATCACACGGCTCGTCCAGATGACATTCGCCGACATCGCACAATCGAACATCAGTCGGGCCGCATTCGCCTTCCATGTTTCGGCTGGCCATGACAGGTCTTCTCACACGGCCTTCGTCTCCTCGGGCCGTGTGGTTGGGTGAAGATACATAGCACGACATGCACCATGCACAAGACACTCGCGTTTTCCCGGAGGCCGGTGAAAGTGATAGCGGAGACTGGGCAATACTTCGTCCTCGTCGCCTAATCCCGTCTCAGCATATACTCTTCATCGAACCTCCCCTTTCTTCAATCTCTATGGACGCCACCATCCATGAACTCCCCTTCTTTCCCGAAGAATTCGCCCTGGACCAGCTCCCCTTCTTCTTCGAGGGCCGTGTCGACGATCTCCCTCTGCCGCCTACACCTCCGTCCGTCTGCAACGCATGCTGGGAGAGGCTGTGTTCCAAGAACTTCGGGCTTCCTTGCATGTCGCCCCTGGACGGACAATGGTTCCAGCGCTGGCCTGAGGAGATCTCGTACTCGACCTCGTTTGCGAAGCTGGTGTCTCGCGCCGACGCAGGTTGCGCATGGTGTCGACTCGTCCTCCGCGGGGTCCGGGGCAGCGGCGGCCCCGAGGACCCACTAGACGATCCCGGCGAAAGACTGACTATCACGGTGCAGGGCTCTGTGGAGAAGCAGGACGACTGGCAGAGCTATCAAACGCTGGTCGTGAAAAGCAGCGCATTCTCAGAAGACCTGAGAGGATTTGTGTACGCGGCTCCAGGTGCGTCGGCGTGCATACAGGAGCTTTTACTAGGCCGATTGTGGGGATAGAGCTGATTCCAGAATTTGTTAGACGACCCTGCAGCGTCTTACATCCCCACGCGTAGCCTTGTTCTTGATGTAGGATCTCCCCGTGCCCTAGCCCTCGCACGACAGCACATCGACGAGTGTGTCCGCGGACACGCCGAGTGTTGCCAAAGCTCGGTGTCTACTGCTAGCCTTACCAGAGGTAGGCGCCTTCCCAAGCGTCTTGTGGACTGCACCAACCTCGCACGACCACGCGGGGAATACCTGGCGCTCAGTTATGTGTGGGGTAACTCGGAGCAGGCCCACCAAACGACCACATCCAATGTCTCCGCCTACGAACACGGAATCAACCCGCGCATGCTCCCCCAGACCCTCCGCGACGCAATTCGCGTCACGCATATGCTCGGCTTCCGCTCGCTCTGGGTCGACAGCCTCTGTATACTCCAAGACTCGCCTGAGGACAAGGCGCAGAAAATCAACGGCATGCATCACATCTACCGCAATGCGCAGCTGACGATCATGGCGGCCGGTGCGCAGAGTGTCGACGAGGGGTTTCTCTGTAGGCGAGATCCCCTCTATAACGATGATCAATACATCGCGGATGAGTCGGAACCTCCCATACCAGAAGATGTCGCTCTCCCCTTCATCTGCCCTCCACGCCCTGCGACCTCTATGGGGTCTTGGGATGACCGCTCCGCGCCGCGGCTGCAGGTCGGCCAAATGTTCGTCGCTGACTCGAGTACTGCGCTATGGCGATCGCACGGTGCCGAACTCTGGCGCATGTCCACGCGTGCTTGGTGCTTGCAAGAGTATCTGATGTCCGCGCGCGCCCTCATCTTCTCCCCCAGGACACTCCTCTTCAAGTGCCTTGCCGGTACGCGCGGCGTCGGCGGCTCACTCTGTGCCATGTTCAAGGAACCCCGGCTACCCAACACCCTCTTCCTCCCGATCCCACCCGAAGTTGAGCCTGGCTCCAAGGAGTGGAAGGACACACACACTGCCTGGCTGGGGGTCGTCAAGGACTACAGCCGCCGCTCAGCCAGCGTCGAATCGGACAAGCTGGTCGCGTGCGCTGCGATTGCAGAGCAATTCCACCGCGCCCTGCGCTCTGACTACCTCGCGGGCCTCTGGCGCTCGGACACCCTTCTCACGAACCTGCTATGGGAGGATGACAAGGTCGAGTCTTCGATGCTCGGGCGACGCCACACTCGCCCGACAGTGTACCGTGCACCGTCCTGGTCATGGGCGTCGCTCGACGGGGTCATCCAGCAAAGTAATCTATATACTATGGACTTCGAAGACACTCAGACCGTCGCACTCGCGAAGGTCGTTGAGTGCGTCGTCACGCTCGAAGATGCCGCACTTCCATTCGGCCGCGTTACGGGCGGGACCCTCGTTCTTCGCGGAGCGTTGATACCCTGCCGTGGCGGACGTGCTGATCGATATGCTCCCGCATGTTGGACAGTGCCTCTACCGTCTTTGGAGCACGCACAGCACCAGCAGTGGGGCCTTGGCGGTGTGAACGCGGAAGGAGAAGACGAACTTGGCGACACGATGAACGCAGGGGATAGCGTAGACGTGACTCTCGATTGCGATGCCGATGAACTGCCAGGGGAGATTTGGGTTGTCCCGCTTGTGCGGTCCGTCTGGAGCGGTCGTCGCGTGCACTTTTCCGGGATTGTCCTCGAACGAATTGCTCCTCTGTCGAGCAGCTCACAAGCTGGACACCAGAAGACTCGATTTCGGAGATGTGCATACTTCCGTAAGCTATTGATGGAAATGGAGACGGACTCGGAGCACCCACTGTGGGGTCCGCTAACTCAGGCTGTGATGGACGGAGAATGCCCTTCGATGGAGATTGAAATCGTATGAGAGAACGATGCTTGCCGTACTATGTAGTAATATGTGGCTCACAAAAGTTAGCGAGGAAAGCACACGATGACTGCCAGACAACGACTTTCGAGCCTGTCCCGTGTGCTACCTAGTAAGCGCCGAGCGCAACAAACTCCGAAAATATCGGAAAGATAACCGCAGGCGCGCCTTGCCTCTCGCCGCCACCGATGGAACGCTGGAAATCTCTCCTGACTCGACTGCCTCCTCCTCCTCCTCCTCTCCTCACCGCGACGAGGGCCCCCTTTTTGCCCTCTCGTAACGCACCAACGCTTGCTCTGTCTCTCCCAGGGTCGCGCAAAATGGCGACGAAGGCAGCCTTCCGTCTTTCTGACGCGATCAAGAACACCGGGCGACCGCCGTGAGTGCGACCTCCAATGGTGCACGATTTGCTCGCACTCCTGGCTGAAAACCTGCGTCAGGATTCCACAAGCGTATGGATGGGCCGAATCATACACTCCAACATCATCACGGCCCCTCCTCGACATGTCCCAGGGTGTCCCAGGCGTCCCTCCTCCATCCACCCTCCTGGACGCGCTCGGACACGCAGCTGCCGACCCACAGAACTGCGGATACCTCCCCAACGCTGGGACCCTTGAGCTCCGCACAGCGATGGCGGCAGAGATGAAGGAGGTGTATGGTCAGGATGCGGACGTCACCCCTCAAGATCTCATCGTTACTGCAGGGTGCAACATGGCGTTCGTCACGGTGGCCATGACGCTTGCCGACAAGGGAGACGAGATTATCTTGCCCGTACCTTGGTAGTGAGCTTCTCCTTGGTCCGCGTCGACGCAGCGTGCTCATGTGCGTGCGTCGTGATGCAGGTACTTCAACCACGAGTGAGTGCCCTCAAAGCGTGTATTAAATGTCTTGTTAACTCTGCCGGCGCGCGTAGGATGTCGCTTACGATGCTCGGGATCAAGCCTGTGCTTCTGCACACATACGCGCGCGAGGGATTCCTGCCATCCACGGAACGCTGCGCCGCGTTGATCACGGAGAAGACCAAAGCAATCGTCCTCGTCTCCCCCAACAACCCCGTGAGTGTTCTCAGGCGTTGTTTGCAACGAAAGCACCCTCAACCTGCGACCGGCACAGACGGGCGCTATATATCCTCCGAGCCTCCTCGCGTCCTTTGCAGAGCTGGCCCGCTCACGCAACGTCGCACTCGTGGTCGACGAGACCTACCGCGACTTCATCACCACACACGCCCCACACCAGCTTTTCGCCCCAGCAGCAGACTGGCGCAGCACATTCATCCACCTATTCTCCTTTTCCAAGTCGTACTGCATCCCCGGGCACCGCCTCGGTCTCATCTGCGCGTCGCCCGATGTCGTCCCCGCGCTCTGCACGGCGCTCGACTCGCTCCAGATCTGCGCGCCGCGGGCTCCGCAAGTCGCACTTGGGCCGCTCATCCCCTCTCTCCGGCCTTTCGTACGGGAAACGGCCGACGCCGTCGCGCACAGACATACACTGTTCAAGGCGAAGCTGCCGAAGAAGTGGCACATCGGCTCGCAAGGCGGATACTATGCGTTCGTGCGGCATCCGTTTAAGGGCATACACGCGAACGCGGTGTGCGAGCGCCTAGCGAAGGACATTGGGGTTTTGTCGCTCCCCGCAGGGTTCTTTGGCCCGAAAGGAGACGAAGAAGGCACCGTGGGAGACGAGGACCGTTGGGTGCGATTCTCGGTTGCCAATGTGGATGACAAGAGGGTTGAGTTGGTTTGTGAAAGACTGGCGGAGAGCGAGCAGGCCTTCGGATGGGAGCTAGACTAGAATCATTAAACATCCCCTAGCGCTCGAATTGCCTGGTGTAACTGTCAAAAACTCCCTGGAAGCAGCTAACAATGCTCACTTGGAAGGTGAAGGGGGTGGGGACATGATGGGGCGGACAGCAAGTGAGCAAAAAGTGGACCCTCCGAGAATCGAACTCGGGACCCTTGCATGGCATATGGTAACCTCATAAGTACAAAGCTCTACCGATTGAGCTAAGGGTCCGTGCTCCAATACAGCCCCTTGCATAAGTAGAATCTCGTCAGGAGTCATGCAAGACGCGTCTGAACGCGAACTCTCTCTCCCTTGAACTTTCCACCACCATCCTCTCATCCGCCCGCTCTTGTGCTTCCCCTGTCCGCGTCTTCCATCTTCACTGGAACAGGCTTCGTTGACTGGCGGCATACTCTAGAAAATGATACAAACTGGGCTGATATCGAACGCGCACAGCGACCTGGTGACAGACGCGTCCTATGATTTCTACGGCCTCCGCCTCGCCACCTGCAGTCTCGACCAGCGGTGCGTCTTCTACCCACCACTCAGATCCTCTACAGTATACCGAACGGCGTGCAACATGTAGGGTCAAGGTCTGGCAGCTTGACGAAACCACGGGTTCATGGTCGCTCGAGCATGACTGGAAGGTACGCCCCATTCCCTTTCTTCGTCTGAATGTCCTGCTCACGAGTGCCTGCATCCCCGCAGGCGCACGACGCCGCGATCTCAAAAGTGAGCTGGGCGCACCCCGAATTCGGCACGATCCTCGCCACCGCGTCCTTCGACCGCACCGTCAAGGTCTGGGAGCAGGTCTCCGCCGCAGCCCCGGACGCGGACGGCGGCGCGTCGTCCAGCGCGTCCGCCTCGCGCTGGGCGGAGCGCGCGATGCTCGTCGATGCCAAGGGCACCGTGCGCGCCGTCGAGTTCGCCCCATCTCACTTTGGCTTGAAGTTGGTGCGTATCTCATTCCGCGCGCGTGCTTGTGCCCACACACAAAAGATGGGTGTGACTAACGTTCCGCGCGACCGCAGGCAACGATCTCGTCGGACAACTGCCTGCGCATATACGAGTGCCTCGAGCAGCCTTCGCTCGCCGCGTGGCAGCTCATCGAGGAGGTCGACGTCCTCTCGCTCCCCATTTCGGCGTCGCCCGCCGCGCGCTCTGTCGCGCAGACGCTCTCGCTAGCCACGCCCACGCAGACCGCCTCTGCGCCGCTCGACAGCGCGTCGGTCTCGCTCGTCGCGCACGCGCTCCAGCAACAGGCCGCGCAGAACCAAAATCAACTGCCAGGGAGACCGGGCTTGGGCACGCGCGAGGTATGTCTTGAGATTCCTATATCCAGGCGTTGATGTTGAATGCAGAGTGTAGGCGGATGGCGGCTGGTCCATATCGTGGTGTAAAGACAAGTACTGGGGTGAAATCATCGCGGCGGGGTGTGGCATCGACGGTATCGTGAAGGTATAGTGCTCTACGTACATCTCGCGCTACATACTCTGACCTCGGTATAGATCATCCAAGTCACCCCTTCGCGCCGACCATCATCACTGCTCAGCCTCAACCCCGCGCCCGCGTCCTCCGCGCCCTCGGCCTCAGATCCGTCTATCAAATCACCCGCGGCAGCAACACATGGGTCCAGCGGCGCAGGATCAGGCGACGGGTGGACCGGGGCGAAGACGTGCGCGGTGACGTCCATCGCGTGGGCGCCGTCGTGCGGCCGCTCGTACCACCTCGTCGCGACCGGCGCGCGCGACGGGCACGTGCGGATCTGGCGCGTCAAGCCGCCCACGCCGAGCGAGGACCTCGACGCTGGGGCGGAGGAGGGCGACGGCGCGCAGTGGACGGCGAGCATTGTGGGCGACTTTGACGACCATAAGTCGGCGGTGGGGCGGGTGGAGTGGAATATCACTGGGTATGTTCAGTCTTGGCTGTGGGGTGGGGTCGGTCGGTCAGGACTAACGGGCGGCGCGCAGGACCGTGCTCTCTTCAGCAGGAAACGACGGTCGGGTCCGGTTGTGGAAGATGACGGCAGGGAACGTGTGGCGACCCGCAGGACACATCAGCGTCGAACAGGCCGAGGAGCAGCAGGGCGACGTCGACATGGGAGACGTAGCGGTTGACGACTAAGACACTGGTCTGTGTTGCTTGAAGGACTGTCTCTGCTCATCGCGCGAAGCCTGATATTAACCCCACTGTAACAGTGTGTGCTAGATGTACTTACCTGCAGTTGTCGAACTGTACGCTACGAATGTAGACGATGGTAATCAGTGGAAACTGTCAAGTATGACCGACACAGACATTGCATCGGTGCTAAGTATTCAAGATGCGCGCCAATAGGACGGGACGACACCGAAATCGGGAAACATGCTTATGTTCCTGTAGCAAACGTTGCCTATGTACGTTCACACAATCTCTACCTCTACGATAGGCAACCTCCCGTCCGGTAGAAGTTGCCCTAGGTCAAGGTCACCCTGCGAATTACCCTCCCTAGAGAAGAACCCGACCCTGCGATAAACCTTGCTGCTCTTAGTCTTCGAGCTGCCCTCGGAATGTGCCTCTGCAAGAACAAGACCTCTCACATGTCCGAGGGCCCGCGTGAGTGGAACAGCCCACGTCCTGCGTACGTCCAGATCACCTCCAGTGTCGATATAGATCCGCGCAAGGCACTCGAGCTCATCCTCGTCGTCCAAATCGGCGTATCGCAGCAAAATCCGATCGTCCCTATATCGCGCGTCCGCGGGCGACCCGCACGGCACCAGCGCGGCACACAGCACGAGAGAGCCATCGTTGACTTGCCCAAGCGGGAGGGCGGCGTCTACGGGGGCGACCTCACAACGTACCACTTCCGCGACCACGAGCCCGTCCAGGGAAGGCGACAGGTTTTCTTCAGCCATAGTCGAGACCTGTCCGTCGACAGCTGCCCACGACCATGACGGCGCGCGGTATACCGCCGGGCGAGGTCGGCGTGCACCGTCCGGCGTGTACCACATCAGGTCGCGGAGGAGCGTTGCGCGCCAGAGGCCCGCGAGATAGTCCGAGCGCAACGCGCGCTGGAACACCGCTGCCAGCGCCCCGCATGCGACAAGCTTGTCGGATGGGACGCTCACCGCGCGCCGGCTATAGTCCTCGACGACGTGCAGCCACGATCCGTGGGCAGCGACCCAGTCTTTGGAATTGTGCACCACGTGCGGCGGGTCCGGGCGGAGGAGCACGTCGGCGAGGCGCCGCTCCCCGTACCAAGAGTGGAACGCGCGTCCGATGTTGCGCGTGTGCGTCTGGCACTTGTACTGGATGGTCTGCGAAGTGAAGACGAGCGCCCGTGGGGACATGAAGTACTCCTGCATGCACCAGCCGCGCCCGCTGATGGGCTCCCAGTCGTGGCTTGGGCCCTCCAGCTTGCCCTCGACGTGCGTGAATGTCGGCGTGATGTGGATTTCGCCCACTTGCGGCGGCGCGACAGAGTCTTCAGCGGATACGGGGCATAAGAACGGGAGAGTGATATCTCGCGGGAAGATCCTGGACGTTGAGTACGCTGACGCCTGCCGGCGTTGAAGGAAGCCCTCGCTGACCTTGCTCGCGCTGGCAGCGATAATCGTCATGTACGCGAAGCGGTAGATGAGGTGCATGCGCCCAATCTCGTGACGCTTATTTGCGTCCGAGTCCTGGACGATGCACAGGGCGTCCACCCAGAAGTGGAAGCCCAGCGCGTGCGTGACATGTATTGCGTCGCGAATGGTGGCAGGCAGGCGGGCAGGGTCGATGCCCTGTTCGTACGCGGACAGGTTTGACACAGTGGTCTTGAAGGGCTGGTCTTCTCCCCACACATAGCTCAGCGCAAGATATCTGCCGCGTTCTCCTGGGCTCGAGACCAGCCGCGGGTGGTCGGGATCGGAGCAGTCGATCAGGCGTGTAGGCAGAAGAGCGTCGGGGGAGACGGAAAGTGCAGCGCAACGTTCGTGCCCTTCCACGCACTTGTCGATGCACCTCTTCGCGAGTGCGAGCGCTCGAGGGGACTTGACATCCAGGATCGGGCTTTCTGCCGCAAAGTATGGAGCGGCGGGGTCATCTAGGTATTTGAAACGGTTCACTAAGCCTCATCGTACCCGCCGAGACCAAAGTGCTTATAAACGTACCAGAAGCTGTGTGAACGTATCCCGAGAAGTAGAGTTCGCTGTCGATGGACACCATCAATTCTCGCATCTTGCGCGGAGCGCAATCTCTCGGTGTGATTCGGTCGCTCTCCACTATGACCCCGAAGGTGGCACCAGACCAGGTGGGATCGACACTGTCGCGGCCTTCTAGCACCACCGCAAGTATGAATCGGCACCACAAGCAGCCGGTGGATGCACCCGTCTGTAGTTTTGAGCAGGAGGTCGAGTACGAGTACTCTCTGGAGTACCCAGCGGGCTGACCGCGTTGCGCGAGAAGCTCGAGATGTACTGCGAAGGGGCCTTCCCAACAGGCTCGACAGATAGATGGCGGCCTGGGTGGTAGCGTGCTTCCTTGAGTATCGTCGATAGGAACACAGAGTACACGGGAGATAGCGGAGCCCATGCAGGCTCAACGTGAGGGAGACGAGTGAACGTCAAGCTGGTGTGTTGCTTGAAAAACGCGAGATGTTGGCAAAGAGGGCGAAAGTCCTAGGAGCAACATATATAAGTTTGCGAACACAAAATGCATTGCATGGTGTACATATGTACCGACAGACGTGTCACGGAGAACTGGTCAAAATTGGCGTTGAAGTCACTGGACCAAGGGTTGACGTCCAAGAGCAGGCTCAGAGCAGATGCGTGTACTTCAGCCCCAAGATACCGCAAGCCTCCCGACATGGAGGTCGGAGGAAGTGAAAGGCGTAGCCCGGAGAGAGAGGCGTCCAAGTCACTTTGTTGATGCACCGCTTTGCACAGCCTTCGCTCCCTTCAGTGTCCGCGGCGTTTTGTCGAATCAACTTGATGAGCATCGGCACGCCCAGCGTAATGTCATGTTGTATAGCCAGGCAAACCGTCAGGGCTCCGCGTGGATACTCACAGTTCTATACAAGCTCGACATTGACCGACGGATAGTCGTACCAGTCGGATTCTGGTAGAGGATCTCCCTTTCTCCTTGCGTAGAGCCATCCAATCCTGCGATAGATCTTCCCAGTGGCCGACGTCGCTGAGCCCGCTGACTCATCGAGCGCGAGCAGGAGACCCTCCATGAAGTCTTCATTCCGCACCAGTGGGGCTGTCCATGTCAACCGTACCCCCGCATCGTCCTCGCTGTCAAGGTAGGCCCATCCAGTCTGCCTAGGGTCCACATCGATATCGCGTTCGTCGTCTGACCCGCCGACGCCATGCCAGAGCCTCGCCTGGTGCGCAGACTGCAGCCGAATTCCACGCGCACCCGCGTCTTGGTGGACCAGTATACATCGCATCAGCGGCGTGCGCAGAACGAGCGTCCCCGCGACTACCTGTCCGAACGGAAGCGCAGCGTCCTCGAGCATGACCTCGCAGCCGACAACCTCTGCACACGCCAGCTTGTCCAGCGCAGCCTTAGTATCCCGGCCCATCGTTTCGACACCCCCGTCGACTGCCGCCCACGACCAGGAGGGCGCGCGATACGCAGCCGGGCGGGGCATGTGCGCGTTCTGGCGCTTGAACCACAGGAGGTGCGCGAGGAGACGGTCCCGCCACAGGCCCGCGAGGTAGTCGCAACGCAGGACCTGCGAGAACGCTTCTGCAAGCGCACCGCACGCAACGAGCCTGTCTGATGCGCTGCTCACTGCGCGTCGGCTGTAGTCCGTCACGAGGTCCTGCCAGGCGTGATGTACGCCGATGAGATCCAGGGAGCCGTGCTGCAGAAGGGGCGGGTCCGGGAGGAGGAGCGCGTCCGGCAGGCGGCGTTCGTGGAAAGGGTTGTAGAACGCGTGTCCGATGCTCCGTGTGGCGGTCTGGCAACGGAACTGGAGCGTCTGCGAGGTGAAGATGAGCGCGCGCGGGGACATGAAGTACTCTTGCATGCACCAGCCCCGCGCGCTGATGGGCTCGGAGGCGTGACTGTAGAGCTCTACGTCCCCATCTGCAGAGGTGAATTTCGGAGAGAGCTGTATCGTGCCAAGCACCTGGTGCTGCGTCAGTTCGAGTTGTTCTGGAGTGCTCGTCGAGAGGGAAGGATGTGTGGGACAGACGAAAGGGAGAGTGAAGGTGTGCGCTGGGGTTGGCCGATCCTGGAGGAACCCTTCGCCGACGTTCTGGGCGCTGGCAGCGATGATGGTCAGGTATGCGTCGCGGTAGATGCGATGCATGCGCCCCAGCTCACGACGCTTATCGGCGTCGGAATCTTGGATGATACACAGGCTGTCGACCCAGAGCGACTGAAACCCGAGGGCGCGAGTGACGTGGATTGCATCGCGAATTGTTGCAGGCAGAAGGCCCAGGTCAATGCCGTGTTCATAGGCTGATATGTTCGACGTCGTGGTTTTGTGGACTTGATCCCCGCCCCAGACGTAGCTGAGAGCAAGATATTTGCCACGCTGCCCGTCGGTGGCAGCTAGATGCGGGCGACCAGGGTTGGTGCACATGATAAGGCGTGTGGGTAGACCTGGGCCAGTATGGGGATCGACGGAGAGGGCCTGACAACGTGGGTGTTCGTGAAAGCACTCCTCAATACAGGCAGCTGCGAGGGAGAGCGCACGAGGCGAGCCTACGTCTGGGATCGGGCTTCGGTCGGAAATGTACGATGCCGCTGGATTCTCTGATGATAATCAAGTTCAGCTCTGGAGTGAATTGTATACAATGCGCAGGCATGCAGGCTCACCTGCGCTTGTGGATACGTTTCCGTTGAACCGACAGTCACCATTGATGTATATGGACATATCCTGAGACCCTGCTGATGCTTCAACAGGCAAGGTGGTCTTCGTTCCGATGACGATGTTCAGTGGAGCAGTCGGGTCGTCGTCGTTTTCGCATGTGGCCAATACGAAGCCGCAGAACAAGCAACCGGCACTGGAACCAGACTCAAATGAGTCCCATGAGCTACAGTACGAGTAACCTCCGCTGCAAGGCCTGAGGTCGCCCTCTCGCGATTCGAACTGGAGTGTTTCGCAGAGGAGCCCAAATTGCGCTGCGACTGGTCCCGTCCAGCAAATTTCGCATATCGAGTGCGGCCTTGATGGAGAGACGGGGCTGTCGACAAATGTTCTGTAATAGTCGTGTCTTCACGTGGAATTTGTGCTCACCTCAGCACCTCTGACCCGGCCTTCCGAGACGTGAGCGGGTGAATATGGGCTCTCCCGCGGCATATCGAAGTCTGCAGAGGACGTATTTCCAGTGCTGGCGTCAGGCACATCTCTGTTTGTGCCTTCGCGCTGAGTTTTTAAGCTGTGTTTGGAGATGTGAAGGACAGACATCGCGAGAGAAATGGCGCAACCCATGATAGTAAACGTAGAAAACGTCAGACTAGATGAAGACAAAGATAAGAATGAGAGGTTGGGCAAACCTTGGTTATGGCCGTCTTCCTCGTTTCTCTGGTGTACGTGCCACGTAGGCTACTCGTGCCGCAGGCCAGTAGATGTGATTCGGGAGTACTTAAACTTGAATCTGGATCTAGGTGACGCGACTCATCTACAAGTATCTGTGGTCAGCACGCAGACAGATACAATAAAGCAGCTTAAACGTAAGACATACAGGAGTGCCCATCTGAGTTGATAAATTTGCGGCGATGTGGTTCGGGAGAGGAGCTGCGACTCCAGGATGGTTCAAGCGCCCATAGCGTCTCAGGTAAGCAAGATTGACGCGATAGAGACGCGCGGATGTGCTTTCGACTTGTTCGCGTTCACTCCATCACTGGGGTACCGGTGCTCCGAACTATAGTTCGGCCCTGGTAGTGATTCTGTGCTAGTTTACGTTCCTCTCCGACGGCATCGATGCTGCATTCGAAAGATGTCTGCTCTACTAACTTGCCCCGCGCTTTTAGCTCTCAGACCAGACCGTCGTGGTCCAGGCTCGCTCATTGCTGCAGCTCCTTTGGCGGGCGTCAAGAGGCGTAAAGGCATTGCAGAAGTTTATATAGTATATGTACCAGCGTGCTGGTTCGCCTGATCCTGCGCCGAAGTCGGTCACAGCATAGCCTAGAATACTACCAATCATTCATATGATCTCGATGTCCACCAACGGCCAGCTTCCGTCCTGTACAGCCCGAATTAACGGACCCCACAGCGGGTGCTCCTTGAAGTCCGTATTGCCCGCCAGTTGGATGATCTCCCAGAACTGTCCAATCCTCCGAAAGCGAGTGCGCTCAGGCCCTGGGCGGTCGGATGGAGGAGCCAGCTCAAGCACGATCCCATCCAACTTGTCTTCGTAACTATTCCCTTTGATCCGCACAATCGGGACGGCCCACATCCTCGCGGGAAGCTCGTCGGCGTCGCAGTCCATGATGAACGTTGCACCGTCCCCTACTTGAGGCGAGTCGGCATCGTCTTCTCCATCGGGCGAATCCAAGCCGCCATGCGAGACTTCCCGCCGCCGACGCCGCACGCAGTCGAAAGACGGTAGGCGCACGTACCGCCAGCCACCGGATGATCTTGCAGCGGATCCCCCACGGCAGGGTATCAGCGTCGCGCTTAAGACGAGGGTCCCATCCGTCACTTTACCGAAGGGAAGCGCAAGATTTTCGAGAGTGACCCGGCACTCAACGACCTTCGCGAGCGCGACGCTTTGCGGGTCCTCGAAAGCCGGGTTCCACGTGGACCGATGGTTGACGATCCCTTCTACCGCTACCCACGACCATGACGGCGCGCGGTACGTGGTCGGGCGAGTATAGCGCCCTCCAGGAAGACGGGCAGACGCCCATAGGAGGTCGGTGAGGAGCGCGTCTGAGCGCCACAGACCCGCGAGGTATTCGGTGCCCAGGACGCGGTGGAACTGCTCCGCTACGGCGGCGCACGCGACGAGCTTGTCCGACTCCTCCGTAGCCGTGCGGCGAGTGTAGTCCAGTACGACTTGCATCCAGGCTCTTCGCAAGTTGTTCCACTCCTCGGAGCCATGTTCCAGGTCGGGCGGGTTTGCGAGGAAGAGCGTCATAGGGAGCTGGGGTACCCCGCGCTCGAACGTGGCGCAGAAGGAGTGGCCGACTCCCACGAGACCTGTGAGGCACTTGAACTGGAGCGTGATTGGGGTGAATATGAGGGCGCGAGGGGACATGAGAAACTCTTGCATGCACCACGCGCGCGTGGACATGCGCCCGAGGTCGTCACCGTGCGATCTGCGCGCAGCCGCTAACCCGGTGATGTACACTTGGCCGACCTGCGGTCGCGCGGCCGAACGGGCATCCGAGGAGCCTACAGATGTCGGAGGATCCGGAGGGCAGATAAAGGGGAGAACGAGGTCATCGTTTTGGTGAGATCGCTCCTGGAGAAAGCCCGAGCCTACTCCCTCCGCGCTGCCCGCCATGATCGTCACATGCGCATAGCGGTAGATGTGGTGCATGCGGCCGATTTCGTGCGCCTTGTCCTCATCAGAGTCTTGAATGATGCACAGGCTGTCGATCCAGAGCCACCGGAAGCCGAGCATGTGCGTAACGCGGATCGCGTCGCAGATGGTTGGGGGAAGAAGGGATGGCGCGATGCCTTCTTCGTACGCGGATATGTTCGACTTCGTCGTCTTATGGACTTGGTCTCCGCCCCAGACGTAGCTGAGCGCGAGGTATTCGCCGCATCGTCCGATCGTTGAGACGAGCCGCGGTCGAGCGAGGTCGGCGCAGTCCACGACGCGCGTGGGGAGCAGAGGGTTGGGGGACGCCGAGCTTTTGCAACGCTCGTGTCCGTGAACGCATTCGTCGATTTGCTCTCTTGCGAGCGCCAGAGCCTGAGGAGATTGTACGTCCGCGATGGGCTTTCGCGTTGTGATGTAAGGTGCCGCGGGGTCGTCTATCGATGTTTGTGAGCTAGATCCGAGTCCGTGTGCTTCGCATGGAGTCGCTAGTATCCGGACGTACCTGGAGCCGCGTACACAAATGCTTCATAGACCCTCTCTTTCACGCCGGGGAGTCCAGCTCTGACGACTTCCAAGAACAATCTTTGAAGAGTTGGATGCAGCTCGTCATACTTCTCCGTGGTACCCACCACATTGACGATGAAGTTCTCGAGGTGCGGCACGACGTTGGGCACCACGCCGAGAACCAGCCGACACCACACGCAGCCCGCATCGGCACGGGATTGGAGCACCGCCTTAGAAGTCAAGTACGAGACGCCTTCTGGCCAGGGCCGATACAGTTGTCCATCCCGGGGCGATACCAAGGGAAGTCCGAGTTGCTTAGCGAAGTGGCCCTGCCAGCATCCCTCACAGACGGATGACGGTGAAGGAGGCATGGGGAGGTCGTCGATGCGATCTTCAGAGAAGTAGGTCGATCGAGAGAGGATACAGCCCATAGAGATGATAGGATGACATGGTAGAGAGGATGCGCTCGGATGGGAGTGGACGAGAGATTGAAGGACTCGTGGGCGGCCCGGTCTGAGCGCAGTTCATGTCGCCCTCCGTGCGATCGCACGCCTTTCGGGCATGCCGCGTTATTTCGCCCAGCGATGTATACGGTCCGAACACGCGAAGGCTGCGCGGTGTTCTGTGCAGGGAAGATCTGCCATAGTGATTCGGAACCTGGTGGGCGGGCGATGCTTCTATCGATCGTGCGATGCGGGCCAACGTCAGCTGGACGGGGCCGTGCGATCAGGCGCGCGTAGATGCAGTCGCGTTGCTCGAGCGCTGTGTGGTTGTTCGCAGCAGCACAGTGTGTGGTCGGCAAGAAGAGGGAAGCAAGGTGCATTGCGCAGCGGATAAAAGATGAGAGGCGATGACGACGCAGGTGGGCGCAGTCGACCGATATGCAAACCCAGGTCATCTACCGGTAACAGATTAGCGTGATAGTGTTGGAAATTACCGCAGAGGGCATACCTGTATACAATGCCCGGTATCTCCTAGCAAGGACGCACTAGACCGATGCTCGCGGTACGTCCTTAACGCGCCCAGCGATCAAGGAGTTCAATCACCTGAGCTGATCCGCAGAAGGTGGAGGAAAAGTTAGCAAATCTTGGTCTTAGCGTGCGCCGCATGCACTTCTCCACATCCTCAAGCACACCCCGTCGTTGGAGAGAGCGTCACGCGTCCTGAAAACGCGTAAACGCCTACGATCACGCCGCGTGGGACGATGGCACACACTGGGAGATATCGCGACGCTGCGTGTATTCGCTGACGGCGATACGCCACGTCACGTACAAGCCCTACTGGGCCGCGAAGGGCCGCGAAGACGTGAAGACGTGTGTCTCTTCAAACGAACGGGTGGCGGACTGACTTGAAGAGAGGCGACGGAGTACCGAGCTGAAGGGTATACAAGGCAAGACGAATGGTGCGTGGATAGGACGTACGCTCGAAGGTCTCATAATCGTTGGGTGTGTTCTGCAGAGAGCGTGCGGACTAGAGACTGGCTGATGATCGTTTTTATTGAACGTCACTATGTCTTGCCATGAGGACGGAGTACATATCGCGCGCGCTGGATGTCCGAGTAGACAGACGAGCGCCATTCGGATTGGTGAAGTCCGTCCATTCGCCTTACCTACATGATGGTCGGGATTTTACCGTCAGTAGCACTCCTCAGCGACAGTGAAAGCGTATCTACATACGCAGCCCATACAAGGCATCTGGCGCGCAGTCCCGAGGTGCATGAATGAAGAGCGGGAATCAAAACGAATGCCTGCCGATCCCCACAAACACAAGCCGTAGTGCTGGAGATATTTCTTAAGACCGTATACGAGAAGGTTATGAACTTGGTAAAGGGTTGCCATTCGGAGGAGATGTGTCGGTTGCGAGGTAGCGCGAGAGTTGCAGCCAGAACGGAACACCGCCTGCACTTGCTCAACAGCAGGTACGAGCAAGCCAAGCACAGATAGGAGATTACTCTGTCGAGACAACATCGAGAAGAATCCGCGGGAAAGTGACTCGGAGAACTCGTGCGTCGTAGTCGGTGGTCGTGGTAGTGAACACTGAGAGAGAGAGAGAGAGCTCCAGCGTCTCCAAATCTTCCCCCATTTCCCGCTTACGTAAGCCCAATCCGAGAAGCGTTGATTGGACGCGCACTCGCCGCGTTCCGCTCCCTGATGCTAGTCCAGCTGTACACTATAATCTAACCTACTCGCCCTATCAACATCAAGAATTCATAGCACCTCCATAAGGGAGTCTGTTCGATTAATATTCAATCATCACGCGCATGCGCGGTCCACCGTATGCCTCGTTCTCCTCGAGCTGCTTTCTCGTGGTTCCTGCGTACGACACCTGGGCTCTCTCAGGCTGCATACCATCACATGTTTCACTTACACCTCTAATCTAGCTGAATAACTGCACGAATCACCCCAAACGACTTGGGTGCTTGTTACTTACATTGTCTTACGCTGGTCGACGCGTGTGTCAATTAGCGAGAACGTATGACAAAAATATGCACCCTTATACACCGCTACAAGGTGCGTCACTAGACCGTTCGTATCCAACCTGTGGTTACAGCCTTTGCATAGACTGTTTCTTGTGCCCGGCCGCATTGCCGCTCTTGTGTTCGCCTCCCCCCACCGTATGTAGCTTCCTCTACGTCTGCCCATCGCGATACCAGTACCTTACAACTGCGCACATGCTACCCTGTGGCGGGATTCATATTATTGACTTTGACCTCTGGTGGCACGTCGCCAGTGTTCACTTTGTGAATGCATCGTTCGGCTGGCATGTCTCTTTGAAGGTGCACGCAGCCTGCACGACTCCCATGACCCCTTCAGACGAGAAACAAGTTATATCAGTTTCGATCTGTGCGGAAACAGTCCACACGAGTTCTTATCGTCACAATTCCGCTCCGCATGTGAATGCACTCACGGTAGACTCATAGGAACTTTCGCCATGATCATAGTCTGCGGTCTAAATCATCACGACCATTTGTTGGTGGGAGAAACTCGAGCTCATCTTTCCTTACGTATCCTCGTGCATCCGCGCTCGGGCCTGTGCTGGAATGACGAAGTCGAGCCCCGGATCGGAGACAACAGGGATCACTGCGACTCCTCATCAGTATATCCGTGGCAGACCAGGGCCCAAGATTACTGCGTACGTGCATAGTAGAACGACATATGTCTACCCCATGATTAATTAGAATCAGACTACACATGCTGACAATCTGGTTCAGTGACTACACAACCGAGAGTCATACGACCACAATGTCCATCGCAAGACGTTCTCCGTCCGTCAGAGCCCTAATCAGCGGAGCCCACAGTGGGGACGTCCTGAAGTTCACTAGCCCTGCCACCGTTGCAATGTGGATAATGACGTGCCCGATTCTCCTAAAGCGAGTCTTCTCCCGTCGGGATTCCGGGGAAGCGAGCTCGAGGACGAGCCCCTCCACCGTGTCCTGGCCATTCCATCTAGTCCACAGGAGCGGGACAACCCACATCCTCTCTGGCAGTTCATCGTCATCGCAGTCCATAACGAGATTCGCATGGTCCGCTGGTTCTATCCAGTCGAGTGTGTCCTCGTCCTCTTCATCCGAATACAAGTAGCCGAGTCCCCACTGCCGGTACCATGCTTGCTCGAAAGTTGGTAGGTAAACGTGCCAACACAGGTTTAAAAAACCTCTTCGAGCGAATGTTCCGCCGCGGCAGGGTATCGGAACTCCGCGCAGCGCGAGGGTCCCGTCCGTCACTCGGCCGAAGGGGAGTGCAGGGTTTTCGAGCGTGACCCGGCAATCAACGACTTGGGCAAGCACAAATACGTTGAGCGGAACTTCCGAGCTGAAATCTGGGCTGGGATTTTCGGCACTGGCGGGATGGGTGTAAACGCCTCCGTCGATCGCCGCCCATGACCATGACGGTGCGCGGTAAGCTGTCGGGCGGGTATGTCGATATTTGCATCGTCTTTGCCCCAATATATCAGAACTCCATAGCAGCTCCAGGATTAGCCTGTCCGTGCGCCACAAACCCGCTACGTAGTCCGCGCGCAAGACACGGTGGAACTGCTCCGCAACTGCAGCGCATGCGACCAGCTTGTCCGACTCGTTGCTAGCGGTGCGGCGGCTGTAGTTCCTCACAATTTGGAGCCAGTTCAGGTGTATGTCTTTTTGCTCCTTGAAATCCAGTTCGGCTAAGGACGGGGCAGGGACTTGAAAGAGGATGTCGAGTAGCTCGGGATCGTCCGCAATGCCACGGAAGGCGGAGCCGACGGTATATGTACCGTCACGGCATCTGAATAGCAGTCCTCTGGGAGTGAAAATGAGGGAGCGTGGGGACATCAGGTATTCTTGCATACACCAGGCACGCGTAGCCATGCATGCGAACCCGGCACCGTATGACTGCCGCTTTAGGCGCGTCTCAGCAATATACACTTCTCCGACCCGCGGCTGTGGCACAGAGAGGTCCTCCGGGTTTCCCGCCGCCTGAGAAGACAAAGGAGGTGGAGGGCAGATGAAGGGGAGGGCTACGTCATTGTCCGGAGGAGGTCGCTTGTGGAGAAAGCCCTGAGTGACACTCTCCGCGGAGGCGGCGATGATTGTCAGATGCGCATAGCGGTAGATGCTGTGCATGCGACCAATTTCGTGCGCTTTGTCCTCATCGGAGTCTTGGAGAATGCATAGACTATCGACCCAGAGCCATCGAAAGCCTAGCATGTGTGTCAATTTGATCGCGTCGCGGATGGTAGCGGGGAGAGTGCCCAGGTCAATCTTGTCTTGATATGTGGCTTCATTGGATATCGTCATCTGGTGGGTCTGCTCCGAGTCTCCCCAGACGTAACTGAGCGCGACATATTCGGCGTGTGCATCGGTCGGGAAGACCAAGCGCGGACGAGTGAGGTCGGTGCAGTCCACGAGGCGCTTGGGCAGGAGTCTGGGGTTGGTAACAGACATCAAGCTTTTGCAGTACTGTAGCTTTCGATGCAACCCGGAGCGTCACACGTCACACGGGGGTCCTCCGCCCGTTTTTTGGCCGCCGTCACACGTCACCAAGGCCGTCCGGGGCTTTAGCGCCCGCCTCCGGCCGCCCTTTCCGGCGCTAAAATACTCGTTTTGGAAGGTGCCTGGGCGCCTCCTTGTCCCCGGTTTCGTTCCACCGTGTCACACGTCACCCCCCCCTCCGGGTTGCATTGAAAGCTACAGTACTCGTGTCCGTCAATGCACTGGTAGATGAGTTCCCTTGCGAGGGCCATGGACCGAGGAGATTGTATGTCCGGGATGGGACTTCCCAAGCTGATATAGGGCTCCGAAGGATCATCTTAAGAGATTTGTCAGCTCTGTCCGTACGCCGGATTTGAGATCGCATGTATGAGCACAGACGCACCTAGACCCGTGTACACGAACCCTTCAAACGAGTGATCATCTTTGATCGTCAAACTCAGCTTTTGATAATGAGTGCGTTTATCTGCATTCCACGTCTCCCAGGAACCCTGCAGCGTGACAGTGAAGCTTTCCTTGGTTTCTTGGGTTATGCATGCATTGCCAGCCTCACGGAGGACGAAATGACACCATGCACAACCAGAACGAGACGCCAATTTTTGGAACGAGGTCGAGTATGAAAGCTCATCGGGCCAGCTCTGATACCATTTTCCGCCCTGCGCCGGCACGCAGGGAATCCCGAAGTGCATGGCAAAAGGGCCCTGCCAGCACTCATCGCAGATGGACGGAGGCGTAGGGGGCAGGGGGAGACCGTCAACGCGATCCTCGGTGAAGAAGGGCAGTTGAGAGAGAGTAGATTTCTCGGGTGAGAAGGGAGGTTCCGAGTCAGAAAGAGTAGTATCCATGGAGATCGTAGAAAGGGACGTTTAGCAGAGAGGATGTGTCCAGATGGGAGTTGGCGAGGATGAAGGAGAGTGAAGGACGCGGGGACGAGCGCGCAGCCTAGTTTCCAGACGCTTCACAGGAGCACTGGTCACCGCCCTCCAGGTAGTGGTGCGAGTCTGAGGCGCGTCATGTGGTTTCCGTATAGCCATAAGGCCTGAGAAAACGAAGACCTCGGGGTGCGCCGGACAGAGAAGACTTTCCATAGCGAGTCGGATTTTGCCAGGCTAACGATATCTGCTCTATCGCAGTGCGGGACAACGAATGTCATTTCGGCGAAGGAGTGTGATCGAATGCACTCCTGCCCGAAAAGCACTTGCAGTCGGCTCAACGCCTTGTGCGGTGCTTGGTAGAGGGACAGCGCGTGTACCAAAAAAGGACATAATCATGGTTTTCTGCATTGCATCGAATGAGACTGTACAGAGACGATAACCGAGCGCTCGGCCTTCTGCGGGAATCTAGAACAAAACTTTTGAATAACAAACACGACCCATGAGAGATGAAACAGAACACAGACCAAGTCGCCTTCGGATCATCGGATTGGACTGCCAGCCGTATTAGTACGCACATATGAGTAGGAGTCTTCCTGAACGCGACGATGAAACATCGACAACCGAGTAAGCAGCTCGTGGGAGGAAATAACATAGTAGACACTTACATGGCGGCGAGTTCCTGGCAGAAGCTACGTGAACCGCCTACCACGTCCTAAGAATACCTCGCTTTTTCTGTTTGGCCGCGCGCGCCGTCGCCGCCTAAGGGTTGGAGCCTTAGGGAACAACAGTGAGGTAATCCTTGCGATAATCGCTGTCGTAGTCGACTGTATCTCCTCCGGTCGCTGGTGCCGATATCGCGCCCGCCTGCAAGTGCAGTTCTCGTACTTGTCAAGTATTCTGTAAGCGTGCTGGGGATGTTGAAAGGGAAACGATGACAAAATGGAAAGAGAGCGCGATACCACAGAGCCGCGAGTGTGGCTTACTTCTCACTCACACAATGCATGAACCTTGGAAGACATTGCTCTGCGCCCGCGGGCGAATGTGAGGTCGAGGGATGACTGCGGATGTGCGCGGTGCGCGGTGGGACTGGCGGGATGCGCAAGGAGATGGTACGCAGCCAGAAAGCCTTCTGCGCAATGTAAAGGGTAAATCTTGGCCAGACGAGCGCTGACCGGGACAAAATGTCTACTGCGGCGCGGGAGGACGCACTTTCAGCTCATCAACAAGCGGAGCGTAGTGGACATACCGCAGAAAATATTGCCTAAGCGATATGCACCTGTTTGCAGTCGTTACGCCTCGGAGGGCACCAGTAATTGACGTGCTTGTAGATCTTGGCCAAGAGGCCTACGTTTGCGTAAAGCATTGAAAACGGGTGTGTGAGGACGCGACGCGTTCGAGGGTAGTGAGGCATGTCGTGCACGGTTAAAGGCAGCCTACACGTCAAGCGAAGAATGCCGGAAGGCTGGTCAGCTTTGTTCGGACCGTAGCTCAGCTTGGAGACTTACCGGGAAAACGGTAGTAGCCTGGATAGCTCGTCGAAAGACTATAGTTGATAGTAGTTAGTACGAGCCTGACTATGCCAGGACAAATGGAGAACTTGATCAGTCCTTCGAGCGTTTCTCGGAGGAGCGGAAGCGGGTATTCAGTGTGATGAACACGGGGAAAGAGAAGGTGTACGCACGAAACCAGCGAGCGCGTTGAACGATGTCTATACAGAAAAATAGATATGATATACAGAAAAGCTTACGAACACAACAATAAAACAACACAGGATAGAAGCAAGTAGCGCGACGGAGGTATACGAATTATCTTGCAGCGGTATAGTCAGCTTCCGGCCCTTCTACACGCACAAACAGCACTTACCCATAGGTTTGGCCCATTCGCAACGACCAGTACGCGGTCACTAAACTCGCCTGCACAGCGCACCACAAGAGCGCGACAACGACATCGTGATCCTGCGCAAAGCGGGGACGAACCTCTGGGCGCGGGCGGGCCTTCTGGCAGACCGTGAAAGAGAGCTGGCGGATAAGGGCGAAATGGAGACTAGAAGGGGTGCGGGTGGTGGGCGCAAGCGGTGGCCAGTAGGGGCCCTTTTCGAGCGGAATAGAGCCTTGAGAAGCTGGCGCGGTACAGGCGCAACGCTGAGATCCAGGTACGTACCCTTCAATCTCCTGTATCGCGGCTGTGACTTCGAATATTCGTATATACACGTAGCCAGGCCCTTTGTAGAAACGTGAAGCGGCGAGGCGAAAAGGTCGCATTGAAGTTATCACCGGTTGTGCTGGGTAGTGTGAAGGCAATAATTAGAGGAACGTACCTCGGTGACATTGTCACTCCCACAGACAGCGGGAATTGTACTTCTTTGGAAATACGCGCACATACAATGCTCGAGATGGTGTTGAGGGGCGCAGTATGCTGTTGTCGACCCCGTTCTGGGGAGACTCGCGAGTGGAACGCGTGTATGCACGACAATCGAGCTCGGCGATCGTCGTGTGCGCGTGTAGGTCTCGCCAGGCGTCCTCCTCTACGTCTACAAGCACGCAAACGCACGGCACGATGTTTTAGGCTGCGGCCCTCTTGTTGAAAAATCTTGAGCTTGTTTGCGACCGTCTGCGGCCATCCAGAACCAAGTGCGCACGAGGTATGTCGCGAGCCGTGCAGTGTTCGCGCCTGCAGAGGGTTTGCAGTTGAGCAAGGTTTCGTACCAGAGGCTTACAAAGTACGCAGCGAGAGGGCGGCTACGATCGCGTGCCACCCCCGATGAGTCTGTCTCTGACGGGTATTTTGCGGTATCGTCGCCGACGATGGTATACTACGCTAAACACGGGCCGTTCCGACGCGCGACGGGCGGCAGAGACGCGTATGATAGCGTGACCGGGGAGATGCGGGGCGTCGAACGAGTACCGGAGGTTGGGAGTCGTGACGGGGTGCTTGAATTGACGGTTGTAGGAGGCGAAGAGGAGGACGCTTCGGATGCAGCGAGGTATGCTCGAGGGTCTTATAGCGTAAGACGGATTGCGATCGGCCTACAGCTTGATCCCAGCCGGGTACGCGGATTCGCCGAGCGACACGAAGCTAGTCGAGGTAGCGATGCCTCGGGCAAGTTTATAGCATATCTACAGGAACGGTACAGCCCTCTCTGTGAGCAGCTCTCCTCTGATAAGGATGACGATAGATGATGCAGCAATATGCTCACGCGATTTATGAGGATGCGACGCTGGGGGCGATGCGGAAAATATACGACGGTCTAGACATCAAAGCATTCCACATGACCATCTGCGGTCACTGTGTGCTTGATAGAGGGTCGCTGGCCGAAGGACTGTTGGACCGTGTCGAGGAGCTAGCACGAAAATTGGCGTCCTTGGAACGAACTCTGCCTGCATAGGCTCAGCAGCAAGTATGATAGATGAGACTGCATGACTGGAGTCCAAGTAGGCCAAGCGCGAAGAAATTAGCACACACAGAGAGCCGTGGATTGCCCGCACAAGGCTTGGAGAACAAAACATCGCCGTCGTCGTCGCTGGTGGTGGTGGTGGTGAGGAACATCGCCAAGCGCCTCCTTCACCCCGCGGAGTCCGCGCCAGTTTCGGGCTTTTCGGGCTTAGCTCAAAATGGACTTGAGGGTGAACGGCGATGCTCCGCACGCCAGGTCCGATTCCACCGGAAACTCAGATTTTGTACAATCGAACATCGTGAAAGTACAACATACTACAACACAACGCTCGGCCGTACCGGACAGGATTGTAACTGGGGACAGAGGTGTGGCTCGCAGTCTGTGGTGACGCCTGACGCAGCTCCTGCTAGGATGGACGGCCTGCAGACGGACTACTGACAGATTCGCATGCTACAGTTAGCGGGTCGCGCTAGCGGCCGGGCATGAACCTTGTTTCGCGTAGGAGGACGCGACGGGGCTGGTGCGGACGGTGCACCGACGTGTCGGCGAGCCTGCACCATAAGACGTTGTACGCAAAGTAACGAGATCATTTCTGCTCGTAGCACTACGGACATGTGTTTCGGTGTGTAGGTTGGCGCTGTGGCATTTCTGGTGCAGTCGGGACGGGCACTGCACGGAATGCGGGAGAGCCGGCAGGTGGGGATCAGGATGTAACTACACCCCGCGTACATTAACATACCGGTCGTGGGGCGCACACCGTGTCAGTAGGCACTTGATGGAACTTGGAGCCTGGTACGGTGCAAACCGCACATATGACAATGTGTGTCAGACTCGGAGCTTGCAAAGCTCGAACACAACGTGGCTGTCAACCCGCATGCAGCTCACATAACGAGCGAACAGGTCGCACGACGGAATGATGTCCGCGGCCACGTATCAATCTGTGTACATATTGTCGGCGTGTTGAGTATCTGCGGCGAAGCAGACCAAATTAGATACCACTGCTCGATTTGAGGGAATAGCGCTGGCAAGCCACTTACAACTTATGACAGCGCCTCGGCACTCGCAGTTTTAAGGCCAGCAGCATGGCTGCCTATAATGATATATCAAAGTGCGAGAGCGGCTTTGTGGAGGTATCCAGGGGAATCCATGAACAGGGGGACGATACTGGAAAGTTGAGGAGGTGGATAGAACACATCTCTGAGACGCGTCCGTGTCGCAGTCGCGAGGTGCAGACGCCACAAAAGACAAACAAAGACAAGCTGATACAAGCGCGCTAGAGTAAAGGGAAACTACGGAAATCCACGGACGAAGCCGGGTTCGCCTGGATTCACGTGACCAATCCATTTCTCATAGGCAAGACCGATTCTTTGTGGAATCGGAAAATCCGAGAAGCGCGGAGTAGACGCGCGAACTCCTACGACGACGCGAGCGTTGCTCCGCTTTCTCCTCGATCCTAGTCGAGACGTGTACCCTCGACTACGTGCGTCCGACGTTCAGAGTACTGGAATGACACGTTATTCAACCTTATCTCCCCTCGTCTCGCTCGCGATCGCCTATCTTCACGGCCCTCTCGCCCTCTGCTCTTCCCGCCTCTGTACTCTCCTGCGGCGCATGAATTCCCCTCCTGCAATTTCCCCACCACCCCACATCTTCCCTCAAGCTTAAGGGTACCATCTATTCCTTTATCAATTCAGCTCTTAAGCTAACTCATATATAGTTCCGCAGCACTATATCTGCACACTCACACCTTCGCATGCTCCCCGAATCGGATTTCTGGAGACTCTGCTTTGTCCACCACTGCGGCGCGCCTGGCGCGAGCAGTCACATCAAATTATTCTGTTTGACACGTGCGTTGGGTATTGCAAAGGGATGGGGCGCTATACCAGCATAAGGTGCGTTCCTAGCTCGACCGTAGCTAAACTGTGCTTACAACGTTTGCATAGCTTCCCTCTTACGCGCTCTCAACTACATACGTACACCCCACGTCAACTCGTCTTTGGAAGGTATTCAAGACTCTGGGATCACGTTACTGCCAATTGCAAGCACCAGCCCATGCACGTATCCACATTGCCTTCCGCTTGCTCAAAGCCCGTATCGGCCCTTGATCCCCACACGAGCATCATACGACGCTTCCGAGCGTACGCACGCTGCGTTGCGGCATCGTAAATCTCGTCGCCCTCACACGTCAGTGGCCAACTCATCTGCCCGCTCGCGTGCTTCAGGGCGCGTGTACTTTCCGCGTCATGGGGCCATCGATCGTTTCCATCAGCGAAAGAGTCAACTCAAGTGCGTATCGCCGCTATGTCACTCATCTCGCTGCATCACTCTGACGATAGACATTCAGGAGCTCTCGCTAACGTTGGGCCCTGCTCACGAATGCGTCCGATCGATCTGAATCTCGGCCGTTTGGTGGAGGGAGGTCCTCGAGCTGATCTCTTCGCACGAGGGTTCGTGTACCTCTTACACTGAAGATCTACTCGGCGCGTCAAAAGACACCTTCTCTGCTTGTATGGTAAGCGCGTCAGCACGCCAACGTACGCAACCCGTTGATAACCCAGTGTTCATATAGCTTCGGCGCAAAAGCGGTGATGCTCGCCGCGATGGAAGGTTTCACGCCCGCCCGCCGCCCATTCGGACTGTCCTCGAGCATCTGTGATGATCAAGCTTCCACACGACGGAACATGGTCTCCGAGCCTGCCTCAACTGTGTCTGCGGTGGCATCTGCGGCGTATTTGCAGGGCTGGCTGTCACGCTATTAGCAAAGGAGCCGATCTTCGTCCAGACATGGTCGCTAACGCATGAACAAAGTTCCGCTGTCGTCCTCTCTATGTTCTCGAGGCTCGGCAGACGGTGCGTCGTGTCGCGTTTGTTTGTGTACTTGAAATCTTAACGTGATGTGCTCCGTAGGTGACGTCACTATGAGAGGCATCGAAGTCGACCAACTCCCGTCTTGGCCATATGCCAATGCGACCAGGCCTGATACAAAGCGGGGAAACGACGGAGAACACCCCGAGTTCTCATCCCGACAGTCCAGCCCAGTAAGTGCACGACACAGGCGACAATCGTCGACGCGTTCACGAAATTGAAGACTACGTGTGGCGTACTCCGCGTCGTCTGGAACAACGCGGCATGAGGCGTGTTCCGCGATCAAGGTCGAGTCTACAGGAGAGGCCCAGGTGCGCGCAATGCCCTATAGTAGGGCGCCGTAAACATCCTGCACACTTCGGTTGGATTATTCCTTGAAGCGAACGCGCGCGGTGTCGGCGGACAGACTGTCGTCTCGATCTTATCAGTGGATGAGCGCACGTCTAGACAAGTTCGACAAAGCCCGATAACAATTCGTTGGCATACATGTAGAGGGAGGCATACGTAAGAGTATCACAGAATCCCAATAAACGTGCGTAGACAATGCCGTCGTATATAACGCTGTCCATACCATGAGCACAAACTCTTGTCCATGCCCTTCCGAATATGAATCACTCACAGATTACGAAGGCCGTTCACTCATACAATCACGATGTCCATCCAAGTGTGCTTCCCGTCCTTCACAGCCCGAATCAGCGGACCCCACAACGGGAAGTCCCAGTCCTGGTCCCGATACTTTGTGTCGTTGTTGCGGAAGCTCCCAATCCTCCGAAAGCGAGTCTTCTCGGCTTGGATTCCTGAGCCATTGGATGGAGGAGCGAGCTCAGCGAGGACAATCCCATACACCCGCCAAAGGCACTTTTGCTGTGTATCTTGTTGGCTCACCAACGGAACAAAATACACCCGCTCCAACCGCGGCTCGTCGAAGTTGTTGGAGTCGACATCCGAGTCGCAGTCCATGATGACTCGCGCGCAGTCTTCGCGTAGTGGTGGGTTCGTCCAGAGTTCATCTCCCTCATCCGAAATCAAGCCCCTAGTTCCACCGTGCTGCCGATGACGCCGCCGTGCTTGCTCGAATGACGGTAGGGAGAAATACCGCTCGGGGGAACAATATGCTCTGCTGAGTCGACCGGTATCGTGGCAGAGTATCAGTGTTCCGCGCAAGACAAGGACTCCGTCTGTCACTCGCCCAAAAGAGAGCGCAGGATCTTCGAGCGTGACCGAGCACTCAGCGACCTCCGCGAGCGCAACGGTTTGGGGATCTCGAAGGCTCAGATCTCGTGGATAACGATGGCTGGTTAATCCTTCGATTGCCGCCCATGACCATGACGGCGCGCGGTAGGCTGCTGGGCGAGTATGTGGATATCTAAGTCGGTCTGTGTTCTGTAAGTCAACGCTCCATAGCAGGTGAGCGAGGAGCGCGTCGGAGCGCCACAACCCCGCCAGGTAGTCGGATCCCAGGGCACGGTGGAATTGCTCCGCAACGGCAGCGCACGCGACCAGCTTGTCCGACTCGACGCTAGCTGTGCGGCGCGTGTAGTCCTCGACGACCTCGGTCCAGGCATTATGGATGTCCCTCCACTTCTCTGGAGTAGGCGCTGCTGTCGCCGTGTGCGGTAGGAAGAGTGATTTCGGTATCCGAGGTTCTCTGTCTGATACCCAGTGGTAGAGCGAGTTGCCAACAGCTTGTGTGGCGGAGATGCACCTGAACATGACTGTCGTGGGAGTGAAGATGAGGGCGCGTGGCGACAACAGGTACTCTTGCATGCACCAGGCACGGGTGGCCATGTGCCCGAACTCGTATTTGTACCACCCGTGGCAGAGTTCGGAAGACGATGATACGGCGTACATGGTGTCGACCCGAGATTGTGCGGCCGAGCCGGCTTCTGAGCGCCCTATAGAGGCTGTAGGGTGTGGAGGACAGATGAAAGGGAGAGGCACGGTGCCCCCCCACCAAGCACTGCGGTCAAGACCAGGGACGTGAGAGGGAGGTCGCTCCTGCAGAAAGCCCTCGCTGACTCCCTTCGCACTGGCGGCGATGATTGTCAGGTGCGCATAACGGTAGATGTGGTGCATATGACCGATCTCGTGCAGCTTGTCGTCGTCAGAGTCTTGGATGATGCAGAGGCTATCAACCCAGAGCCAGCGGAACCCCAGCATGTGTGTGACGTAGATTGCGTCGCGAATGGTCGGGGGAAGACGGTCCGGGGGGATACATTGTGTGTACGTGGATATGTTCGCGCTCGTGGTCTTGTGGACTTGGTCTTCACCCCACACATAGCTCAGCGCGAGGAACTCCCCGCATCCTCCAGTTGTTGAGACCAGCCGCGGCCGAGCGAGATCGGTGCAATCCACCAGTCGTGTGGGAAGGCGAGGGCTAGGAGACTCTGCCGCGCTTTTGCAGTGCACGTGTGTGTCAACACACCTGTCGATGTGCTGTCTGGCAAGGGCCAAGGCGCGAGCAGATCCGACGTCCCGGATGACGCTTCGTGCCGGGATGTAGAGTGCCGCGGGGTCATCTAGCATTATGCGTCAGCTCCATCCTAGTACTATAAGTACCCGGCGCACCTGGAGCTGCGTATATGAAATGAGTCCGGGTGTGATGTCCAAACACTTCCGAACGGTCTCCGACGTCGTTGATTTCAGACGTGAATGTCTGATGACTCTGGCACCAACCAGAGAGTTTTTGATGCGTCTCACTAGTACCCCGCACCGTGATTCTTGCTTTGCAAGGGTAGTATTTGGGAGAGTGATACCTAGCATCGTGGGAGTTTAACGCACACCATACGCAACCTGCATCGGCACGAGATATGAGGTCTCCCAGCGTGGTCACATACGAAATCTCCTCGGGCCAGCGCCGGTACCATTTTCCACTCCGGGGTGACATTAATGGAAGCCCAAAGCGCATGGCAAAGGGACCCTCCCAGCATGCGGCGCAGACAGACGAAGGTCGAGGAGGGAGGTAGTTGTTTTCAACGCTGTCCTCGGAGAAGAAGGGCAGCTGGGAGAGCGTGAACTCCTCCGGCAAGAAGAGCAGAGGGAAGAAGGGCAGTTCCGAAAGCGCGCAGTCCATAGAATTGGAGACGGAGAGGTATAGAGGAGGGGATGCGTCGAGATGGGAGTAGGCGACGAGGTGCAACCTGGACTCGTTACTCCAGTAGCACCCTCGTGGGCTGTCGCGTGCGTCCAGCCCAAATGGTGTTATCGTCACCCATCTATACGGCCCGCAGAGACAAAAGTCGTGTGGTGGACCCGGCAGGGAAGATATGTCATAACGAGTTGGGACTTGGCAGGTAGGCGATGCTCGCTTGTGCGAAGCCGCACTTGTTATCGCACCGGCACAGCGGACATCGGATATAAGGGAGGAAGCACAAGGAACATGCATTGTCAAGGAGAAGGCTGTACACGGAGGGCTATGGCCGGACGACTTTCCGCGGGAACCTATGACAAGACGCCCGACTAGCAAGCACAGAGCGTGAGAGACGGGGCAGAACACAAAGCTAATCGTATTCGGATGATCTGTCTGGACTGTCAGCCATATAAAAGCGTGCATGTGTACAAAATCACGTACCTATGCGCGGCGCCCAGATCGGAATCCGGGAAAATGCCATTGCAACCGCATGCTGTACCCCGTGGGAGGTGAAACTTTCGCGCTCGAGGAACGTTTCCACTGCAGCGTGCCGGTGAGCACTGAGCAGGATTTGGTGCAAGATATACGCAGGGTACTCCGCCGGTAGGATTCCGATTGCGCCGCATGCGTCGGGCTGGCTCGCGGCGGTGACGAGGCGGCGCTGCGTGTAGTCGCCGAAAACGATCCACCAGGCCGTGCCAAGGCTCGGCAGGCAGTGGATCCTCGTAGAATGGCGTCGTGGAGGAGGTGAAGCACGTCTGACGAGACAGTGATGGAAGTTGCGAGTCGCGATGGAGTAATCGAGCTGGAAGACGTACGAGACAAAGATGAGGGCGCGGGGACATGATGTACTTTTGAAGCTCGTGATAGGGTGTGCGGATTCTGTACAGGAAGCGCATGGGGTCGACTCCAGATCTGCGTACGAGTGTTGTATGCGCACCAGAGCTGTGCGACTGTGCCGGGCCCGGGGGCGCGGCTGAGAACGATGCTCCTGTTGCGCATGAGGGCATTTCGGAGAGGTGCAGAGGACCAACTCAGCTTCACACGGCAATGGACGGATTTCCATGTCAGCAGCCATGCTCAGTCAGGTATCAAGGCAAAAAAACGCACCTACAGGCAGAGCCCATAGCCCACGGATGAGAAGCGCATCGTCTCGCAAATTGAATCCTTGTCCTTCCAGTGGGTCATATAGCCGGTGCGCCGGCCATCCTTGTTCACGATAAGGACGGGTAATGCTGTGATGCGAAAGAAATCGCCGTGCAGGCGTGGGCGCATGCGAAAATGGGGTGCGACGCCTTGCACACAGAACGAGATGCATATGTAATACAGAAGAAGTGTAGCATATTAAGCCGCCTGGGACTGTATCATAGGTTAGTTAGAGCATTGCTATTCCAAAACGGGATGGGCGTACCCAATGCGAGAGCAGCTGGCGTGCCTTAAGCCTTTGAAGGACGAACACCGCCGATGTCCGCTGAACAGCAGGTAGAGGACACAATGAGAGCACCAGTAGAGCAAGTATAAGAGAGAACGAGCCGGTGAGCGTCCACGCGAGGCGAGCGAGTACCGTAGTCTAAGTCATTGTCGGTGGTCGTGGTAAGGAACATCGCAAGCGCCTCCTTCGCCCCGCACTCCGTGGGGTCCGCGCCGAGTTCGGGCTTTTCGGGCTTAGCTCAGAATGGATATCCGAGAAGCGCGGAGTAGACGCGCGACTTCCCTGCCAGCGACGTCGACGACTCACTGCTCGAACGGTGATGCTCCTCTCTCCCCTCGGTCCTGGTCCAGAAATGTACCCTTGCCTACCTACCCCCTTTGTTCCAGCTGGGACGAGGCGGTATATAGCCTTATTCCCCCCTCGTATCGTCGATCGCCTATCTTCACGGCCCTTCCTCTCCAACTCTTGTTTCGCCTTCAGAGAGTATTCAAAGGGCTGGGATCACGTTGCCGCCGCTTGCACAACAATATTTGTGTTTATCTCCCGCGATTCTACTCACCAGGCAATGACCTCGACGCTGAACTCTGTGCATCCTCATACCGCACAATGATCCCCGCCGCGTGCCGAGTCCGAACCGCAGAAGCGACTCCCTCGTGTCTGCAGGTATGTGTAGCACTAGCCTACGCACATCTGAGCGTTGCTCACATCTTTGCTTTTACGCGTGCGCTCTATAAAACCATGCAAGGAGCTCAATTCGTGGCAGTGCTCGTGTTTGTTCCCCAGACTATATGCTGCATCCTCGAAGCCCGTATTGGCCGCATACCACGACAAGAACAGACCATTCCGAGTCCATTCTCGTGGCAGATCGCGCTCAGGTACACACAGCGTGACTCGAAGGCGTGTTTACTCTATATTGACCCGCAATTGGCCTGGGCATCGCGACATCTCTCAGAGCGTAGTTCAGTGAGTTTACGACACCTCTCTGAAAAGTGCGCTCATTACTTCGCCAGTCCCGCGTAGCTTCGCGAAGGACGACGACGTCGTCGTACTGAGTATATATACATACGTCGTAATAACAAACCATTGTTCGTGCTCTCCCGATTTCTAGTCACTCACGCAATGATACAAGCGCTGTTCGCTCATACAATCACAATGTCCGTCCAAGGGCGTTTCCCGTCTTTCACCGCCCTAGTTAGCGAACCCCACAGCGTGTCCGAAGGCCCCCCACCAGCCATGTGGTGGAAGTATCCGATCCTCCGAAAGCGAGTCTTTTCGGGTTGAGATTCTGAGCCTTTTGATGGGGGAGCGAGCTCGAGGACAATCCCGTGTACCTCATAGCCTTCACTTTGGTCGGGCCAATCGGTCTCCCACGCAAACGGGACCAGCCACATTCGCCCTGGCAATTCATCGACATCGCAGTCCATGGTTATCGATGTTCCTCCCCCTGGTTGAGCTGAGTCGACGTCGTCTTCTTCATCCGACGTTATGAAGCTCTCATGTCCACGCTGCCACTGGCGCCGTGCTTGCTCGAAAGACGGTAGAGGCCCGGGGAAATATCAATCACCGCAGGATTCTTCAGCGTGGCCACTGCTTTGGCAAGGTATCAGCGTTCCGCGCAGCACGAGGGCCCCGTCCATCACCGGACCAAATGGAAGCGCAGGATCCTCGAGCGTAACCCAGCACTCAGCGACCTCTGCGAGCGCGACGGTAACGTCTGCAAGGCCCAAATTACGTGGAGCATGATGGCTGGTCGGGCCTTCGATCGCCGCCCATGACCATGACGGTGCGCGGTAAGCTGTCGGGCGAGTCTGCCATCCTGAGTGTCCATGCGGTTGTTTGTCGTCAGGATCGGCCATCCATAGCAGATGGAAGAGAAGCGCGTCGGAGCGCCACAGCCCCGCGAGGTACTCAGAACCCAGAACGCGGTGGAACTGTTTGTTGGAGATAACGGCCATTGACTAGTAACGGACTTTGTACTTACTTTCGGACTTTGATACGTTTTACTTACTTTACTTACTTTTACTTCATTCTCGGTATTGTACGCTTTGTATTCGCATTACTATAGCTTTTAGTTCGCACTCTAGTATTTAGTTCTCGCGCTCGTACTCCAATACATTATCATTCCTCTCGTCCACTCTCGCGTGAACTACAACACTGTTCAGCGATCGCAGCGCACGCGACCAGTTTGTCCGATGCGACGCTAGCCGTGCGCCGGGTGTAGTCCTCGACAACCCTCGTCCAGGCATCGTGCGTGTCTTTCCACGCTTCGATATCAGGCTCTGCTGCAGGCGCCATCGGCGGGAGGAAGAGGGAGTTGTGGATCCGGGGATCGTTGTGTATTCGATAGAACGAGTCGCCAACGCCTTGCACGGTAGAAAGACACCTGAATACGAGCGTTTGGGGGGTGAAGATGAGGGCGCGCGGAGACATCAGGTACTCTTGCATGCACCAGGCACGCGTCGCCATGTTCCCGAGCTCGTCACTGTGTGCCCTGCCAGTGATATTTGAACGGATTGGCGCAATGGACACGGTACCGACCTGCGACGGTGCCACAGAACAGTCTTCTGCGCGCACTACGGAGGTCAAGGGGCGTGGGGGGCATATGAAGGGTAGACCCGTGACGGAGTTATGAAGGTCAAGATCAGGAAGAGGTCGCTCCTGGAGAAAGCTCTCACTGACGCCATTCGCACTGGCAGCCATGATCGTCAGATGGGAATACCGGTAGATGTGGTGCATGCGGCCGATTTCGTGCGCCTTGTCCTCGTCCGAGTCTTGGACAATGCATAGGCTATCGATCCAGAGCCACCGGAAGCCGAGCATGTGCGTGACGTAGATTGCGTCGCGGATGGTCGGGGGGAGAAGAGAGGCGGCGATGCCTTGCTCGTACGAGGATAAGTTCGCGGTCGTGGTCTTGTGGACTTGATCCCCGCCCCACACGTAGCTCAGGGTGACATATTCACCGTGTTCCCCAGTCGTCGAGACCAGAAGTGGTCGAGCGTGATCGGTGCAGTCTACTAGGCGTGTGGGGAGACGAGGACTACTGTATGCCGAGGTTTTGCAAAGGTCGTGTCCGTGGACGCAATCGTCGATGTGCTGTCTTGCAAGAGCCAGGGCACGAGGAGACCCTACGTCCCGAATGGGGCTTCGTGTTTTGATGTAAGATGCTGCGGGGTCCTCTGAAGATACATGTCATTAGTTTCATCCCTACGCTCAGTCTGATACCGCCTGAATGTATACGACGTACCTGGTTCCGTGTACACGAGATAGGGGGTGCCTTCCTGCAACACATCACTGGATTTCACTATGATATGTTGTAACGGTAGGCCCTGGGCCGAGTCCGAGTCCGAGTCCGACATATCCTCGTCGTCCAATGTAACTCAGTCTTCTTCCGACGGATCTGAGTTCCGGTCCGACGTGAGCGAGTTCGATGTGAGCGAGGCCTTGTCTGACGTGACTGAGCCGACAATCGATGCATCGAAGTCTTCGTCCTGCGTATTCGAAGCAGCTCGCACAGTGATGGTAAACCGTTCGTGGTAACGGTGATGCCCGACGTGGTCGAGGATGAGCCGGCACCATACGCAACCTCCATCGGCACGGGTCTCCAGTTTTGCCCAAGTTGTCGTGTACAAAATCTTCTTGGGCCAGCGTCGGTACAACTGGCCGGTTCGCGTTGACACTAAGAGAAGCCCAAAGCGCATGGCGAAGAGACCCTCCCAGCATTCGTCGCAGACGGACGAAGGCCGAGGCGGAAGGCAGCTATTATCCACGCTGTCCTCGGAGAAGAAGGGTAGTTGGGGGAGAATGGATTCTTCGGGCAAGAACAGCAGAGAGAAGAAGGGCAGTTCGGAGAGGGTGAAGGCCATAGAAGTTGAAGAAGAGGAGGTATAGCCTATAGAATGCGTCGAGACGGGAGTAGTAGGCGACGAGGATGAAGGATGGGAGCGCAGGTGCATCCTAGACTCGTCGCTCCAGACAACTCTAGTAGCATTATGGTACTTCCCTCGTGGAAGTCGCGTGAGTCTATCCCAAGCCGCCGCGATGCTATCGTCGCCCATCTATACGGCCCGCAGAGACGACAATCGCGTGGTGGACCTGACAGGGAAGATCTGTCATAACGAGATGGAAGATGCTCGCTCGTGTGAAGTCACAAATATCATCGCGGCGGCACAGGGGAAGACAACAGGGAGGAAGAGACATGCATTGCAGCGGACAGGGCTGTACACGGAGGGCGGTGAACGAGCGACATTCCACGGGAACTTAAAACAAAACGATTGAGGAGCGAGAACCGCCTGCAAGAGACGACGCAGAATTCTAGAACACAATGATAGTCGTATTCGGAGTACGCTGCTGAGTTGTCAGCCGCATAGGAGTGTGCATCTGCATGATTCACGTACCTATGCGCCTATACGCTGCAACAAATGCGCAGATCGGAACCTGCCAATTTAGGCATACAGAAAAACGCCACTTAATCGTCATGTGCTAACAGTACAGGCCAGACGGAATCGTCCTAAACTCTCGGGAGCCCACGTAGCAACAAACAAGACCTTCGTAGGCTAGCCTGTGCACAGCGCAAGCGTGTTCATAATGCGCGTGTGGGAGAATGCTTGGTGGACCAGGACGAGATGAAGAAAGGCAGGAGCGGCGCCGGCAATACCCGAGCAACGGAACACGGTGTGGTCACGCCGCATTACACGCATAGCCTAGCGGGGATTGAGGGGCTTCTGTACATTGCGCCGTCCAGATGTTGGTCAGAAAGGTAAGAGACACATGTCAAATGCACCTCGAAACGACAGAGACCGCTATGCATAACAGCAAGTTCATGACAGAAGTTATCTGCTCTGCCTCTGGAAGTAGACGGACAGATACCGCCTCGTTGCATTGCGTACACGTTCAATAGGCACAGCCCATGGGATGCGCGGGCGCACCTTGGACACAGTAGAGGCCGACGCTGGGAGTAGCGTAGATGACTCGTCGCGTCGTTCAGCTGCTAGCGCAATGGGAAGGCGGCTGTCGTCTAGGATAGTCGTGGATCGAGGGGTGTTCTTTCTGGATATATGGGAGTCTTGTATACTGGCGCCCTCGACATTCTCAATACCTCCGAGAACTTGTCCCCGTATGATGTAGCGGCGTGATTAAGGACTCGGTCCTTGCTGTGGCCGCCAGAAGTCGTAGTGGAGTAGGGAGAGAGAGAGAGCTAAGAGCGCTTCCTCGGGGGGGGGGGGGGGGCCAAAGATTGGGGGTCTGGAGCGATCTCCGATATTCTCGGGAAAACTTTAGTATGTTTTCTTTATATAAAAAAGGGTGTCATAGAATGATTGCATCTTCTGTACAAAAACTAAAATAATAAATAGTTAAGCCTTACGTATCTGTGCGACTTCCCGCGTGCGAACTCGTTCCCTTCGACGCACTGAAGCGCTGGCTTTAGCATTCACTCCTCCTTTCACTCCTCCGAGGCCCTCCTCATCGTCGTCAGGCTGTACACTTGTCTCTCTCTGTCCTGAAGATGCATCTGCACATCATGTGAAACCTGCCTGCAGCTGCGCGACCGCACGCCGTGTCGGCGTTTGTTAACTTGGCAATTGCTCGCGAGTACTCGCCAGCTCGTCTCCTTCGACGCTGGCCTCTCTCACGACCTTCACATTTTCTGCATGTGATGAGTCTAGAGACACTGTACCTGATATCTCTTCCCCTCATGAGCCTTAGAAGGCTCTCTACCTGACCTCCGCCGTCCCTCAAATCTCCCTCAACCTCTCGAGATGTACGCGCTCTGCCCAGGGTAGGTGACTATTGGTAACACCTGCGCTGAGCGCGCTGCCATCGTGCCTGTAATTGAGCTCTGCTTACAATGACTGAACAGATCGTCGGTGGTACACTCTGCGCAACCCTACCTCCAACCGCATCCCTGACGCCGGCGCTTTCTACGTCTGAACGTACGCGGCGGGCTATGTGGCCTCCTAGATGCTGGTATGTGTAACAATAGGTCGCGTAGGCGCAGACAGTACCCACAATATTGCATACACAGGATTTTCTGGCGCAACCACGCACGTAACTCATGTCGCTAGGCCCGTGTTCGTCCCCCCGACCCGGTATCGCCTTCGTTGGAACCCCGGCAACCACCCAGCACGATACCGGTAACAGGCAACCGTAACAGCCATACGAATATTGCGCCACCCCCGCAGATAAGCTCTCGGACGTCTCGTCGCGGCCATCTTGCGCTCAACCAGCTCGCTTGGCGCATCGGCACATGACACGCATTAACACGCATTACAGAGCATGCAGCTTGTCCATCACCGCTATCCGAGTAAATCGCTCGTTTTATCATCGCTCTTTTCACAACCTGGAATCATCCATAGTGCGTACCGCTATCGTCCCGTCCCCTTATGTCTCCGCATTCTGACAGTAGTCTCACAGAATTCTCTACGTCATCCCCCGACGCCCACAAGCACTTCCAGAAGTTCGTCCTTAATCCGGTCATAGACGGGATGACCGAACACATCTTTCTGGACGCGCCGATTCGTCGTCTCGAACATCCCATACGGTGGTCCGGTTCCACGTGTCGCAGAAGGCGGTTCCTGCGCTCGAGGTAGGTGGCCCCTACGTCAATGCGCGCGACTTACGGACGAATCATACACAATTTAGGCCTGAGGATCTGGACGATTCAGGCCGTGGTGCACGTCCTCGACGTACCGCTGGCATGTTCATTTCGCATACACCTTCGCAATCGTTTCTCACAATGCCCACGCCGTACGGTTTATTAGCCGTCAATGATGTCTTGCATTCCTAACAAATGCCCTCTATCCAGCTGCATTCGCCGCGCAGAAGGCGCCTCAGTTCTCAGTGCGCTTTCGCTCGTCGTCCAAGCTTCCTCCGTCACCGATCGCCCCTCGCATCGCCACACGTCGGAGGACGTATGCTTTCGCTCCAGGCATAGGTTCATCGCGCTATGAACGTGTCCCGGGACATGGCGTTTTCCTAGACCAGTTCGAAAATGTCTGATAGAGATCCGTCGGCCTACATGTAGAGCAGGTCTATTTTGTAACAGAATTGCAGAGCCCCAAGAAATATGTATTGAGAACCACAGCCTACGGTGTTATGTCCGTACATATGCCATGACCACAAACCATTGTCCATCACTTCCTGGCGAGTCTGAGTCACCCACAACTCACAAGGACCACTTTCTCACACAACCACAATGTCCGTCCAAAGAGGCTCTCCATCCTTCACAGCCTGAAGTAGCGGCTCCCACAGCGGGTCCTTCCAATCCTTGCGTTGTTCCGCCGCAAAGAAGTGCCCAATCCTCCGAAAGCGAGTCTTCTCGGGTTGAGATCCAGAGCTGTTTGACGTAGAAGCGAGCTCTAGGACAATTCCCTGCATCTTGACTTCGTAGTAACCCCAGGTCGTCCGCCGTACCAAGGGCACAAGCCACAACTTTTCCGGAAGTGCGTCGACATTGCAGTCCGTGGTAACTCTTGAACTGAAGTCACCTGGGCTCGTCAAGTAGACGTCGTCTTCTCCATCCGAGATTGATCCCGCAAGACCATACTGCCACTGCCTCCGTACTTGCTCAAACGACGGTAGGGGGACACTCCACAAGTTGGGGGACCGAAGTCTTTCAGCATGTCCACCATGTCGGAGTATGGGTGTTCCACGCAAAATGAGAGCCCCGTCCGTCACTTGACCGAATGGAAGCGCGGGATCTTGAACTGTGACCCAGCACTCGTCGACCTCTGCGAATGCGACCGTATGGGGGTCTCTGAGACTGAGAGCGGCAAACTCCGGCTCATGATACTCGGTTGGTCCGTCGATCGCCGCCCATGACCATGACGGTGCCCGGTAGGTTGTTGGGCGAGTATGTAGGAGCTCAAATTGCTGCGCCGTAGCCCCATCAGCCTTCCATAGTAGGTGGATGAGGAGCGCGTCCGAGCGCCACAAACCAGCAAGGTAGTCAGAGCCTAAGAAAGGGTGGAATTGCTCCGCAAGCGCAGCGCACGCAACCAGCTTGTCCGACTCCACGCTGACAGAACGGTTGGTGTAGTCCCGGACAACCCTCATCCAGGCCGTGTGCATGTCTTCCCGCTCTTTGGAATTAGGCTCCGGCGCCGCCTGCGCGGCCTGCGGCAGGAAGAGCGTGTGTGGTATCTGAACTTCGTCGGCTGTCTCGTAGAGTGAATTGCCAACACCTTGTGTGGCGGAAAGGCACCTGAACGAGAGCGTGAGGCGAGTGAAAATGAGTGCGCGTGGGGACATCAGATACTCTTGCATGCACCAAGCCCGAGTTCCCGTGCGTCCCAGCTCGTGATTGAAAATTTTGACAATGAAGGAGAAATCTGGATCAGAGAGTGGCGCAACGAACACAGTATCGACCCGAGGAGATTGTGCAGCCGAGCAGTCTTCTGGCTGCCCTATCGTGGTCGTGGAGTACGGAGGGAAGAGGAAAGGGAGAGCCATCGTATAGCCGTCAAATGGTCGTTCCTGGAGAAAGCTCTCGTTGACGCTCTTCGCGATGGCGGCAATGATCGTCAGGTGCGCGTAGCGGTAGATGTGATGCATACGGCCGATCTCGTGCGCCTTGTCCGTTTCCGAGTCTTGGATGATACATAGGCTGTCAACCCAGAGCCATCGAAAGCCCAACATGTGTGTGACGTAGATTGCATCGCGGATAGTCGGGGGGAGAATGGAGGGGGCGATACCTTGTTCGTACATGGATAGGTTCGTACTAGTGGTCTTGTGGATCTGGTCCCCGCCCCACACGTAGCTGAGGGTCAGGTATTCGCCGCGTTGCCCGATTGTCGAAACCAGCCGTGGTTGAGAGAGGTCGGCGCAGTCCACAAGTCGCGTGGGAAGTCGAGGGCTGGAGGAAACCGCCGCGCTTTTGCACCACTTGTGGGTGGCAACACACTCCTCGATGTGCTCTCTTGCCCGGACCAAGGCACGAGGAGATCCGACGTCCTTGATGCGGTTTCGCATTACGATGTAGGATGCCGCGAGGCCGTCTAATGATCTTTGTAAGCTCCTTTCTAGTGCTATACATACTTGACACACCTGGAGCTGCACAGATACAATGCTTCCCGTAACCATGCTGGTCAAATCCGTCGATTTTAAGTGTCAACACCTGACGAGTCTGGAACCAACCCGAGTCTCTCTCCCGCTCCTCCCTAGTACCCCGCACAGTGACGGTCACCCTTTTGAGGGGGAATTTGCTGGTTCGCTTATCGGTTATCTCACCGAGCACAAACCGGCACCATACGCAACCTGCGTTAGCACGAGACTCCAATTTTGCGATCGAAGTCGAGTACGAGATCGAGTCGGGCCAGCGCCGGTACCATTTTCCGCTCCGCGGTGACACTAAGGGAAGCCCAAATCGGATGGCGAAGGGCCCCTCCCAGCATTCCTCGCAAGCAGATGGCGGCCTAGCCGGGAGGCAGCTATTCTCCACATGGTCCTCGGAGAAGAAGGGTAGCTGAAAGAGAGTGGATTCCTCGGGAAGGGAGAGCAGAGAGAAGAAAGGCAGTTCAGAAAGGGCGAAGTCCACAGGGGCCGAGGCCTAAGACAATGTGTCAGGATGGGAGTAAATTATGAGGAGGAAGGACGCAGGGTCGCCCAGGTCCCACACAACGTTTGTAAGAAACACTCACCTCCTCCCAAGCAGCAGCACGCGTCCTGCATATGCCGTCCTGTTTACATAGCGCCATAAGGCCAAGATACGGTGGCCTGGGCGGCAGGGAGCGATCGTTAACACAGTCCTCAGAGGCGGATGATGGTTGCGAGAGGATGAGTTCCTCGAGACTGATTCGTCGAGAGATGATGCAGCCCATATGTGTTGATCGAAGAAGGGAAAAGACTAGTGAAGGGCATGCATCGAGATCGGAGTGGACGACGTGGGCAAGGACAACGGACGTGGAAGTGACGTCGTACTAGTATCCGCGAAGCTCACTAGACCACTCACTACCCTCGAGGCAGTCGCGCACGTCCTGCGGAATCCGTGCTAATTTTGTCTTGCCATATGAGCAGGGACGAAAGCCACGTGGTGGACCCAGCTGGGAAGACCTGTCATGATTGAGCGCGCAAAGGATGTACATATATTGGCTGGAGCGCCACATGGTTCATCGCAACGGGTACGCGTACAACCGTAGGGAGGACGAGGCGACAAATATTGCAACTGATAGAGATATACATCCAGGGCGATGATCGAGCGATCTTTCGCGGGAACCTAGAACGAAATGCTCGAGTAGCAAGCACAACGCGTGAGAGACAACGCAGACTACACAGCTTGTCGTATGCGGGTGGATATCCATCTGGACTGCCAACAGTGGTATGGGAGCGCGCAAATACAGAGTTCACGTACCTATGTATGTCACCCATACTCTGTATACACTGCACAGATCAGGACTCGGAGAGCGAGACGTACTGGGAAAAGCTAGTTGCTCGTCGAGCGCTACAGCGTTGCCTCGCGAGAAATAGATTCTTCGTAGGCTGGACTGCGCACAGCGCAACCATGATCGTCGCGCGCGTGATGTATAAGGAAGTACCGTAGCGACGTGGGCGATGTGGTATTGCGCATGACATAGTCGGGATTGAGGGCTTCTGTGGATTACGCCATTCAGACTTTCATCGATCATCAAGAAGATGGAAGACCTCCAGAGAGGTCGCCCACTATTGAGACGACATACCGTACAAAATGGGACGGGAAACGTTTGCGCTGAGGAACTTTTTTACCACAGCGTATCGTCTCATTGAGCAGGGTGTGGTGCCAGATACCCGCAAGGTACTTTGCAGACAGGACGCACTCGGCATGATTCCAATTGCGCCGCGTGCATCATGCCGCGTGCTTTGGGATAACTCGCAGGGGTGACGATGCGGCCCTGCTTGTGACGGGCAGTGTATTCTCGCGGAATGGCGTGGCGGGAGAGGTGAGGCATGTCAGACGTGGCGGCAATGGAAGTCGCGAGTCGCGATGGAGTGATCGAGCTGGAGGGAGGGCGTACGGGGCGAAGAAGAGGGCGCGGGGATGCGATGTACCTTCGAAGCTTGTGATAGAGTGCGCGGATGGTGTACGGAATGCGCATGGGATCGACTCTAGAGCTGCGTGCGAGTAGTGTATGCTCAGCAGAGCTGTGCGACTGCGGCTGGCACTGGCACCGGCTGAGGGCGACGCTCCTGTCGCGCACGAGGACATTTCGAAGAGATTCAGTTGACCTATTCTGCTGCTCAGTGGGATCGACGGGGTTCTCATGTGAGGAGCTGTCTTTGGTAAGTATCAAGACAGAGAACGCACCTATGAGTAGAGCCCATATACATCGGGCGTGCTGTCCTAAGGCCCCCAAATGTAAGGCCGACGACGCCCGTGTGGATCGCTGCCTTGTCCTACAAGTGGGCTACATCGCCCGCGCGCTGGCCAACTTTGTTGGCGATAGGAACGGCAAAAGTTGAGGAAAGAGCGAAAGAGGTCCCCGTGCAGGCTTGCGCGCGTGCGGAAATGCGATGCGACACCGTGAAAATGTAGCGAGATGCGTATGGAAGACTTGTGAAGTGTAACCTAGAAGTAGACCACCTGGAACTGGGCTATAGATCAGTCAGAACGTTGCTATTCCCAGACGGGAAGGGCGTGGCGGCGCGAGAGCTGCAGCTGGCGTGCTTTGAAGACCCACTCCGAGCACCAGTAGAGCAAGCACAGAGTAGACAGCGAGAAGAGACCAAGAGCCCGGTGTGCATCCACGCGAGGCGAGCGAGTACGTCGTCGTCGATGGTCGTGGTGGTGAGGAACGTCCCAAGCGCTTCCCTTACCTCGCACTCCGCGGAGCCCGCGCCGAGTTCGGGCTTTTCGGGCTTAGCTCAGAATGGATATCCGAGAAGCGCGGAGTAGACGCGCGAGCCAGTTCCCTGCAGGCTGCGGCGACCGGCAATTCGAACAGTGCTCCTCTCTCTCCTCCAGCTTAGCCCATTCGCGAAGTAGGTACTAGGTACCCTTCAATAACCGTCACCTGAGGCTTTAATATCGATGGCGCGGCATTTAGGCTTATCCATACGTCGTCCGCTGGACCGTCTCCGACCAAGTTCACGGCCCTCTCCGCGCCCCCCTACTTCGGTACGCAGTACTCAGTGCTCGAACTCTACCGTCAAAGCTTGATTCCGATTACCGTGGTGTATACACCTGGTCCCTCTCAGTGAGTCTCAGAGTATTTCTCAACGTCAATCTCTGCCTCACTCGTGTTTCCTATGCAGGGCCGCGCCTGCGCTCATCGCTACTTGCCTTCGCATGCTCGCGCTTCCCCTTCGCTCTAATACCCTTCAACGACTTGCAATATCTATAAAGAGTGCACTCTGTACCCAATTTGCGGTGCACTCTGCGGCGGCCATGTGCTCGACACGCTTCCACTTTTTGTTCAAACCTCCTCCGCTCGGCGGCCTACCCTCGCATCGCTCTACGCTGGTCGACGCGTGCCTTGCCTGCGGGAATAGCTTATGAAGATATACCCATGCACAAGGTGCTTTTTAGTCCGTATTTATTCATTCACTGCTTACAATTTCCACCTAGATCGCACCGCATTCCCTCGCACCACCCGCAGACCGTCTTCAAAGAGTTGGTCCATAGTTTTGCTACTACCGCTCCCACAGAGCTATCGCGTGCCTCGTTTACTGGGGACTTAAGATAAGTAGGTCTTCGTCAGCATATTCCCCTTCTGAAACCGTATCGCGTCCGTGACAGCGTGGCAATTACGGGCGTCGAGGAAACCCCCTTCGTCTCTGTTCGTATGTGTAGCACCAGCCAATGTGAGCTTTAATTGTACTAACTTCGCATGCACAGGTGTCCTCGGTGCAAAGGCGCGTTCTTATGGGCCTCCACAGCCATAAGCTTCTTGCCCGAGGCCGCATCGACCGCCTTTCGCGTCGCCTGTAGTCGACTACGCCCATGTTGCGCTGCGCCGGCGTACATCTAGTGGACCTCGCGCTCTGATAGCGTATTTATCGCCCCCGCGACCGCAGCGGCTTGGTGTGTAACCCTCTGAAGCACAAGCCGACGAGAAGCAGGTCGTGTCACGTCGTTATAAACAAGTCTCATTGCGGCTGAGCACTGGTAGTATATACGAGTGGGTATCGCCACTATCCCACCCCTCATGCGGTTCTATTCTGACTGTACACTTTCAGAAACTCTCGTTATTATCGCATGTAATTTCACAGCGCGTTCAATTCCCATCTCAATTGTTTGGTGACCGGAAGACCTACACGCACCGCTCGGTGCCATCGCGCTGCTAGGCTCCGCTCGTAGCAGCACACCCTTCCTGCGTTTTCGGTAGGTGTGCGCAGCTCAACATACGCGAGCTGTGCGCTAACGACGTCTCGTTCTCAGGTGACCTCGGCCCGAAAGTGGTGATGCGCACCACGATGGCCGCTTTCACGTCGGTCTGGCAGCTCTTTGTACTCCGCTCCGTGCTCGGAGCGGCCACGATCCTTGTTGCCGCCTGGTTGGTAAATGTCAGGGGAGCTCGGCACCTTCAAGTCCACGATTTCTAGACGCGATAACGGTACCTTCCAGCACGCTGCTCTCTTCTCGCGGTTCTCTGACTATCTCAGGAATCACGTACCCGTGAAGGGCATAATGGACTCTAGACTGTGCATGGAACCATTAGGCGAGTGCTGTCACCCCGAAACCGTTGGGCTGACCCTCGCCGGTTGCCATTGACCTTGCAGATAACTCTCGTCTAGCTACGCTCGGTCGCTGCAGTGTGTGCAGCGATATCTTCCGGTGGCGAGCGGGCCCAATATATAACAAGTTAGTTGCCCATCCGATGCGGAGTGTACGACATCCCTACGTCCCTCAGGGCGGCGCAAAGGCAATGGATGTGCTCTATCCTATCGTGAGTATTCTGAGACGCTTATACATATCATTTACGGTGGGGGCACGCTCGTCATGGGAAACGATGAGCTCGCCAGTGTCGCTACTGCCTGGGAGAAGCGTGAACTCTTTTTCGAGGATTTGAATACGAGTACGGGTGCCATCAAGCGTGTTGATGTGTGAATAGCGGGCATGTCTTGCAAATCCGTGCGAGTTGTCCGCGAGGGCGAGGATATCGAGAACGAGGCCTTGACGCCAAGGATATGACGTCGTGAAGAATCCGATACACTTCGACTCGGGATACTTCCCCCTACCCGGCAGCGCAAATATAAAAAAACTGGACAGACATTCGACTCGTTAACCTGCATAGATCAAGAGCGATACATAAGATCATCGCCGAATACAAGAGCGAGACCAAAAGTGTACATAAGTCGAGACCGCAAGCCATGCTCAATGCCTTCTAGAGTCCTTCACGTATCATACAATCACAATGTCCGCGTAATGATGTCCCCAATTCTTTGGCACGTCCGCATTCCGAGCTAGGGAACCCCACAGCAATTCCTCCTGTGAATCTTCAGCGAATCTTTCGAAGTACCCAATCCTCCGAAAGCGACTCTCCTTGGGTTGAGGTTCTGCGCCGATTGATAGAGGATCGAGCTCGATCACAAGTCCAAACATCCTCCTGTGCGACTCCACTCGAGCTACTATACAATGCTCCAGCATAAACGGGACCAGCCACATTTTCTCCGGCAGCCTGAGCTCGTCGACATCGCAGTCCATGGCAACTAATGCGCAACCGCGGGATATCGTCGGGTATCCGGTGTCGGCGTCATACCGCCAAAGCTGGCACCGTATTCGCTCGAAAGACGGTGTGGGCACGAACGAACCATGCGCAGAACCTGTGTCGGGTTCATGATACCAATGACCGGGTATCAGTATGCCGCGCAGGACGAGGGCCCCGTCCTTGACTTGACCGAACGGAAGCTCGGGGTTCTCGAGTGTGACTTTACAGCCATCGGGGTGGACCTCAGCAAGTGCGAAAGGTCCGCGGGGGCCGGGGGGAGATGAGATATTCATCTGCTGAGAAGGCCAATTGCTGATTGGGCCTTCTATCGCCGCCCATGACCACGACGGTGCGCGATAGGCTGTTGGGCGGGTATGTCGGCGTGCCAGTGGTCCCAGTTCCTCAGAGTGATCCGCTTTCCATAGCAGGTGAACGAGGAGTTGGTCCGCGGTCCAGAACCCAGCGCGATACGTAGAGGGGCCAAGGAGACCGCCGTATTGCTCCGCAAGCCCGGCGCACGCGACCAGCTTGTCCGACTCGACGCTAGCCGTACGGCGGCTGTATTCCTCGACAGCACCGCCCCAGGCTTTCAGCAAGCTCTTCTGCTCGTCGGGATCAAGCGCTGCCCCAGGTGGTGGCGGGACGAAGAGCGAGATGGGTAAATCAGGTTCGTCGTACGAAGTAAAGAGTGACGGGCCAACGCCCTCCATGGAGGAAAGGCACCTGAACACGAGCGTTTCAGGGGTGAAGATGAGGGCGCGTGGGGACAGGAAGTATTCTTGCATGCACCAGGCGCGAGTCACCATGACTCCGAGGGAGTCAGAATACAAGGTGTTGGGATAAAGCAGGTCGTCATCCGCTGGCGTAAGGAAGATAGTCCCAACCCGCGATCGCGCCGCCGAGTCGTCCTCTAAGAGCTCTATTGAGGTCGTAGGGGGTGGAGGGCAGATGAAGGGGAACTCCATGGCAAGTTCGTCGGGTTCGATATCTCGCCGCTCCTGAAGAAAGCCCTCGTTGACGTTCTTCGCACTTCCTGCCATGATCGTCAGGTGCGCATAGCGGTAGATGTGGTGCATACGGCCTATCTCGTGCAGCTTGTCCTCGTCCGAGTCCTGGATAATACATAGGCTGTCCACCCAGAGCCACCGGAAACCCAGCATATGTGTGACGTAGATCGCGTCGCGGATGGTGGCGGGAAGATTATCCAGAGAAATACCTTGTGTGTACGCGGATATGTTCGCGTTCGTGGTCTTGTGGACCTGGTCCCCGCCCCACACATAGCTAAGCGCAAGGTATTCTCCCCGTTGTCCGATTGTCGAAACTAGACGTGGTCGAGGAGGGCTGCTGCAGTCCATGAGTCGCGAGGGGAGGCGAGGGATACCTGCCGAGCTTTTGAGGCAGTCTTCGTGTTCTCGGACACAATCGTCGAGGTGCTTTCTAGCCAATTCCAGGGCACGAGGAGAGCCTACATCTCGGAGGGGGCTCAGTTCTGTGATGTAGGATGCTGCGGGGTCCTCTGATAATACGCGGTATCAGCTTCATTCCTACAGTCGACTAGACAGCACCTGCCAGTGTAGGTACCCAGCGCACCTGGATTTGTGTACACAAAATACTCGGTACCTTCAGAATGCTCGGTGGCGAACACTACCAACTTGTAAAAGTGGGTTCTCAGATCTCTACTATCCCAGAACGTGCGGACGCTCCTTTCGCCGGGGCGTTCATCGAGTTTGAGGAACAGCTGACACCATGCACAGCCTCCGTCGGCACCAAATTTCAAGTCGGCGAAGGAAGTATCATACCAGATCGTCTTGGTCACGTCCCGTTCGTCCTCGGCGATCTTTAGTGACATTATTGAGAGTCCAAAGTGTATGGCGATGGACTCCCAGCATTTGTCGCAGACGGACGAAGGCCGAGGTGGCAGATAGCTATGTTCCACTTCGTCGTCGGATGAGGGATCTAGCGGGGAGAGGGTGGGTTCTTCGGATGAGGACACGGAGAATAAGGGCGGTTCAGCGGTGTAGGAGTCCATAGAGATTGAAGAAGACGATGTCTAGCACTGAGAGGACGCGTTAAGATAAGAGTGGGCGACGAGGATGAAGCCTGATGGGAGTGCAGGTGCAACCTAGACTCGTTACTCCAGACAGCTCATGGAAGCGCTGTAGCACCGCCCTCGCGGCAATCGTGTGCATCCAGCAGAAGCAGTGCTATCGTCGCCCATCTATACGGCCAGCAGAGACGAAAGTCGCGTAGTGGACCTGGTGTCATAACGAGTCGGAACTTGGCAGGTGGGCGATGCCCGCTCGTGCGAAGCCGCGGATGTTATCGCACCGGGACAGAGGACAGCACATGACGGAGGAAGCCTGAGAAACATGCATTGTCACGGGTAATGCTGTACACGGAGGTAGAAGTACTCCTAAACATGGCAAGGAAACACGACGTGGTTGTGCAAGTTACTCCGCGGACAGGACGCACTCGGAAGGACTCCGATTGAGCCGCATGCGTCGGGCTGGCTTCGAGCGGGAGTGACGAGACGGCGCTGCGTGTGGTCGCCGACAATGGACAACGGACCACCAGGCCGTGCCGAGGCGCGATCCTTGTGGAATAGCGTGGCGGGGGAGGTGAGGCACGTCTGACGAGGCGGTGAGGGATGTCGCGATTCGCAAGTTGCGATGTAGTGATTGAGCTGGCAAGGCGTACGGGACCTAGGAGATGGGACAATGCGACGTACCTTCGGAATAGTGATAGAGTGCGCGGATCCCCGCGCAAATCGCCTATTTTTTCTAAGGATGGGGTACATATCCGATGCGCTGGCCATCCTTGTTGTCGATAAGGATGGATAATGTTGTGAGAAAGAATGAAGGAAATCGCCCTGCAGGCGTGCACGCATGCGAAGATGGGGTGCGACGTTTTGCACATAGAGCGAGATGTATACTTGATACTAGAGCAGTGTGGCCTGGTAGAGCACCTGGAGCTATGCTGTAGCTTAGTCAGAAGATTGCTTTTACAAGACAAGATGAGCGTACCCGGCAGTGCGAGAGCAGCTAGCGTGACGAAGGACGAACACTGCCTGTGTCCGTTCGATAGCAGGTACAAGACGCTATGAGGGCACCAGTAGAGTAAGCATAGAGTAGACAATGCTTAGAGAGAGAAATCCTCGGTAAGCGTCCACGCGAGGCGAGCGAGGAGCTTGTCGTCGATGGTCGTCGATGGTCGTGGTGGTGAGGAACGTCGCCAAGCGCCTCGTTCGCCCAGCACTCCGCGGAGTCCGCGCCGAGTTCGGGCTTTTCGGGCTTAGCTCAGAATGCGCGGACTCTAGACGCGTGAATGAGTCCCCTGCCGCGACCTGCAATTCGACAAGTGCTCCTCTTTCTCCTTGATCCTAGTCTAGACGTGCAACCTCAACTACCCCGCATTTATTTTGGGATAACGCGGCGTTCAGGATTTTGACCATTCCCCGCCCGCTTCGCTCGAGCTCTCCTGCTAGAGCTTTCTTGTGCAAGATGCGCCTACCCTGCGTTTTCTGCTATCTCGCTTTTCATTATCTCCTCCCTGAGTCCGCTCTTGTACTATAGCTGCTCCAATGACCTTTGGCGGATCGCATTCCTAGCGAGTGCGCTCCATCGCGCCCGAATGCTCGATGCGCTTTCGCTTTTCGCTCAAACTGCTAGCCTCCGTTACCCCTTGCATCGACCCACCCAAGTCTACGCGTGCTTTGCCTTTTTGGAACAGATTATGACGATTTACACGGGCAAAAGGTGCTTCCTTGTCCGTATGTATTCAATCCCTGTTTACAACATCTTCACAGATCAATTAACGGTCACGCACATGCGCACCGCATGCATTCGCACCCCAAAATCTTGCAGTGCACGCGAAGTGCTCGGCACAGGATGATAGTGCCGCTCGCGAGAGCTGCTGCATATATTTTTCGCCCTGCATACCGCCTGCAAGGCAAGTACGTCCGAGTCCTCACAGACCTCCGCCCTTCTCACACCCTATCCCGTTCGCCACAGCGTGCAGCGTCAGAACGGCAGGGTGGACCCCTTATTTCTACTAGCAGGTGCAACACCAGCCGTTGCGGACGTGAAATGCACCGACAGCTTCGTATGCACAGGCGTCCTCAGTCCAAAAGTGCTCTTCTCTTGGCCTCCACCATCATGGGCGTCCTCCCCAAAGTCGCATCGACCGCCTATCGCAATAAAGGAATCATACAACACTACCAACTTCCCTGCGTCTGCGCAAAGCTCGTCGATGTCCGGCGTCATGTTCAACGCCTTCGCGAACGTCTTCGCCGACTCCCATGTATCGGCGTGCATGCCCCGTTCGAGACATGGTGTCGGGCCGCTCATCCGACGAGAAACAGGTTATGTCTTTCTCTTCCGGTTTCATGCTCGGAGCAGCCAATGCGAGTGGGTATCGCTACTATCCCATCTCTCATGCGTTACCATTCTGACCGTAGACTTGTAGGGACTTTGGTCACTCCCTGCCGCCGTTCAATCGTTCAAGCGGTCCATCATACCAGCACCTCTTAACTGTTGACGCGCCGTTGTGTTGGTTCATACGAGGTGCTATGCAATTTATCTCGCATCAGGTACGCTTCCAACGCGTTCAGATGTAGACCAAGCTCATGCCGGCTCGTTCAGACTACTGCAGCACGCAACGCAGCATGGATATGGGGAGTTGCGTACGTCTCGCGCTTGTCTCACAATCGGCTCGCGGGCGGAAGTCGTATCCATCCGAGATATCAACGGCTCTAACATCAACGGATGGGTCCACTAACGCTCATTAGCGGGAGGGTTCATCGTCCTCCCTACTTGTGGCTACTATGAGTCTGGTACTCGCTCATGATTTGTCTGTTTACCGAGCTCTGCTAAGCCGTTAATGCGTCTCACGGATATAGAGAATACCCCCCAGTCGATCGCTGGTGAGGTCGAGGTTTTGTGGAGCAAGATAGCATCGCGGAGTCCCTAAACGTGTGCGTAACTGATACAGAAACACAGTACTTCGACGTCACAAGCAGAAATTACTGTCGAAGTTCGCAAGTCTTACTCTGAGTAAGTTACAAAATACAAGCGTTGTTTGCTCATATCATCGTGATGTCCACCAAAGGCCATTCTCCGTCCCCCATATCCCGAGAGAGCGGATCCCACAAGGGGTCATCCGAGTCCCCGTGGATGTCGACCATGAAGTGCCCAATTCTTCGGAAGCGAATCCCCTCGCTTTCAGATCCTGAGCTAGTTGATATCGGAGGGGCCCTGTCGAGAACGAGCCCATCTATCCGGTCACCGCGACCATTCTGTGAAGTCCGCACGAACGGGGCAAGCCACATCGTTCCTGGCAGTTCCAAGTCATCCGCATCGCAGTCCATGGTAACAACTGCGTGGTGTTCTCCGTTTGTCGAATCGACTTCGTCTTCTTCGGAGTCCGCGTTTGGGCCGCCAAGTCCACATTGCTGCCGTCGTGCTTGCTCGAGTGACGGGAGAGGTACGGTCCAGAAGAGCTCGATCTTTTCAGCGGATCCGCCACGGCAAGGTATCAGCGCTCCACTCAGGACGAGGGCCCCGTCCGTGACTCGCCCAAAGGGAAGCGACGCATCTTCGAGGGTGACGCGGCACTCGATGATCTTCGCGAGGGAGACTGATCTGGTGTCTTCGAGTTCCAAGTCCAAAGTGAACGGAAACGGGCCGGCCGCTCTGACGTAGATGACACCTTCGATGGCAGCCCAGGACCACGACGGCGCGCGGTACGCCGTTGGGCGAGAATGTTGGTGTCCGACCGCCTCTGCCCCGAGCTTATCGGCGCCCCATAGCAAGTCCGTGAGGAGCGTGTCCGAGCGCCACACGCCCGCAAGGTACTCGCAGCCTAAGACATAGTGGAACTGCTCCGCGACCGCAGCGCACGCGAGAAGCTTGTCCGACTCGACGGTCGCTATACGGCGGCTGTATTCCTTCACCACCTCCATCCAAGCTACGCGCACGGCCTTCCACTCGGCGGAACTGGGCTCTGCTACAGGCGGGTCGTGGAGGAAGAGCGTGTCGGGCAGCCGGGGGTCGTCCAACATGCGCCGGAGCGAGTTGCCGATATTCCGGCGGGCCTCCTTGGTGGCACGGCATCTGAACTGGAGCGTTTCGGAGGTGAAGATGAGGGCGCGCGGGGACATGAGGTACTCTTGCAAGCACCAGGCGCGCGTGGACATGCTCCCGAGGTCGTCGCTGTACCACCTGTTTGCCGTGTGGGTCGAAGCGAGGTACACTTGGCCGACCTGTGGCCGCGCTAACAGAACGTCGTCCGGGGCCCGAGAATGTGGGGGGCAGATGAAGGGTAGCGCAAGATCAATAAGTCGGCGTGGTCGCTGCTGGAGGAACCCCTCCTCGGCTCCGTTCGCGCTGGCGGCCATGATCGTCAGGTGCGCATAGCGATAGATATGGTGCATGCGGCCAATTTCGTGCCGCTTGTCCTCATCCGAGTCTTGCACAATGCAGAGACTGTCGATCCAGAGCCACCAAAAGCGCAGGGTATGCGTAACGTAGATCGCGTCGCGGATGGTGGCGGGGAGAAGAGATGGAGCGATACCTTGCTCGTACATGGAAAGGTTTGATGTCGTGGTCTTGTGTACTTGGTCCCCGCCCCACACGTAGCTGAGTGCAACGTATTCACCGTGTTGTTGGGTTGTTGACACCAACCGTGGTCGAGCGGGATTGGAGCAGTCTACGAGGCGCGAGGGGAATCGAGGGCCAGGGGACGCGACGATTGCGCAGCACTCGTGCCTGTGAACGCACTCGTCGACCTGCTGTCTTGCCAGGGCCAGTGCATGAGGAGATCCTACGTCTAGCACGGGGCTTCGGGTTGTAATGTAAGGCGCTGCAGAATTATCTGTTAAAACTTGTTAGTTACATCTTTTCTCTTCAACTGAGGTCACCTATATGTTCAACTCCGACGCACCTGGTGCCGTGTACACAAATCCGTCAAAGATCGCCACTCCATTGATTTGCAGATATATCCACTGAAGGTGTGCATGCGAATCATCCCATTTCTCCAGAGTGCCCCGTACCGTGATGATCCACATATCGGGGAACTCGTTGTCGCCTGCTTGGCGGAGGAGAAACTGGCACCATACGCAGCCCGCATCGGCGCGAGACGCCAAAGTTGCCTTGGAGGTTGAGTACGATATCTCCTCTGGCCAGGTCCGGTACCATTGACCATCCTGAGGTGACGCGCAGGGAAGACCAAAGTGTGCGGCGAAGGGACCCTTCCAGCATGTGTCGCAGACAGATGGAGGCCTAGGCGGTAGGCGGTGATCGTCACCATGATTCCCAGAAATAATGGGTAGTGTAGAAGGAGCAGACTCCTTGTCGAAGATTGCGGGTCCAACGAGGGTAGCCTTCATAGATGTCGAGAAGAATAAGGTCTATCAATAGTGAAGAGGATGATGATCAGTGAGATGACAGTAGGCGTTGAAGAAAACGGCCGTCGCCCACTGGATCGGAATCCCCGATACGCACCGTCTCAGCGCATGTGTATACCAATCCCCAGCCAATACTGCGCTATCGCCGCCGAGTAACTCTGACGGTCCGAGTGTTGTGGTAGACCCAGACAGAGCTAAAAACCTGACCGTGGTGGGCGCCAAGCTGATCCTGGATCAATCCCGAGAAGCATCGGAAAGCTGCTGCTGCCACGATATCCCTCCCTAGTGTCTCGACTCACTCAAAGCCGAGCACACACAAATTCCTTGGTTATACATCACTAGCTACAGGGGATATAATCAATTTCTGTTGCCAGTGACCGTCTGCTCTGCGTCCTCTCGCTCACCCGTCTAGTGCTGGTACCCGCCTGCCCTTGTCGATGTCTCTCGCATGCCGCCGCTCCTTGGCGGAGCAAAGCATGTTCAGTTTTCATACGAGCTCGATATTCTCTATTGGGTATTCCCTGTTCTTCAAGGCTCGCGCGAGATTGCGCGTCGCTTCCCCCAAGTCTCCATTATTCTTCGGCTCTTCCATGAATCCGAGGTAGAAGGACCCCACCCTCCGAAAGCGAACCTTCCCGCCGTCTTTCTCCAAGCCATCCGAAGCTGCCTGAGCGACGAGGAGGCCCTCTACCGAAGTGCTACCCCGAAGAAGCGGTACAGCCCACAGCTTCTCAATCCCCAAGTCGCCCTGGCAGTCAACCTCGGCGTCTCCCCGAGGGCTACAGGACGCCGGCTCAGCTCCGACTTCGCCGTCTATGCCTAAGCCGCCAGCTCCCGGAGCACTCCGGTGCACGGTGCGTACGAGGATCTCGTGGTCCCCAGGATCTCGCCCGCCACGTACTGTACACGGCAAGAGAGCAGCACGCAGGGCCAGTGTCGCACCAGTCACCTGCCCGAACGGAAGCGCGGTGTCTTCCAGTGCGACCTCGCAGCGCACGACTTCCGCGAGAGCGTTCTCGTCCACGAACGCCTGTGTCCGGCGTCCCCACCACGCCACCTCGCCTTCGACCGCCGCCCACGACCATGATGGCGCGCGGTACGCAACCGGGCGGCGCACGTATACGCCGCGCTGCTGCTTGCACCAGAGCAGGTCGTGGAGGAGCGTGTCGCGCCACAGGCCCGCGAGATAGTCCGTGCGCAGCACGGCGTGGAACTGCTCTGCGATCGCGGCGCACGCGACGAGCTTGTCCGACGGGACGCTCGCGGCGCGGCGCGTGTAGTCCTGCACGACGTCGAGCCACGCGTCGTGCGCGGCGTGACGCTCTTTGGAGCCGTGCGCGGCGAGCGGCGGGTCGGGGAGGAAGAGGACGTCGGGGAGCCGCTTCTCGTTGAGCGTGTCGCAGAGAGACCCGCCGACGCTTTGTGTGGTCGTTTGGCAGCGGAACTGGAGCGTGCGGGGAGTGAAGATGAGCGAGCGCGGGGACATGAGGTATTCCTGCATGCACCAGGCGCGCGTGCTGATGGGTCCTGGGTTGTTGCTGTAGTATGGCCAGCGCGAGCCCAGCGCGTATGCTCGTCCCAGGCGGATTGGGGTGATGTGTATGGTGCCGACTTGCGGGGTCGCAGCGTTTGTAGGGCAGATGAATGGAAGAGCGATGTCGCCGCCCGAACGAAGAGCGCCGAAGTCCAGCTGTGGCGGAGGGGGACGGTCTTGTAGGAAGCCCTCGTCGACCTTCTGCGCGCTCGCGGCGATGATCGTCAGGTGTGCGTACCGGTAGATGTGGTGCATACGCCCGATTTCGCGTCGTTTGTCCTCGTCCGAGTCCTGTATGATGCAGAGACTGTCGACCCAGAGCGATCGGTACCCAAGCGCGTGGGTGACGTGGATTGCGTCGCGGATGGTTGCGGGGAGGAGAGCGAGGTCAATCCCGCTCTCGTACAGGGAAATGTTCGATGTGGTCGTTTTATGGACCTGGTCACCGCCCCAGACGTAGCTCAGTGTGAGGTATTTGCCACGTTGATCGTGTGTCGAAACGAGACGCGGATGCGTAGGGTCGGTGCAGTCGATGAGGCGTGTGGGTAGAAGAGGATCGGCGATGGCTGAGATGGCAGCGCAGCTCTCATGTTTATGGACACAGTGGTCGACGCGCTCCTTTGCGAGTGCTAGCGCACGAGGAGAGCCCACGTCCAAGATGGGGCTTTGCATGTTGATGTAGGGCGCCGCAAGATCATCTATCGTCGAATCAGTCCCCGACTGGCCAGAGATCGTCGTTCAAGCATACATACCTGGAGCGGCGTGTACGAGTCCTTTGAATAGACTGAAGTCGTTGATCGTCACGTTTACGCATTGGATGTGATCTGGATTCCAACTGGCTTGTGTCTCTATAGAGCCCCGGACTGTAACATTCAGAGGACCGTTCGAGGACGCGCCGGAAGCGTTGGTGGGTCGATTCGTCCATACCGCAACCAGGAGCCGACACCACACACAGCCCGCGAGAGCACGGCTTTGCAATTCTTCGAAGGATATCAAGTACGAACACGATGTGTTCCGCTGCTTGTTGGATTGGGACACCTCGCGGGATAGAAGCCCAAACTGCATCGAGAAGGGACCCTCCCAACAACTTTGGCAGACGGAAGATGGCTTGATTGGCAGGGGCGTGCGCCCGAGGGCTGCTTGAGAATGCGCAACGCCCATCGGATCGAGGCGGCTGGTACGGCGTATGCAAAGTTGTGCAGACGCCGGCGTTGTAGTGAGTTGGGTTAAGCCGGGGATGCACGTGGAGCTCGAGCTGCTGTAATTTGACAGTTTCAGCGGGTTCAGGACCGGGCCCGGACGCACAGCATATAAGACTCTTACTGCAAGGATCCGGAGGGAAGGCGTCTGTAGTGGCAATCAGCCGCAACTGAATTTGGGTTCGGATTTATGCGACGACCTATCCAGCTACCTACAGGGACGGGCGAGATTCTGCCGTCAGCAGCTCTCCCTGAGATGAAAATGCAAGCAGATAATGCACCTATGCACTGCGCAGCCGACACAACGCATCTGGCGCACGGTACCAAACCCCTGCCGTTCCCTATAAACGCGCGCACTCCTCCTGGTCGGGTGCGCTAGACTTTTGAACATATGATCCATAAGCGAAAGAGAACGACGTACAGATGTGTGCGCATGCGATGACAAGGAAGCAACGAGATTGGCGAGGTGCAATGCCTGGGATGGTGCAGGAGATATATGACGACCTAGAGCTGGAAGGAAATTCCACAAGACCCTCTGCAGCCAAGCTGTAAACTTGGCAGAGGAATGCTGTCTGAAGGAGGGTTTGAACGCATCAAGGAGCTAGCACGAGAACCAGCCGCAGAACGAACGTCTGCATAGGCTACACAGCAGGGAAGAGACGGCGTGAGAGCGCCAGCTAGTATACGAGCGCAGAGCAGAAAAGACGTTGCAAGAGTCGGTGAAGTAGTACGCTGTCGGTGGTGTTGGTTGCGGACAACGTCGACAAGCGCCTCCTCCTCCTCCGGCCGCGGACTCCGTGCCGATCTCCGGCTTAGCTAATCCGCATGGATCTCCGAGAAGCGCCAAGCGAATGTGCGTTCGCGTTCCGCCATTCCCCGCCACGACGCTGCCAGCGGCGACTCGAACGGTCTCGCAGGTTAACGGTTTCGCAGGTTGATATCATAGGTCACTGTGGGAAGGATCCACATTTATTAGAGGTGTTGGGCACAGCTATGATGGAACGACCGAAAGAGGTGTTCCGGACATTTTTGGGCGGTGTCGCGAATAAATGTGCAGAACACCTCATGTGTGCATGTTTCAGTGTTTTGCACACCTGCTCCCAGCGTGTACAACAGCTTCTATAACAATTTTTATAGGTGTTTTGGACACTATTGGGTGAGGTGTTCCGAACGACGGTCCAAGGTGTTCCCAACCGACGAAATCAATGTAAACTACAGTGCATTGACATGTTTAAAACACTCGCCGAAAGTGTCGTGCACGCTGCCGATGGATCACGCCCGAATATATTTGCGAATAGAATTTATTATGCTACATTTACATACGGACCTCGCAAGCTGTCGAGAAACGCCAATCATATGCACGCATATTAGCGAGCAAAACGAACTGGCACAGGTGCGATCGCGAGCACCGCGACCAAGCA